TGTGGGGGTGCAAGAGTTTGGGTGCACCAATTTGGGGCGCGCTACTTTGGGTAGTAGTTTGGGGTGCACTAGTTCAGGGTGCACCAGTTTGCCCAGGCCCTGCTGGGCCCCAGTCCTGCGCCCTGCAAGCTGGAGCACGGCCCCTGGCCTGCTGCCCTCCCGGGCCCACATCCTTGCGGTGAAAGGGCCACACGTCCCGAGCACCCCTCCGTCCCCTCCCCGCCCTGCACCCCTGCAGCCCTGGCCCCATACCCGGGGCTGGCACCTGTCCCCTCCAGCCTCCCTGGCTGTGCACGGGAGGGAGCCCGGGGGCAGGGGCAGGGCGGTTAGGCCCCGCCTCCTCCACACCTGGCCCAGCTGCTGGGGGCGGCGAGCGGATCCCTGAGGGACCAGGGATCTTCGGGGCTCGGCAACCGCACCCCAGGCTCAGCAGGTGGCCCACAGGTGGTGGGCACCCAGGGGCCCAGGTGAGCTCGGGGCCAAGGCCAGGGGACTGCGGGTGGGGTTGGGAGGGAGGTCAAGGAGTGAGTGCCCTCACAGCAGGGCCCAGGGCCCATGCGGCTGCCCCCGCTCTGGCTGCTCTCCCAGGTTCCCAGCCAGGGGCCAGTCCTTGTCCCTCAGCCTGGTGGCCCCAGGGGCTCCTGGCCCCCCTCTGATCTCGCTGCCAAATGGAGCACCTGGGCGAGCGGAGCAGGACACGCCCCAGGCTGGGTCTGGAGGTCCTGCACAGGCCCGGAGCTCCCACCAGGCAGGTGCCCGCCCCCGCTCTCCCCCCGGAGAGCCCCCCCGGGGTTGGAGGGGTCGGTGCTGGGGCAGGTTTCACAGCAACAGCGCCCCCTGGTGGAGGGCCTGCTCTGCTCAGGGCGACCTCCTGCCCCAGGCCTCCAGCGGAGAGGAGAGCCGGCCAGGGAGGGGCCCGGCTTGCGGCAGCTGAGCGCGGCCGCCCTGTCTGCCTGTCTGTCTCCTCTTTTCTTGTACTGTCTGTCTGTCTGTCTGTCTCTTTGCTCTCTGTCCCTCTTTGTCTTTCTGCCTCTTCCTAGCACTCACAGTGTCACAGCCTGCGGGGGGGGGATGGAAGGGGGGCAGGAGTAGGGGCACAGACAGGACGGGGACGGGTGTTGGTCCCACGGGCCAGGGACCAAGGAGCGCCGCCTGTTCCGCGTGCCCTGCCTCCTACGCACAGGCCCTGGGGACAGGCACTGGGTGACGAGGCTGCCAGCAAGGGCCTAGGAATGCTGCGTGGCCAGGTGACGCCAGGTGACACGGGTAGGGTCCAGCCTCGCGCATCCTCCAGCTATTTCCGGGGTGAGTGTCGTGTCCCGCGAGGTGCTCAGGCCCCGTGCGAGGTCCGACCCTTTCTTCCCGGGCTCCCCCGGGCCCGTGGACCCCGCAGCCCCCGCAGCCCCCGCAGCCCCCACTCTCCAGCAGCTTGGAGTCCCCCACGGAGAGGAAGTGGCTGTGGGTGATGCCGCGGGGGCCTCATGGCAACGGGGGCACGTGCTCCCCAAACTGTGGAGGAGAGCACATTCTTTCTCAGGGTAATGAAGTTGTTGGAAGCGGCGGCAAACCGGAGAGTTCTTTGCTACTGAAGCTTGTTCCCTGGGCTCTCTTACCCCTCGCCTGCCCTCTGTCCACCCCTTCCCTCCCCAGTTCGGACTCTACAGCAGAGGTTGGCCCGGAGCCCCCCGGCCCCCCAGGTCCCGGGGGAGCAGCCTTGCTGGGGGCGCCCGGAGGTGGGCACAGGAGGAAGGCAGGGTCTGGGAGGTGGTGGGCTGGGAGCTGCCACGGTGCCGGGGGGGACAGCTCCATCTACGGCAGCCCTGGCAAACGCCTGGAGGGCCACGGAGTTTGCGTGTCCTGCTGAAGTCCATGCACCAGTTCTTGGTCCCTACGGTCGCTCCCGGCAGCCTGGTCACCTTCCCCCGGCATGGCCCTCGTCCGAGGCCCACAGTGGCCTTGAGTGTCACCTCCTTCAGGAGCCTGGGCCTCCCTACTCTTGGGGACGCAGCAGGAGCCCTGCCGCTGTCCACTGTCATCGCCTGCCAAACCTGGCCAGGGGACAGGTCCAGGAAGGGGCAAGTCAAGAAACCAGGGCTTAACCTCAGCCGCCCTGGGGCCCGGCCCAGCCAGGAGGGGCGTGCCGAGTGGGCGGGAGGCCAGCAGGGGCTGAGTGACGGCGGCAGGCCTGTGGTAGGCGCCCGCAGGTAGAGATGTCACTGCCGACGGGTCCCAAGAGCAGGGCTCGCACGTGCTGACACACGCTCGACAGACGGCGGGTGGGGGCGTGGGGGGTGGCGCCTGCGGACCGGGCCCAGCGGCTGCGTCGGCTCCTGCCCAGCACGGCCCCTGCTTGCTCCCAGAGCTGCCGGCCGGCGCCAGAGTGGTGGACTGGACGGGAAACTGAGTTTCTTCTCTCTAATGGCCCTGTGGGGCTGAGGGCCCTCAGGGCGGGAAGGAAGGCGCGCTGGCAGCACCCCGGGGAGCCCTCTGCCCAGGCTGGGGCACGGAGCACCGCCCGGGGAGGGGGCTTTACAAGACAGGCTGTGACGAGGCGCCCACGTGGGCACAGGCGGCGCGTCCTGGGGCTGGGGGAGGGCAGAGCGGCGGGTCTGGTGCCAGTGGGAAGCAGAGTGACAGAGGGCTGGGGCCCCCCGGGAGCTGCCCCTCTCCCAGACCTGCCGCCCGGGAGCCCCCTGTGCCCTGTGGACCACAGGCTACATGGCCACGTGGGCCATGGTTGCTGGGCCCGCCACCTGGGCCTGCCCTCGTTCCACCTCCCTTTGTGGGCTGTGCTGCCAGGAGAGAGCCTGGTCTCCAGACAGGGGGAGACCCGTCGCTGGGCAGTGAGGCGGGCGTTCCCCATCCAGCCAGGAATGCCCGCGGGGTCCCCGCAGGCCGGGTCCCTGAGCGCAAGGAAGCAGGGTCCCGGGGCCGGCACCCCCGAGCTCTCACCGTGTGCTGGGCTCGGTACCCACGCTGCCAGAGCCCACAGCCCTTCCCAACCCGTAGGGGCTGTGGAGCCCTGTTTACAGGCGGTAGAACTGCAGCTCCAAGAGGGAAAGCGGTTTGTGCAGGGTCACGCAGCTGCGGGGGCGGGGGGCGGTCCTCGGTCCTGCTCAGCCTCACTCAGAGTCCAAGACCTTGGCCAGGGCACAGGAAACTCTAGTGTCAAGTGGGACTCTTTACCCCAGGGACCCCAGTCCCCTGGTCTCCCTGCTGTAAGGGAGGATGGAGGAAGACCCCTCTCTCGGCCACCAAGCTCTCCCTCACTCTGCCATTCACATCGCATCTCCTGTAGGGACCTTCTTGGTACCAGGCACCTAGCCACACCCACGTGTGCATGTAGGAGGCTCACATTGGTGGCTTCCTGGGGCGGCTGAGCCCGTGGCCGCCTGTCCCTTCCAGTGATGGCAGCTCGGGGGGCGCCCCCAGGGGGCAGGCTCGGGGCTGCCACGGACCAGGAGGGGGGAGCCTCCGCCCACCCACTATACCCACCCTGCAGGGGTCAGTTGGCGGCCACGGCCGGGAGCCAGGCCGTGCCCAGCTCCTGCGGTCGTCGGGGAGGGCGTGTGGGGCCAGCCTCGGCCACAGCGCAGGGCACAGATGGTTCTCATTGCAGGCCGCCTCTCTTCCTTCGAAAAAACAAACCGGCCGGGCCAGCAGGCCCTTTTTTTTTTATCTCGGGTTTATTTTCGATCCCTCTGCCTTTGCCTGCAGCCGGAGTCCTGTGGACTGCATGTTGCCGAGGGTCTGGCTGGGAGGCCTTGGCATTTTTCTGACCAAGGGCATCTCTCCGGGGAGGGGCTGGAATGCTCCAGAGGAAAGCGGCCCGTTTCCCGCACCTGGACACATCTCGGTCCTGCTTGGTCACAGCGCCTTCCCAGGGTTTGGTGTCTCCTGGTGGCCCCAGGAAGCTCTGGATTGAGAGGGGAGCAGGACGGAACCAGAAGGTGAGACGCGTGTGCCCTGGCGGCCCGCTGTGTGCTGGCTGCGCCCAGGAGCGGCTCCTGCCGCCAGGCCAGCGCGGAGACCGCCCTAGAGCGAAGCGGAGGGGAGGCAGGCACGAGCCACCTCTCACTCCGGGGCCATCAGGGCTCCAGGAATTCAGAGGAGGAGGTGGCCCGGTCCCGGGACACTGACCGACCCGGCCAGCGGTGGGCTCGGCCGGCTGCACTACCTGCCTCCTTCCAGGTTCCTCCAACCGCCCCCGCTGCCCTCATTTCACAGGTAAGGCCAACGTTAAGAGGGCAACATGCCGACTGAAGGTCTCCACCGTGAGGAACCGAGGGGACGGGGCTGCCACTCTCCACAGCTTCCTGGGCCAGGCCACACGCATCCCTCGCTCCACCATCCACTCCTCCCAGACCTGTGAATTCACTCACATGGGGGACAGAAGCCATGTTTGTGACCAGTCCCCCCACCCTGGCCCCCGCAGATCTCTCTGAACTAGGCAGAGGAGCTCCCCACCGCCGCACCCCGCTGCCCGTTGAAAGAGGGGTGACTCGTGTTGGGGCTGGACCAGAGGAGAGGAGCAGAGAACCACCAAGGAGGGGGGGGCGCCTGCCAAACAATGGCGGGGTGGGGGGCCTTCAAATAGCCCCACGTTGGGGGGGGAAGGAAGGGGGTGGGGAGGCCCGCAGGGCTCAGCAGCAATGTCCACACCAGGTGCCGGCCGGGATCCTGGGGGTTCGGGTGCGGGCCAGGGGGAGCACACCCCGTCCCCTGAACCAGCCGCTCAGCCCCCACCCCTCCCGCGGGGCCGCCCTGGCGGGCTTCCTCTCCGCACCCCTCCCCCACCGCCTGGAGGGAGGAGGGACTGGTGACATCACGGCCACGGCGGGAGGGGCGGCGCCCCGCGCACATCACTTCCTCGGCGCCTCCGCCGGCGGGCCAGGCAGGCGGACCGTGGACAGTGGAGCGCGGACAGCGGACGGGGCACGAGGGCAGGCGCTGGGCATCGCGAGCGGGAGCGTGCGCCCGACCCTTGGTGACCCCGGCCGATGGCCGGCCCTGCCCCGCCCGCCGCCGACGAGCTGCCCGGCCCGGCCCGGCGCCTCTACTCCAGGTGGGCCGGGCGGAGCGCGCGCGCGCGTGCGGGCGGCGGGCGGCGGGGACCGGGCGGCGGGGACCGGGCGGCCCCGAGGCGGGCGGTCTCGAACAAAGGCGGCGGCGGCGGGCGCGCAACGTGGCGGGGACGCGCCCTCCTTGCGGGGCGGCGGGGATGGGGGTGCAGGGGCGGGAGCTCGAGAATCGGGGCGCCGGGTGTGCCAGAGGGGGGCGCCGGCAGTGGGGGGCTGCGGGTGTGGGAATGGGCCGCGAGGGTGGGGTGCTGCGGGGACTGGGGTCTCCCAGGCCCGGGAGAGCTGGGGACCAGCCAAAGCCTGCAGACTACGAGGCTGGTGACTGGGATGGGCCGCTGCCTGCCGTCCCCCTCCCCCAGTACACGGAAACCCTGCGAGAGACTGGCAGGTGGGCCGCCTGGCTCAGCAGGTGCGGAGGGGGCTGCCGGCAGCTTCCCTCCCAAACCTGGCACCACCTCAGCACGGCCATGGCCCCGGTGGTGGGGGACTCGGCTGGGGAGACCACGCTGTGTCGTGGGTGGTGGCCTGCGCCCCACCGGCCGCTGCACTGGGTCCGGCGGATTGCCCTGGGGCCGCAGAGGCACCTGCCGGGTGGGTGTGTGCCGCAGCTGAAAAAGACACCTGCCTCCGGGCAGATTCATGGGCGATGGCAGCGGCCTGGGCTGTGCGCCCCACGCTTGGCTGGGATGACAGGGTGGCCCTGCCCAGGGCTGCGTGCCTGCTTGGTGACTTCAGGCCTTCCAGGGGTGTCCCGCAGAGTGATGCCCTGGGCCCGGTCCAGGTGGGCACAAGACCCTCCGAGGGTGGCTTGACCCTGCCAGCCTGTGCAGATGTCCAGCCCGGGGGACAGGCATGCGTGCAGGGCAGGGGCGATTGTGGGTGGCGGCTCCCAGAGGCAGGCCTGGCCCCCTGCCCCGCCCCCAACTTGAAGGACATCATCATTCCAGCTCTCTCGGCCACGCCTGAGACCCCGGCCCCGGCTGTGGAGCCTTCGGGGGCCCAGCCTGGCAGCCCGTCAGCAGCAAGCCTCTGCCTGCACCCCGCACGTGTGGCGGGAGGGCGTGGTGGCGGCTGGAAGGCTTGCTGCCCCTCCCCTCCGCGGCCTGGTCGCTGCTGCCGGCCAGAGACACAGCCCCCATTGTGTGGTCTGCGGGATCGAGTGCTGAGCCCCCGCCCTGGCTCCTGGGCCCCAGGCAGGGGGCGGGCGAGGGCAGGGGGCGGGCGAGGGCCTGCGGGTGGGTCTGCTGGCAGCTGACGCTGGAGGCCTCCCTTAAAGGGCCCCCCCGCCATCCCCTCTTGGGACCGAGAGCAGTGCAGAGAGCCTTTGCCCGGGGTCTCCGGTTGGATGGAGAGGGGGTGCTTTGTCCCGAAGAACAACAGGAGTTAATCTGGCTGCCACCAGCTGTGAGTGTGTGAGCGTCAGAGGGAGACAGAGAGAGGGAGGGCTGAGTCCACCTCAGCCTAGACTCACGGCGTGATGTGGAAGCCTGGGGTGTGGGCTGGTGCCAGAGCCCATTGGGGACATACCGGGCAGGACGCTGGCCTAGGGGGCAGCTGGGAGGGGACCCTGGGGGAGGCCTCGAGCCCAGCCGGGCATCCTTGCAAGCTGAGGCCTGCGCTGAGCCGGACTCTGTGAGCCTGGCAGAGACTTGAGACGTGGAGCCATGAGCTTTCCGCAGGGCCCGGGAGGAGGCCCGTGGCGGGTTTGGACCCGGCCGGGCCGCCATGGCCCAGTGTGGGCAGGGCAGCTCCGGGTCAGGGCTGGCTTTCGGAGGCTGGCAGGAAGGGGTGGGAGTCAGAGAGGTGTGGTGGGGGCAGCTTCTTTGGGCAGGGCCGTGAGGCAGGCGAGGAGGGGCCTGCGTTTTGGGAGCGGGGAAAGCCCGCCGGGACATGGTGGCAGATCAGTGAGGCTGACGACCAGGGAGCCCGTGACCACTTCACTGCCCGGCGAGCCCGCAGGCGGGCGGCAGACAGGCAGCGCCCAGCCCCTGCCACTGTGGTCTGGCCCCGGTGAGCCCCTTGCCAGGAGGGGAGCGCTGAGCAGGCACGGTTCAGAGGCTGCGCAGGTGCACCGGCTGGGGCAGCGGGCTGGCTCGAGGCGTCCGAGGCACGGGGCCGGGCCCCTCCCGGGAGGTGGAGGGCTGGAGGCGAACATTTAAGCATCGTTTTAGCCAGATGACAGATCCCGGGTGGGAAGGCTGTGGCCTCCCAGGGTTTGGGTGGTGAGTCTGGCAGGGGGAGCTAAGACCTCAGCCCCGGGGGTCTGGGGGCTCGTGGCCACCCGGAGGTGGATGGGCCTCTGGGAGGGCCAGGCAGCCCCGCACGGGGGTGAGCGGCAGCAGGCAGGAGGGCCGGGCCGCACCTCGCAGAGCACAGGGGGACGGCCTGCAGCGCAGGAGTTGGTGGCGGCCCTGGGCGGTGGAACAGGGGCCTGGGGTTGACGTGGGGGTGCAGAGTTCGGGGGACCCCCTTGTCTCCGGGAGCTGAGCTCAGCTGAGCCGTCCTGGGGGGTGGACAGTGGCACTGGAGGCCCCCGGGCAGGGAGGGGAGCGTCAGGCCTGGACAGCCTTGGCAGCAGAGCCGTGTGCGGGCCGGCAGCCTGGGACCGGATGCCCGACCGCACCTCTGCCGCCCAGCCCCTTCCGAGGCTCGGCCGCCCCGAGCCCCACCCCCCAAACCACGCAGGCCTGCACGCACCTCGGACCCTCCTCAGCAGCCCGCTCATTCCTGGCTCCTGGCTCTCTGTTCAGGCCCCAGGCCGGTCTCGGGCGGCGGAGCCCGCCCCCGCTCTCTGGGCCCCTCCTCCCGGAGCTGCTCTGTGGATTCTTAGTTGTGCAGGCTTGGAGACCCTGCCCACCCCAGCACCCACAAGTGGGGTGCAGAGGACCTCCGGAGGTTCCTGGGGGGCAACACATCGAGAGGGCTGGGGTGGGAGACCCTGAAGACACCTTGACTTCCCACCACCATTTGACCCTGTTGGCTCTGGACCGAGGACCCAGTGGCTGGACGTGGGCGTCCCCCACAACTCCAAGGGCCCCCCTTCTGCCCAGGGAGGGCCGCGTCGGCCGCCGCCCCGTTGGCCACAGGTGGCTGGAGGAGCTGGAAACCCAAGGGGCCGGGCCGTTCCCGGGAAGGAGCTGGGGTGAAGGGAAATGTCGTGCCTTCTGAGCTCCCCCCACCACCCTGGCCCGGGGCAGCCCCCAGAGGGTTGGGACGCTGGGATGGATGGCAGGCCAGGTCAGGTCAGGGGCGGGACACGGATGAGGGGACACAGCCTGGAGGGGGGCGGGGCCTCCAAGAGGACGGGGTGGGGGCAGGTGCAGCTCCAGCGGGGGAAGGGGGGATCCCAGCGGTGCTCCAGGCGGGCCCTGCAGGTCGGGGGGGCTTCCCCAGCTTGCAGAGCCCTGCCCCTGCCGGGCACACCCCTCCATGGGACCTGGGCTTCTTTGTGCTGAGGCTGGGAGCCGGCCTTGGGGTCAGAGCCGGGTAGCAGCTTGTCAGGGAGTGTGTCGCTGCCTCTGCACCCTGCTGCGTGCCAGCCCCTGAAGGGACGCCCCCTGGGCCCCGCCCCCCGGCGCGCCCTGCTGACGGCACTGATCCCCAGCTCTGAGCTGCCCTTGATCCCCTTGATCCACCTCAGGCCCCGGGAGCCCCAAATAAACTGTCCGAGCACCTGGGGTCTCCTGCAACCAGGGCCTCCAGGGCCATCAGCCTGCTACCCTGGTCCGCAGCGGGGAGAGGCAGGGGAGCCCTGAGTCCGAAACAGCCCCGGGACCAATGGCCAAGGCGGGGCGAGGGCTGGCTGGCCCGCAGGGAGGCAGGGAGGCCCAGAGCCCGGCGATGCAGGCCGCCCCCACGAAGGGCCAGCCCGTGGCCCTGAGCCTGGTGGAGAAGGCGGCGTGCAAAGTGGTGTACGGCGCCCCCCGCCCCCGCCCCCTGCTGCTGCCCGTGGGCCTGGAGCTGTGGCTGTACGTGCAGAAGATGCGCAACCTGCAGAGGGCGAGGTGCGGTGGGCGCCTGGGCACAGGCGGGGGCTGGGTGCCGGCCTAGCGATAAGGGTGCTGTGGGAGGGTTGGGGGTAAGTGGAGAGGGTGGCGCCCTCTAGCCCCGGACACCCTGCCCCACACCCCTCCAGGTGCCCTCCCCACCTTGCCGGGGGCCCATGTTAGACCCCACCCCTAGTCTGCACTTGCGATAATGCCCCATCAAGGTGCCACCACCCCTTGATTTCGGGGTTCCCAAGCTGTAACTTTTGCTCCGAGACAGGCGGGGGGTCCGCCAGGTCTGCCGGAGCCAGCAGGGCCGGCTGATCAGGGACGGTGCCCTGGTCCGGGCCCATCCCCTCCGCAGCCAGCGGCCGGGAGGGCAGCTTGCCCATCAGGTGGCTCGCCAAGCCGCGGGCAGGGTCAGGCAGGCCCCGGCGAGGAGGCCCCCTGCGTGGCCCCCCAAGGCTGCCCGTGGCCACCTGTGCGGTGGCATCGGTGGCTCTGCCCAGAGCACTGGGCGAGGTGGCTGCGGAGGAGCAGGCACCGCGCCACGAGCGGCCCGGTGTGCAGGGGCGGCGGCAGGGAGGCCCAGCGGTCTGGTGTCCTGGCCCCGAGGCCGCATCCCTGCCCCGCGGCCCCCGGAGCGGCCACACCTGTGGCTCTGCCTGACCCCGGGGGGCCGGAGCCCAGGCCCTGCGTTCTTCCCAGCTCCCCAGGACGGGGACCTGGCACAGGGGAGCAGCGGCCGGGCGCAGGGCCTTGCAAAGGCGGGCGGCTTCCCCAGCGGAGAGCTGTGGGGCCATGGGGCGATGCCTCTGGGAGGTCACCGGCCCCGTGTGGTGCCTGCTGCTGCTATTGGCGGCGTTTGGGGTGCCCGTGTCCTTGGTGACATGGCGGCAGAGGGAACGGGCGGGTGGTTCGCACCGGAGGAGCAGGAGCGTTTGCTTGAAACGGATCAGAAGCGCTGGCCTAGGCAACTTTGTTTATTTTCTAAGGAAACATGTTGGATTTCCCCCAGTAACTCCTGATCGTCGCACGTGTCCAGCGACGCAGAGAAGGGGTGGGTGGAGCGGGGCCGGTGCGGGACGTTTTCAATCGCTCCACGGGGTACCCGTGCTCTCTGAAAACCCCAGAGCAGTGGGCCTGAGACCCGCAGAGCTCAGCTCCCGCTTTTCCCAGGGCCCCAGCTCCTCCGGCTGCCTGGGCGCCGCCGGCACGGAGGCCCGTCAGCCCCCTTGCCCGCCCGCCCGCCCTCAGGGTGACCTCCAGCTTGGGGCCCCTGAGTCCAGGGCTGGCTGCTCTCTGGCCCCAGGGCAGGCCGGGCAGCTGGGGCCGCTCAGAGGAGGCTGAGGCCCTGAGGGAAAGTGTTGGGTGCCCCTCCCCCCGCCTCCCAAAAAGGGAGGCCCAGAACCAGGGTCTCAGGGTCAGTCCCAGGGGCTGGTCCTGAGCAGGCGCTCAGCTGACAGCTGTGTCCTGAGGGCAGCCGTCCTCGGGAGCCGGCCAGCCTTGGAGCGGTGCTGAGCCCGAGGGCAAGGGGCTTCATCTCTGCTCGTAGGTGGGGCGTACGAGGAGCCAGCACAGCCTCTAGCGAGGGTGCCAGGCGGTCGCGCAGGACCCTGGGCCCTTGGCGTTGGGCCGGGTTCACGCGGCAGGAACCTGGGGTGGTTTTCCTTTGGGGTCATCCTGGGGCATGGTCCCTCCCATAGCAGCACCATGGGCCGGGAAGCAGCTGTTTCTCGGACCAGCCCTGGCCAGCAGCCAGCAAAGCTTCTTGGCCTGGGGGGGGCAGGAGGGGGTCAGGGGCTGGCCGACCTTCGGCTGAGTCTCCCATGCCCACTGAGAGCTCGGAGGGTATGCCCCCCAGGGTTGCAGGCTGGGGCGGAGCTGGGATCAGATCCTGCCTGTGTGGCCTCGGTCAGCCCACCGGCCCTCTCGAGCCTCCGTGGTTCTCCGGGGGATCAGGGCCGCCCCAGGCTGCCACACCTCTCGGGAGGACGGTCAACTAGCCCCAGGCGGCCCCTCCCCTGGGCGGCTGACGCTCGGGGGTCGGCAGCCTTCCCCACTTCGCCATCGCAGCCCCCCAGCTTCGGCCCGAGCGCTCCCGAGCCCTGCGGTAAGGAGGCTCGGGCACAGGCGCGCCAGCCCCAGCACCTGCCTCAGGGCGTGATTCGTGAGAGCTTCTGTCTGTGTGCAGAGGCGTGGCACCGCTCGAGGGACCCGTCGTTCATAGGGATGGCGCCGAGGAGCCCGGGTGCCCAGGGTGACTCCCTCTCTCCGCGCAGGATGGAGGCCTCGTGCCTGGAGCTGGCCCTGGAGGGTGAGCGACTCTGCAAGGCGGGGGACTTCAAGGCGGGCGTGGCCTTCTTTGAGGCCGCTGTACAGGTGGGCACCGAGGACCTGAAGACGCTGAGCGCCATCTACAGCCAGCTGGGCAACGCCTACTTCTACCTGAAGGAGTATCCCCGGGCCCTGGAGTACCACAGGCACGACCTGCTGCTGGCCCGGTGAGCGGCGGGGTGGGGGCGGGGTGGGGGGCCAGGCAGCGCCCGCCCTCAGGATGTGGCGTCACAAGACAAGCCCGGTGGCAGAGCTCTCAGGGTCCATGGGAGCCTGGGAGAGGGGCCGGGATCCGGGAAGTGGCCCGGGGGCCTGTGTTTAAGCTGAGATGCGTGTGATCATGTGCGTGTGTGAGCATGGGCGTGGCCCAGCGTCTGTGCCACCCCGCCCCACCCCTGTGTCCCTGGGTGTCTCTGTGGCTGTTCTCTGGCCTCCAAGTCTTTGCCTCTGCTGTTCCACCCCAGCACGCCCTTCCCCCTCTCGTTCCCACCCCCACCTCCCGCTCCGTCCTGCCACACCTGGGCAGCCTCGGTGGCCGACTCCCCAGCAGCCGGTGAGGCTGGGGTGGTGCAGGCAGGCACCCATCAGAGATTCGCTGCCCGAGTTGTCGAAATGGCAGTTCTCACCGCGAGTCCCCCAGCTCTCCCTGCCTCGATCTGGGGTCTCCGTGAGCCCCAGCAGCTGCAGGCTGTGCAGGGGACCCACCCCCGCCGGGCCCCACAGAAGAGGGGCCCTGAGCTGTGCACAGTGGCCAAGGGCCGGTCCTCCCAGGGCCTTGCCCACCTCCCCGAGACCCGCTGCTGAGCTCCCTTCTCGGCCTGGCCCCTCACCCCTTCCTGCCCTGCAGGACCATCGGTGACCGCATGGGGGAGGCCAAGGCCAGTGGGAACCTGGGCAACACACTCAAGGTCCTGGGCCGCTTCGATGAGGCCATCGTCTGCTGCCAGCGGCACCTGGACATCGCTCAGGAGCAGGGCGACAAGGTAGGCTGTCAGCCCGAGTCTGCCTCCCCGCCCCGCCTCTGCCTTAGCATGTGGACCTAGTGATGCCTCCCCCTGCCATTTCTCGCCTTTGGAGCCCCAGGAACAGCCCGGGTGTGGGCACGTCCGCTTTGCATGCATGCTCCCCACCCAGCGGTCCAGCCAGTGGGCTCCTCGGGGCTGTGGCCTTGGAGGCATCCCAGCCTTGGTGCTTCCTGCAGATTGGGGAGGCCAGGGCGCTGTACAACATCGGGAACGTGTACCACGCCAAGGGCAAGCAGCTGTCCTGGAACGCCATGCAGGACCCCGGGCACCTGCCGCCCGACGTCCGAGACACGCTGCGCAGGGCCTCCGAGTTCTATGAGTGAGTGAGGGCGGGCGTGGTCCCCGCATTCCACAGACACCCTGGGGCCCCTGCCTGCGGCGGCCCCGGTCCCCCTCCCACCTCCCTGCAGCCCTAGACCGTGGCTGCCAGGCTGGCCCTCCCGCCCCGCCCCGCTCTCTGGGGCTGCTGGGGCGGTGCCAGGCTCCTCTGCAGCAGGGCAGAGAGGCAGGGAAGCTGCTGACCGAAGCCCAGCGTGGCTTTCAAAAGCCATGGGGCTGGAGAACGGGCTGGGACGGTGGGCCGAGTCCCCGGGAGCAGGAGACCCCTTCCCGTTAGAACAGAGGCTGTGCCTGAAACCCGGTCGGCCTTCGCCTTGGCGCCCTGAGCGCGGACAGCACCAGGCGGCACCAGCGCTAAGGGCACCCTCTCACTGGGGGTGGGCCCCGGGGCCCTGCTTCCCTCGCGCTGGGAGGGCGCGGCTCTGAGGGACTCGGCCTCCAGGAGGAACCTGTCCCTGGTGAAGGAGCTGGGCGACCGGGCGGCCCAGGGCAGGGCCTACGGCAACCTGGGCAACACCCACTACCTGCTGGGCAGCTTCGTGGAGGCCACGACCTTCCACAAGGAGGTGAGTGGCGGGCAGCAGGGCGGGCGGCGGCAGGGCTGCCCGGGCATCTGCCCTGGGCTCTGTCTGGACTTGGTCCCGGGGCTCCCGGGCGGCGCCCTTGGGACGCACAGATGCGAGGCCAGCCGCCCTGGGCAGGGAGGCAGCCCATGCCATCCGCGACGGGTCCCGGGGCTGCCCTGTGACCCCCGGGCTGCCGGTGTGTGTCCTCAGCGCCTGGCCATTGCTAAAGAATTCGGAGACAAGGCAGCCGAGCGCAGGGCTTACAGCAACCTGGGGAACGCCCACGTCTTCCTGGGGCGCTTCGACGTGGCTGCCGAGTACTACAAGTGAGCAGCATCCCCCCTGCCCCCCGCCAGGGAGAGGGTGGGCCCCGGGGAAGGTGCCTGGCAGGAGGCACCGCCCTGAGGTGGGGCATGAGCCTGAACTCCCAGGATCCCCAGGGGCCAGGTGGGGGTGCCCAGCCACCCCAGAAGGGCACACTGACAAAGCCAGACACACAGCCGGCCTTGGCGCTGGTTCCTGGGGGGGCCCCAGAGCAGGTTGAGCCCCCCACAGATGGACTCAGGAGGGTTGTCGCTGGCTCCTGGGGCCCTGACTCAGTCCGGGCGGACGGCCTCCTGGCCTGAGTAGCAAAGCAGTGGCACCGGGCAGACTGGGTCCTGCGCCAAGCCCCAGTGCCCTCTGTCGAGACCCCGAGCCAGGTGTCACTGTCCCAGGCCCCCCCGGGCCTGGACAGGCAGGGGGCACAGGAGACGCGGTGACTGGCCAGCCCTGTGGGGCCTCATCTACCTGCCCGTGGCCGTCAGAGGGAGGGGATGCCCTGGGGGGAACCTGGGGCTGGAGGCCTCCGGAAAGGGTCTGCCCCACCACCGTGCTGTGCGCCCCCCGCTGGAACCGCCCTCCTCCGCAGGAAGACGCTGCAGCTGTCGCGGCAGCTCAAGGACCCGGCGGTGGAGGCGCAGGCCTGCTACAGCCTGGGCAACACGTACACGCTGCTGCAGGACCACGAGCGCGCCGCCGAGTACCACCTGCGGCACCTGCTCATCGCCCAGGACCTGGCCGACAGGTGCGCGCGCGCGGGCGCGGGGCGGGGCGGGGCGGGGCGGCACCCCGGCTCCAGCTGCAGCAGCCGGGGCCCCAGCCCCCCTCAGTGGCCACGCCGCCCCCTGCCCAGGACCAGGTGGGACCGGTGGACACTGGGGTGGCTCCTCGCAGTGACCTAGGCACAGGCGGGTCCTGGGGTGCATCCCAGTCACCTGGTATGTTCGTTGATCCTGTAAGCCCACCCCCATCCCCTTTTTAAAATGTAAACACCAGTTTCTGTGGAGAGACAGGCAAACCGAAGAGTTCTCACCACACAGCCGTACACACTGGTCTGGGGGGCCGTGGCCGGAGCGGGGGCTCCGAGCCACAGGCCGTGGGGCTCCCGTGGGGGTGGAGAGGGGGCCTCTCCCAAAGGCTGCCGGCCAGAGGGCACGTGTTTCTGGAGGTGGTGGCGAAGCTTGGGGACTGGGCTGTGTCCGTGGCCAGGTTGTAAACGTAGGCCCCGCCCCCGCACCGTGTGCGCTAGAATGGGTACGCTTGTGTTAGGTGGTGTTCCCTCAATTAAAACAATTAATGACCTGAGGGACTGGGGCCGTCCCTGTCCCCAAGGCAGGAGAAAGCCATAGGGGTGAGAGCCTCGCTGGCCACTAGGGGGCGAGTGAGGCCACACGGGAACCCCGGCAGCCCCCGGGGCTCCCCGCCAGCCCACCTGCGGAACTGCCCACCCCGCACTTCCTCTGTCCTTTGAACCTCTGTCCCGCGGGGCCTGACCACCGGAGGCTGGGGGCTGGGGATGGCTGGGCTGGGGGGCAGGCCGGCGGGCTAGGGGCGCAGACGTGGACTCTGCTCCCTCCCTGGCAGAGTGGGCGAGGCTCGGGCCTGCTGGAGCCTGGGCAATGCCTACGTGTCCATGGGGAGCCCCGCGCAGGCCCTCACCTTCGCCAAGAAGCACTTGGAGATCTCCCAGGAGGTGAGTCGAGCCGGCCCCGCCCCCGCCCCTGCCCCTGCCCGCCTCAGCCGGCGTGGGAGGCCCCCCAGACGCTGCCCGGCCGGCTCCGGACCGGCCAGGTGCCTTGTGTGCTCCGGGTTCCTGCCGGACTGTCCTTGTGCCCCCTCCCGCCTCCTGCTGCGTGCTGCCCAAGGGCTGGCCACCCGTGTCTTCCGAGGCCCGCGGGCTGGCTGGCTCTGGAGCCAGGGCGTGGGGGTGGGGGAGCAGGGGCCTGTTCTCACCCCGCTGTGTTAGTGCCCTGTGGGCGGGCTCGCAGCCCGGTCCTCTGTCCCCATCGGAACTGGCCAGGCTGGGCCACAGGGAGGCCTGAGCCCACCACCCGCGGTGGACATGACCTGCCGGAGGCTCTCCCTGCAGGCTCTTCCCCTGGAACCACCACCCCCAACAGCCGGACGCCTTCCTGGGGAGGGTGGGCAGGGTCTCTGAGGGCGTGTCCTCCCAGAACCCGCCGCCTGTGGTCAGGGCGACCCACGGTTGTGAACCTCGGGGCTGCAGAGGTGAAGTCTGGCTCCCTGGCTCCGGGCACAACCTCTCCTGACCTCCCCGTCTTCCTGATCCTTGACCCACCCTCCCTACCCCCAAGAAGCTGCCCCCATAGCAGGGCCACGCCACCTCCCTCCAGCACACCCCTAGCGCCCGCCGGGACCCACCACAGCCCCGCGTCCGTGGGTGGGCGAGGCCCATTGGTGCCCGGGTGGGGGCGGGAGGAGCGGGAAGGCTTGGGCCGCGGGGTGCGGGGGTGCCAGGCGTGGACAGCCCTCCTGGGAGCTTGGCGGGGCAGCCCCGTGTCCACATGAGCACAGGCCGGGCTGTGGCAGAGGCTGCTGGAGCTCCACGCAGAAGCCTTGCCGGCCCGCCCTTTCTCTGGCCTGCTTCTGGTGGTGCACGGTGCCTCTGCTCCGCGCTGGGAGCCAGGAGGAGCTGGGAGCCTGGCAGGCACCTGAGGGGTGGGCCCGAGAGAGGTGGCAGCCTGGCCAGAGCAGGAGGCGCCCAGAGGGTGGGCCCCACACGGCCCGGGGCCCGGCTGCTCAAGGCCCCAAGCCTCCCGGGGGTGTGAGGGGTGGTCTGGGTGCACGAGGCCACCCCCGCCCATGGACAGGTCCCCAGACTCACCCCCTGGCGCAGCGAGGCCCGGTTCCCGAGGAGCCCCGCGGAGGGCCTCCCAGCCAGCCCGCCCACTGACCTGCCCTGCTCGGCCGCAGATCGGGGACCGAAATGGGGAGTTGACGGCCCGCATGAACGTGGCGCAGCTGCAGCTGGCGCTGGGCCGGCTGAGCAGCCCTGCGGCCGCAGAGAAGCCAGACCTGGCCGGCTACGAGGCCCAAGGTGAGCTCCCGGGCGGGGGGTGAGGAGTGGGTTCCCCGCAGGCTCAGACCGCGGCCGGGATGCAGGGCCTCGGTGGGCAGGCGTGGGACAGGGACAGGAGAGCCGCCCGGGGGGCTTACGGGGGTGGGGTGCTGGCTCAGGCAGGTCCCACGGAGGGGGCTCTGACCCCAGACAGGAGAATTTCTGATGGCCGGCTGCCCGGGGTCAGGCCCCCAGGGGGCGGGGAACCCCTGTGCTGGGGGTGTCGCCCCGCAGCCCCTCTGTGCCCTGCCCCGGCGCTCGCGGCGGGCGTGGGCGCATGACAGGCTGTCCGGGTGTTGGGGGCGCAGGCGGTGGGCCCGTCTGTCTCACCGGGGAGGGGCAGGACTCGGGGCGGGGGCCGCATGGGGAAAGGGCGGCCCGCGGAGGGGCGATCAGACCCGTTCTTCTCGGTCTCTGGGGCAGCAAGGGCCTGGGGTCACCCTGGCCCCCAAGGTTAGGGCAGCCGCAGGAAGAGAGGGCAGGGCCCTCTCTGCCCTGCCCCCCGCCCCCCGGGGCTGAGGACCCTCCAGGCTGGGGCTGGGCCCTGGGGGGCCAGAGTGAGAGGGAGCTGCTGGGAGGAGGGAGGAGCTGAGTCAGCCAGGGGGACGGGTGCAGTGGGCGCTACTCAGGCCCTCGTCACTGTGTAACCTTATTGCCCACGGGCTGCTGGTCGTGCCATACAGGTCAGCGACGTGCACTCGAGGACAGAGTGTTCCTTGCAAAGCAAAAAGATTAATCAAGTTGGGGGGGCCGGGGGAGCGGGGACACGCTGAGATGGCTTCTCTAGGCCGCTGCAGGTGGGTGCGGGGCAGGGCGGTTTTTTCCCCCTCCCCTCCCACCCGGCTCTTGAGTGTTCAGGGGGTCTGGCCCCAGCCTCTCGATGGCTGTGTGCCTGGGGGTGGGTCCCCAGGGTTCTGGTGGTGGCCTGTTAGAGATGAGGGGAGCCCACGTCACCTCCCCGCTCAAGATCGCTGACGACTGAAGGGAGGGCAACAAAGGCGTCTGAGACCCTCTGCCTGCCCATTTTAGGGGCGCTGCGGTCGAAGGGGATGGGATGGAGTGCGGCCCCCAGGAAGTATCAGGCCCGGGTTTTCCAGGAGCCGGCAGCTCTGCCCAGAGCCTCTGGAACCCCAGCAGCAGGCGGGGACAGGGCTGGGCAGAGTCTGGAAAGGCTGCCGACCCAGCCCCCATCTGTCCTCCCAAGGAAAGGGGGGCCGTGGCGGGTGAGCAGCCAGGCTGTGCGGGAACAAGGGAGCCTCTGTCTTCCCCACTCCAGCTCCTCTGCTCTGCCCGAGCCCGGACCCTCCCTGGCCAGGGCCCCCTGAAGCCTCCCCAGCAGGCACTGGGGACAGGCCATCCTCCTGGGAGGGCGGTGGCCAGGCGGTCTGCCCACACCGGAGGAGGCGGGTCTGGGGACCGGCAGCCCTGGGGGCCCCCGCCCTGGGATGCAGCTGCTGCAGGCGGGCGGGTGCCCTGAGTCCAGGCGGCCCTGGAGGAGACCCCTGCTCAGGTGAGCCTGGCACGGGCAGGGTCTCCTGAAGGGGGGGCGGCGGCATCACTCGTTCACTCAGTGTGTGCCGAGCCCGGGGCGGGGGGCGTGGACTGGCTCAATTTGAAGAAGCCAACAGCTTGTCTTCTGGGAGCTGTCCCTTGGGAGCCTGATGGGACAGTCGCACGTCCAGGGCCTGTCAGTGTGAGGGGAGGGGGAGGGGCAGGAGGGGCATTTATTCAGCCCTGTGGAGGGGTGCCTCCAGGGAGGAAGGAAGCCCTGGGCTGGACCCAGGAGGATGCACAGGAATCCAGGAGGGAGGGAGCGGCGGGCATTGGGGGCGTGGCCTGTGGGGCGTGGCCTGTGGGGGGCGAGGTGGTGCCTGGCCGGCTGGAGACCAGGCCTCAAGCTTTTCGACCCTGCTTGATAAAAACAAGGGTCCCCCCTGCCGCTGAATAGCCTGCAGCTATTTGGTTGACTTCACAACTCCTGCTGCCCCCAGCCCAGCACAGAGGCTCCCCGAGTGAGTCTGGGTGGGCAGGGGCACCTCCCCGTCGCTGCCGCCTGGGCCCCGGCCAGTCCCAGCCCTTCCCGGTGGGGGCGCCTGGCGGGTGGGGGTCCGGCGCCACGCCCCTGACCCGGCAGCCCGGTCAGCGCGTCCGCGGAGGGGCCGGCCCAGAGCCCCCCTGCCTCGCACGGTGCCCTGCCTGTCTGGACAGGCCTGGGCTGGCCTCTGCCCCACGGGCTCGTGCGGCTCTGCGGCTTCTTCATCCCCCTCCGGTCCCCGCGCAGGGTGTCCCCTGCGCGCTCATTCAGCCCCCGCGAGGAGTGGGGTGTGCACAGCGTGACGTCCCAGGGGCGGTTTAGGCTGTGGGCTCTGGCCTGGCTCTGCCGTGTCCTGGCCGGTTGGCTCAGTGTCTTGAGCCAGCTGTGCCTCAGTGTCCCCATCTGGGAAGTGGGCCCACTGGTCATCCTGGGAAGAGCGCCTGGCAGGGACGAGGGCACGGACGGCTCTGGCCCCTGAGGAGGGCTAAAGGTTCGGACACATTGCGGTCCATCTGTGCAGCCAGCGGCCTGTGGCCCGCTCACGTGCCGGGTCAGGGCTGCGCGGCTGCAGGGGCCCCTTGCCGTCTCGGCGGCCGCCTCTCCCGCTGCGCTCGCGCTGGCTCAGCCCTCGGGCCAGCCGGACCGTGCACAACAGCTGCTGCGTGCGGGCGTGCGAGCAGCCTTGACTTCTCGGGCTCTGCGACCTTGGCCGGGCGGGTGCCTCCCCCGAGCCCCAGGGTCCACCGCCTTGGGAGGGCGGCCCGGAGGGAACAGTGCGTGGGAAACCACACGTGGGCCCTGCCTGCAGGCTCAGCAAACACTCGCTGCTTGACCGCATCCTGGCGGGGTGCGGACAACTGGCCAAGCCCCGTGAGAGCCCTGGGGGCACACCAGCGACCAGGACAGGCAAAGGCAGCGATAGAGCCCATGTCCCCAGGGCTTTAGGGGAAAGAAACGCAGGAGCCGGGGAGGGCTGTCAGGTGGGGAGCAGCCGAGCGGGCTCTGCGGAGCCCCCTGTCTCAGTCAGCTCTGGCTGCGCCATGAGCACCGCAGACCACACGGCTGAGAAAACAATGTACTTCTTGCAGCCTGGAGGCTGGGAGCCCAAGCTCGGGTGCCGGCACGCTGGGGGTCTGGAGAGGGCCCTCCTCCCGGCCTGCAGATGGGGCGCGTGGGGTGCCCGGGGTGCGAGAGAAGGGAGGGAGAGCTCTCCGTCTCAGGAAGGTGTTAATCCCAGCCCTGGGCCCCACCCTTGTGACCTCGGCCGACCCTCACCTCCTGGCAGCGCCCCGCCTCCTAACACCATCACGTTGGGGCTTGGGCGTCCACATGGGACACAGGCGTTCAGTCCATGACGGGGACATTTGAGCAAGGACTTGAAAGAGGGGGGGGAGCACGCCGTGAGCTTACATGAGGGGCAGCCGTGCAGACGGGGAACAGCCACTCAGAGACAGGGAACGGCTGGGCAGAAGCCCCAGGCCGGGGCGAGCAGGCCTGTAGGAATCACGGGGCTGTGTCTGGAGGGGGTCTGGCGAAGGGAGGGTGGGGAAGGGGTGGAGGGCGCAGGCCGGTCAGCTCGGGGGTCCCTGTGCGGCCACAGGGGTGATGGAGGAAGGAGGTCTCCCCGGGCGCTCAGGGCTCTCTGGCCCAGCGCGGAGAAGGGCTCGGGGGGCCGGGCTGGCAGACAGGTCCCGGTGAGGCAGGCCGGGGTCCGGCTGGGCCAGGACGTCAGGGTGTCTGGGAGGGACGGAAATGATGACCAGGGTGCTCATCCGTCGCGGGCTGGGTGGGGCGGTGCTGAGGGAGGTTTCCAGACCTCCCCCTCACGGTGGGAGGGGTGGGAAGCCAGCTCGCGGTGCCCGGGCCTGAATGCCCCCAGTCAGGCGCGGGCGCGGGCGCTGGAAGCAGCAGGCAGGAGGGCCTGGGCCCTCCAGACAGAGGGCGCATTTAGCTGGGCCGGAGGGCCTGCCGCCCGCGTGGGCCATGAGGGACCCGCCCCGGAGGCGAGGCCGCCAGTCGGAGGCCTTTCAGCCCCTGCCCAGGCCAGGGACGAGGCAGGCCGGGCAGGGCAGGAGCCTGCGGGTCCCGAGCAGACAAGGTGGGGAAACCAAGTTGGGCCCCCAGGGTGTCGGGGGCAGCGGGGAGAGGCCCAGCCAGGCCCTGGTGGGCGAAGGAGCGGGATTCCCGCTGGCGGTGGTGCGTGGGGACCCGCTCGGGCTGCATCCTGGTCCCGCGGCCCCTCAGCCTGGCACTGAGATGCCCTCGCTCTGCTCCCCAGCGCCACACGTGGCGGGGAGGACAGGCACTGCCGGCCAGTGCCATGGGGCTTGGGGACGAGCCATCACGTCTTCCTAACAGGCTGCGGGTGCGGGGGACCCTGGCCTCGCTCTCTGCCCTGTGTGCTCCGGCTTCACGACCCGGGGTCAGGCTCCCCCGCCTGGGGCAGGGCCTGCTCTAGGGCGGTTGGCGGCGGGAAGGGCAGCCCACAGCCGACAGTTGAGTCGGGACCCACAGGAGCTGGCTGGCTGCGGCCCGGTGGGGACCCCACAGCTGCCCCCGCGGAGCCCCGAAGTCCCACGCCGGCATCCCACGTCTGAGCCTCCAGAGAACAGGGGAGCAGACGTGGCTTCCTCAGAACTGGGGGCCCAGACAGGGAGAGGCCCAGCGGCGCACAGCAGCCCCTCCAGCTGCCTCCGGACTCCCCAGCCCCCATGAATCCCTGGACACTCAGCTTGGGCCAGTCTGAGTGACTGACCCCCAGAGCCAGGGACTGGTCCCGGGCAGTGGGTGTGGCCGAGGGCTGGGGTCAGCGCCACGCTGAGGGCTCCCTGCCTGCCCCCCGCTGCCGTGGGCTGTGGCCTGGTGGCTGGGCCACGCAGGCAGGGGAGGTCTCTAGGTTCAGGCCCTGCACTGGCCCCGTCGGCGTCCGCAGCGCAGCTGAGCGTCCGGATTGGAGCCGCGTGTGGTGCTGGGGTGACTAGAGTGGGCGGGAAGAGCCAGGTCCGGGACTGGGGAACGATCTAAGCCAGTCTCTGCTCCCCAGGCTCTGTGGGTCCACTGGGGTGGGGGGCACAGAGGTCATGAGGACTCCGTGCTGGCCTCCACGTGAGGCGGGGAGTGCAAGCTCGTCGGCCCCCGCAGGCGTGGGGCAGTGAGCCTGGCCCCCCGGAGGGCCCTGGCCTGTGCCGGCCGCCCTGGAGGCCTGGGCCAGCGGTGGCTGACTGAGCCGCTGCCTTCCAGGGGCCAGGCCCAAGAGGACGCAGAGGCTGAGCGCGGAGACCTGGGACCTGCTGAGGCTTCCCCCGGAGCGGGTGAGTGGGGCTCGGGCGTTGGGCTGGGGACAGGAGCCCGGCGGCGGGGCAGGGGGCGTGGGCGGGGCCGGGGCTGCCGGCTGGCAAGTCTGCTGCAGTGTTTGCCGAGCTGCCACCGCCGCTGCCCCCGCTGCGTCCCGGCCAGGGAGATGAACGGCCGTCTGCCCCTCCCCGGTCAGTCCCCCCGAGCGGCCCCACGGGGCCCTGTGGTAGCGGCGCCTGCTCCATCCCGCTCACTTCAGGGACCTGCCTGCCGTATCCCTGGGGGACAAGCCACAGCCCCTGCACCCTGCAGGTCCCTCTGCCCCTGCCCAGCCTCGTCCCCGGCGTCCTGGCCAGCTCCCCCCATTCGGACACGCCCCATGGGGAAGCAGAACTGTTACGGGTGGAGCCACCAGGGCTGTGCAAATGCCACAGAGACTTGGGGCTGAGCCGGGGGGACCCAGTCCTGCTGCGTGCCTGCCGGGGAGGTGCGCTGTGGCCCTGGGAGAGTGGCCTAGCCTCTGAGCCCCTGCTGACCCCAGTGTAGACTGGGCGTGGCTGCAGACCTCCTCGGGGCCCTGCCCGGAGGCCTGCTGGGAGACCAAGCGCAGGGTCCCCCACAGTCCCGGGTTGCTTCATGGTCAACATCTGGGGTATCAGGCGCCCCACCCAAGCTCCTCCAGTGCCCTGTCCCGCCTCTCCCCGCCCCCCATCCTGGGCCCTTGCCAGTCCTCTCGCTCTTCCCTTGGGCCAGAGCGTCACTGGGCGTCTGTGAAGTGGTGACCACATCCACCCAGCGCCCCTTAGGGTCCTGGGCTTGCTGGGGGCCCCACCCACGCCTGGCCTTCCTCCCCCTCCCCAGGAGCAGAATGGGGACAGCCACCACTCTGGGGACTGGCGGGGGCCCGGCAGGGACTTGCTCCCCCTCTCCATGAGGAGCAGGAAGTACCAGGAAGGGCCAGACGCTGCTGAGAGGAGACCCCGGGAGGGTGGCCCCTCCCCGCTGGACAGCGCGGACGTCCGGGTGCAGCTGCCCCGCACGGTAGGCAACTCTCTTTGGGCTCCAGCCTGGGCGGCCGACATGGGCGCTGCCCCAGGGACAGAGGCGACGGGACCGGGTGGGCACCGGGCCTGCCGGCAGTGCGGGGACAGCGTTTAGTCGTCCGCCACCCCCGGCCTCAGCGAGCCCAGTGAGGACCCCGGCAGCACACGGGGAGACAGGTGGGTGGAGGGACGGGGGCCGGCCTCTCGGGGCCTGGCGGTGTCCCGCTGTGCCCAGGAGCCCCGCTGGGCTCCCAGGAACAGGTCAGAGTTCAGAGGTCGGCCTGGACCGCTGCCATTCAGAACACCTGGCCCAGGCCTCCGGGAATCAGTCTAAAAACAGCCTCTCCAAGGGCTTAGTCAGTGCCTCGCCAGCCTCTGGCGGGTGTGGGCGCAGGGTTCTCCCACCCGACGGCTGCTTCCCGCCTCCTTCCCCCACCCCCGTCCCCACCCCCACCAGTCCACTGGGTGGAGGGAGATGAGGAGATCCCTGCAGGGGGGAGGGGCACCGGTCACTCCGGGTGGGTGGGACCAGTGTTGACTGTGGCCGGGCGTCTGCAGGGCCCCCCTCTCAGCACAGGGCTGTGTGGTCTGAGTGGCCTCCCAGGGCCCGTCTCAGGACAGGGCGTGGGGGGCCGGGGAGGCCCCCAGCACGGGGGCACTGGGGCGCCGCGGCGGGCTGGAGGTGCAGACCCCTGTGGCAGGCTGAGCCCCCCCGCCCACCAGGCCCCTGACCCAACGCCCCCCACAGGAAATGGCCTCGGAGGGCTGGGTCTGGGCGGCCCACGGTGACCCGTCCTTCCCCAGGGCTCTGGGCTCGCCGTGGCAGACAGGGCTGCGTGTGCTCGTCCTGTGCTCACCTTTCCCGCAGGGCTCACAGCCCCTCCCCCAGACACTTCTTGTGGTCAGCCTGCTGGTCGGCCCCTGAGTCATGGTCGGCCCCAGGGCTTCCCGAGCCGCCAGAGGCCCAGGCCCCACAGGCCTGCAGAGCAGGAGGGAGATGCCAAGGTGCGCGGCCTGGGGCAGCAAGGGCCCTGGGGCCAAGGGGCCTGGGCTGGGGGCTGGCGGAGGCCAGGGGCTGCTGTGGGGGGAGGTGGCCGTGGGAGGCGGGCAAGGCCGCATGGCCCGTGCCCAGGGCGACCGGTCCCAGAGCAGGCAAGGCCCTGCCTGCCCGGCTTCCCACAGGCCGCTGCCGCACTGGCTTGGGAATCGGCTGGCCAGAGTGCCGGCTTCCCCTGGGCTGGCCCGGCTTGAGAAGGAAGCCGGGGTCAGCGCGGGGACGCGATCTCCCCACGGTCCCCATCCCCTTGCCCTTTGGGCATGACCGCCCCAAGCCGAGAGCCAGAGCGCTGGGTGCTGTGCTCAGGGAAATCACCCCCCAGTGTTTACAGAGCATGCCTGTGTGTGTGTGTGTGTGTGTGTGTGTGTGTGTGTGGAGAGAGAGAGAGAGAGGGAGAGATGGCGCTTCCGCGCTGGTGGGCGGGGCGGGGAGGGCTCTCCCCCGGTCCTATTTAAGCCTCCAGCTAACGGCCCGGGGGGCTTGGTGGTGAGGCGGCTCGGGGCTCCACGGCAGGGTGGTGGCACAGGCTCCCTGGCGTCCTGTCCTGGCTCCACGTGGCCGAGCACCCCAACCAGCGCCGGGCAGGCCAGCGAGCTGTGGATCCGGCGTGAGTGTGGGGCCCTGACCCAGGTGGAGGCTGGGGCCTCTGCCGTGCTCAACTCAGACAGAGCTCTCCCCGCCCCAGGGGGGGCTCGCGGTGGGTGGGCAGTTGCCCCAGGGACCAGGGACGGGGCCAAGCCCGTGTTCTGCTCTACCCCAGCCGCCTCCCGCTGTCCTTGGCCCCTGCCCTGGGTCTGGGCAGCTCGGGGACCAGGGCAGCACCTGCCCCAGGGGCTGGCTCAGCAGGCGGGGGAGGGGCAGCCCAGGCCAGGGCAGGGGCTGAGAAATGGGGCTGGGATTCTAGCAGGAGGGGCTGCAGTGAGACCTGAGGAGGAGCTCAGCGACCCCCAGGCTGTTCAGAGCCTGGCTCTGGGGCAAAGGAGAGTCCGGAACATGGCGGGGGGCTGCCCCCCGCCACCGGTCCCCTGTCCTGCCAGGACCCAGGTGGTGTCCTGAGCAAGGGCGCGGGGCCTCCAAACTGCCCGGACCCTCTGGCCGCAGGTCCACAAGGGAACCGTCAGCGCCCCCGCAGGTAGCCCGGGCTCCAGAGGGTGGGGGCTGCCGGGCCCAAGCCTCAGGCTGGACGTGGACCCGGCCTCGGCGACTCGAGAGTCCCCTCAACCCAGCCCCAGTGCTGACGGTACTGCCAGACGCCTTGGGACGAGCTGCTCTTGTCCCAAGACGGTGGGGGGATGTCTTCGCTGCTCCGAGGGGCCCGAGGAGGCCCCCCGCCGGGCGAGAGGTGGACGGTGGAGCTGGGTGGGGCCCCGGCTTCCGAGGGCTGGCAATGGGGCGCTGATCGGCCGCCAGAGTGTCGCCTGTCAACCTGTCAGCCCTTGGGGCCCTGGACCAGGCCTGGTGCGGTGGCCCCAACAGAGCCCCCACCTTCCCTGCGGATGTGCGCACCGGGGCCCAGACTGGGGTGGCCTTGCCCCAGGCCACCCTGCCAGTTGGGGCTAAGCCAGCCCCAGTGACGTGGTCCCTTCCCCCCCCCCACCCTCCCCCTTCCTCCAGAACGGTGGCCCCTCCCAGGGCGACCCTCCCCTGCTCTTCTGACCCCACCAGTGGGACTTGCCTGGGCCCAGCGGGGTCACCCTAGGGCCAGCCCTCCCCGACACCCACTGCGCTGACGATGTCTCCCAGGCCTGTGTGGTGCAGCTGCTAACCCACCGCCCTCAGCCACACCACGTCAGCACCTGGGTGCTTGCGTCCTGGCCCCCACACGTCCGCCGCCCCTGGGCCTTACGGACACGCTGCCCAAGCCCCTGCTTGGGGCGGGGCTGGGGCGGAACACGGGAGCCCTCACCGCCCTGACCACGGCCCCCTTGCCTTTGGTGATGTGACCGGGTGCTGCCCGCCCCTCTGCGCCCAGGCATGGGCCGCGGCGAGGGCGCACAATGGCCAGCGAGGCTCCTCGCCTGCCGGGGGCCACGCCACTCGCTTGCCCCCCCGCCGCCCCCCACTCGGCTTGCTCACATGTTGTTCAGCAGACACTGGTGAGCTCTGTGCTGGGCGCGGGCGCCAGAGGTGCCGGGTGGAACTCACTCTCCCAGGGGTGGGACAGAGGAGGTGGTGACCGCTACCTGGGGTGGGGGTGGACGGCCCAGGGAATGGGCAGGGTCGCGGCTGGGGAGGGCGACTGCTGGGAAGAGGGGAAGGGGCCGGCCGCGGAGCGGGTCGGAGGGCGCCAGCCGGTGAGGGACGAGGGCCTGGACCTCGGCCCAGGCTGAGCGGCCCCATCAGGGGTGTTCAGGGGTCTGTGAGGTGCTGGTGACGGGAACAGCGCCACCTCTGAGGCCAGTGCTGATCTGCCCCCCACCCCCAGAGCATCCCTCGGGCCCCGTCCTCCGACGAGGAGTGCTTCTTTGATCTGCTGAGCAAGTTCCAGAGCAGCCGCATGGACGACCAGCGCTGTCCCCTGGAGGAGGGCCAGCCCGGGGCCGCTGAAGCCACGGCCGCCCCCACCCTGGAGGGGAGGGTTGGTGAGTGCCCGCTGGGCCCCCGACCTTGAGAGGTGCGGGAGGGTCCATGCTTTCCCTGCCTCCACCCTGAGCTCCCGAGGGGCGGTGCACACCCACTGCAAAGTGCCCCTTGTCGCTGGGAGCTCCCGCCCCCGCCTCGCCCAAAGCTGCACCCTGGGGAACCTGTCACCCTCCGCCCGCCCGCCGGAACACGGTGTCGGCAGCATCGCTGCCTGGGGCTGGGGAGGGAGGGGAGGTGCTCAGCCCCCACCCCGGGGAAGCTGTCCCCGGCTCACACGCAGCCCCCGCAGCCCGGCCCTCGCTGACCGCCTCGCCCCAGACGGAGGAGCTCTTCGACCTCATCGCCAGCTCCCAGAGCCGCCGGCTGGACGACCAGCGGGCCAGCGTGGGCAGCCTGCCCGGGCTACGCGTCACCCACAACAACCTGGGGCGCCTGCGCGGCGACGGGGACCCCCAGGAGCCTGGGGACGAGTTCTTCAACATGCTCATCAAGTGCCAGGTAGGTCTGCAGCCTGGAGGGCGGGGGGCTCTGGTCCCGCTGTCTCAGGCTGCCTCTGGCAGATGCCCCGTGGGGAGAGGAGGGACAGCCTGGCTCAGCAAGTGTCACCGAGTGCCCACGGTGCGGGGAGACAGACCCTCCTGACAAGGCCACCCCAGGATGTCCTCAGTTCGGCTGTTCATACAAAACTGGGGGGCCACTGGGTCCCCAAAGCCATGGTGTCGGGGACGCCTCCAGCCCTCCACTCTGGAAAGAGAAAACCGAGGGCCAGGCAGCGCCCTGGAGCGGGGAGGGCGAGAGGAAGGCAGGGGAGGCCTCACGGCCGCGGGCCTGGGCCGGCAGGCGGGCCACGCTGGGGTGGGGGGTGGGGCTCAGTGGGGCTGCTAGGCAGGAGCTGGGCAGTTTGCAGACCTGCCGTCCGTTCCCACAGAGGACAGGAAGGCGCAGCCCTCGGCGGGCCCGAGCAGCCCCCCATCCGGCCCCAACTGAGAACCCCCAAACCCCCCGTCCACACGCACGTGGGCTCCTGGCCCTTCTGCTCCAGACCCTGCGGAGAAGCTCACACACCTCCTCGACCCCTCCAGCCCACCAGCATCGGCCCCGACCCCGCAGGGGTCCCTGAGGAGCTCCCGGAACCTCGGGCTCTGGGATCTACGGCCTCGCACCCAGTCCGTGGGGCTCGTGACCACGCTGCTGCCAGGGTGGTCTGGGAGGCCGCCCCACAGCTCCGTCTCCCTGATGGCTCAGCCCACACCCAGCCGCCGTTGCCTGACCCGCTCTTTTGGGTGGGCTCCTCCGGGGTCAGGGCTCCCAGAGCTGCCCTGGAGCCGATTCCCAGGCGGGTCCAGGGAGGCCCGAGGTGGCCTGACCACCTTGTGACCCGGCACTGTCCCGGGACGACCGCCTCAGGGCTGTCCGCGGGGCCCCGGCGCTGGGGTAGCCTTCCAAGGCCCGGGAGGGCGAGGCCGCCGACCGACCTGTCCGTGTCTGCCAGTCCTCCAGGATCGACGACCAGCGCTGCCCGCCGCCCGACGGGCTGCCCCGCGGCCCCACCATGCCTGACGAGGACTTCTTCAGCCTCATCCAGAGGGTGCAGGCCAAGCGGATGGACGAGCAGCGGGTGGACCTCACTGGGAGCCCCGAGCAGGAGGTGGGCGGGCCACCCGCACCTCGGCAGCAGTGCCAGCCCGGCCCCAGCTAAGGCCTTGCGCCCATGCCAGGCCCGCCCACCCTGTCCCTGGGTGCCCGGGGGAGTGGGTCACCTTGCCCGGGATGGCCAAGGCCATGGCTGAGGGCAGGCCCTGAGCCCCCCACCCTTCCCACCGAGCCGGACGCCGGGCACACTGCCCCTGCGGCGCCCCCTCCCCATGGCGGCAGGCTGGGGCCGGGGCTGCCGTGCAGGGGCAGGCACTCTGTCCTGGGCCGGCCCCACGTGACCTGGTACACAGCTCCCTGCAGCCCCGCCCGTCCGGCGCTGCCCTCACCCCTGCCTGTGCCCCCACCCCGCCCCCAGACCGCAGTGCTGTCTGGACTCCCCGTGACTGCCTCCCGCCCCCCACCATTCCCTCCTGCCCGGCCAATGTGAAAACCCTGCTGCTCCCCACACCCTAGAGGTTCTCCGCAGCCTCTTTGTAGGGCCACCAGCGACACAGACGTCTCTGTCCTCCCAGAGCTGTTCCAGGAGGGCCGAGCGCTGGCATGCTCACACCAGTCCCAGGCTCTCACCCCCTCAGAGGGCCCCTCCCTCCCCCTCTTCCCTCCCACCCATGCTGGGGGAGGGGGACAGGAAGGCACCCCAAGACGCCTGCAGTGGAGGCTGGCTCCCAGGGTCCAGGGCCCCACACAGCCCTGAGCAGGCATTTGCCCCGAGGGCAGGGAGGGGGTAAGCGGGACATTCCGCGGCTCCCTGCTCCACAGTCCAGCTGACGGGGCCTGGTTCCGGGAGGACTGACGCCAGGACAGTGATGGCGTGAGGGCCGTAGCCGTGGGCAGTGGTGGGTCGGCAAAGCCGGGAGGGCTCAGCTCAGCCCCAGCGCCCCAGCGAGGACCCAGCCCTCCCTGCCACCAGCCTCTCCCATACGTGGGGTGGGTCAGGTCCCTGAACACCCAAGTCGGCCCACAGGACTGGGCAGGAGCAGCTCTTCCCTCACGCCGGTCCCTCCTGCTGTCCCTGTGCCCCCGGCCCGGGGCCGAGCCTCAGCTCCACAGCCTGCAGGGCACCGTCGCCCCCTCCTGGGGGCAGCAGCCCAGCCCAGACCTGCTCTGAGGGAGCCAGGGGCCGCCTGGGCTGGGTGTGGGGACCCCCGGGGGCAGGGCTGGCAGGTCGGGCCCCAGGGCACAGGCTTCCGCCCGGCGGCCCCGGTACTTGAATGGACATGTGTATTTATTGCCCTCCTGTGTTTGCCACGTTGTCCGTGGGTCCTTCCCGACCCAAGAGGTACACTTGTTTTCTGTTTTTCTGGAAAAAAATAAAGTCTGCCAAGTGAGTGCTGTCGTTCCAGGGTTAGACTGGGGGTGACGGGCTAGCCTGCGGGTGCAGAGGGCCTGGGGCAGAGAAGGGCCTGCCCAGCCGGGTGCCCTGCCACAGCCTGCCGCCGCTTGTCAGCCCTGGGGGAGGCTGTGCCGTCCTAGCTGGATTCCACACACGTGGACATGCTTGCCTTTCCGGTCCCAAGGCTGCACCCAGGACCCGGGGGCTACCAGGGTAGGGGAGGTACAGTGGGCCTGTGACGTCACATCCCCCAGACCCTGCAGACTGGTGACCCCAATAGGGCAGCCTGTGAAGGGGCAGTTGAGAAAGCAGCTTGGGGCCCATGCCCCACAGATACGCACACCCCGTGAGGCCCTGCCCCCAGTACGGTCTGGGTGCCTGGCAGACAAGGGAGGCCCCCCGCCCTGTGACACACTGTGCACAGAGCCTAGCTGCTCCCTCCACAGCCCCCCACGACCCCAGGGGGCTGAGAGGCCCTAGCGTTAGGATGCAAAAAATAAGACGTGGTCAACCTACACGTCCCAATCACAGGCCTGTTTCCCCATCCACAAAGGGAGGCTCTGGGTGGCCCTACTAGATCCAGCCAGCTCCCCAGACCTCCCCAGACTCTGCTCCCAACTTGGGAGCAGGGAGGCAGACAGGTCGAAGCCCAGCCCCCTGCCCCTGCTCCTGCATTTCAAGGCCTGCAGGTCCCTGCATGGCCTCATGCCTCTGGAGGGGCACGCGGGGGCTGCAGGGGCTCCGGGATGACAGCTCTGTAAACGGCACCGGAGGCTCTGGGTGGGAGTAATAGAGGGTTGTTTGCCGAGGGGAGGACAGGGGGTAATCCAGGCGAAGCGCAGACTGCCGCCGCCCCGGAGGACAGAGCCGAGGCTCCGCGTGCCGGCACGAGGCGGTGAGCAGGCACTCCAGGCCTGCTGGGGTCTGAGAGGCTGGCTGGTGACTCATGCTGAAGGTCACACAGCCCAGAACATTTCTGGAAATAAACATACTTTCATAAACACAGGAACATCCTGAGAAGGCAGTCAAACACGGCTGCAAGACGAATCGCACGCCCGGGGCGGGGGCCACGTGGGGCACTCACAGTCCCCGCCCATCAGGTGGCAGCCCCGCTCCCAAGGCCCTCGTCACCACGGCCACCCAGCCCACCTGCAGCCGCAGTGAGCAGCCTGGTGTGACCCAGGGATGGCAGGTGGCACGGGTGGATCTGCGGGGCCTTCCTGTGTCTGGCCAGAGGGATGGGACACGCACAGTGCGCTGATCCTGTCCCCAGGAGGAACAGGGACGAATTGGCTGTCCCTTCCAGGCCTCTCCCCAGAGACGCCTGGGCACGGCTGAGCCACCTTGTGCCTGTCCCACGTCTGCTCCTCCCAGCCGTGCACCCAACAGGGTGGCACTATGAGCATCTTCATCTGCAGACGGGAAGGCAGAGGCTCAGAGAGGCAAAGTGACCCCCCAGGGCCACACAGCCAGTCAGGAGGGGCTCAGCCCCCACGTCCAGCCCCTTCCCCCCGGACACAGCCTGCATCGGGCAAGTACAAGGGCAGGTGCTCTGCGCAGGGCGACAGTGGAGGGCCAGGCGTCCCGCGGCTGCCCCTGGAGGGGTTCCTGAGTCATTCTGACTCCAGAACTGGGCAACAGGAGAGCCCAAGGCCCGTCATCTGCACGTGGTGTCTGTTTATTGAGAGAAACAGGCAAGTGTGAGCGACGCGGCCCCTCCTCGAGGGTGGGGCAGGGTCAGCCACGCTCTGTCTTGCCAGGGCTGGGGGGGTCCTGGTCCTCATCCCCTTCCGTAGCAGCAGGAGATTCGGGGGCCTCCGCAGCCTCTAAAAGCAGCTCCAGGGCCCCACCACCAGCCAGGCGGTGCACCTTCTCCCCTCTGGCCGCCAGGATTTCCTCGATGTTCCTGAGGGAGAGGGGCAGCGTCACACTCCGGACCCCTTGCCCGTCCTGCGCCTCGGCCCGCAGGGGCACCGGACGCCGGGCTCAGGCCGGGAACGTGGGGCCCCGCGCTGGTGCGGCATCGGGGCTGCCGCCGCAGCCCTCGCGGAGCTGTCTCCTCGCCCCCCCAGGAGCAGCCGCTACGACTGTCCCCTTCCCAGGGGAGAGCGCTTGCTCAGAAGTCAAAATGAACTGCCCAGGGCAGCCTGGCCACGGGTGCCTGACCAGCGCCCCCCACAGAGGGGTGAAGCCGACGGCAGGCCCAGGGCCCCGACCACCACACCTCCCACGTGCCCTCAAGTCTGGTGTGGCCGACCGGACAGCTGCGATGGAGGACAACGGCGTGACTGGCTAGGGTCCCTGACTCATGGCCGGCAGGCAAAATATCTTTGTAGAGTGAAAGAAGGAACCAAAAATTAAAGGAAGTCATCGCTTTAAGAGTCATCATAGTCTGACCTTTCACTTTAGGGGAGGCCAGTGGTCCTGACAAAGGGGTGGGTCCTGCTTGCTGTCAGTGGCGGGGGGTAGGGGGTGTCAGGCAGTGCATCAGGGCCAAAGGGGGCTGAGCAAGGGCTGAAGATTTTGCAAATAAAAACATGTCCCATACCTGGGGCATATTTATATAAAAGTTACCTGTGGCTTATCTGAAACTCAGATATAACCGCTCTTCCAGCACTGGTAAGGCTGGAGAAGGGGGCTCCTTAAACCTCCTTAGGGGGAGGGTCAAGGGTGGGGCCCCTGGCCAAGTGGCCTCACCTCTTCCCATCCAAGTCAGAGAACCAGCCCAGGTTGTCTGCAATGATGTGGTGATTCTGGCAGCCGGGGCAGGTTACAATGACCACACCCTGGTGATAAGCCAGCCTGGAGATTTGCTTGGAGGAGCGAGTCCCACAGACCTGGTGGAGATCAGGGAGACACGGAGCGCAGGTGAGGCCACAGGTCTGGCCTCTCTCCTCCCACAAAGGCCCCTCCCATTGAGGGTTAGCTCCACTCCAAGGCAGGACCAGCCCTTTTCCTAAGGTGCTCCTGAGGGATAAATCCACTCCTCACCACGAGCCTGCCCCACCCCTCTCCGTAAAAGCCATGCCATCGCTCCACCCTCCATGCAGCCCCGCCCCTCTCCCAGAAGGACCCGCCCCCTAAGGGACAGCATCACTTTCCAAGTGTGGCCCTGCACCGCCGGCAGAAGAACCCGTCCCAAGGGTCGCTTCAGCGGCTCCCCGAAGGCCCCGCCCCTCTCCAGGAAGGCCCCGCCTCTGATGATAGCTCCACCCCCGCGAGGCCCCCTCCCTTACGGGATAGCTCCACCCCTCCCCGAGAATGCCCCGCCCCCAGGGGGGTAGCTCCATTCTCTGCACGGCCCCGCCCCTCTTCCAGGAAGGACCCGCCCCTAAAGGGATAGCCCCACTCCACGCGGCCTACACCCCCGCACCACTTTTGTCCAGTGCGCGGTCCAGCGCCAGGTGCGGCCCCGGCCCGGCGCGCGCCCACCTTGCAGGTGTAGACGAGCTGATAGTGCGCCGTCCTGGGCCCAGGCTTGGAGCTCGAGCGCCGCCAGCCGCAGACCCGGGCCCGTATTTTCCCCACGGCTTCCCGGCGGGCTCCGCACCCCCACAGCTGCCTCAGACCCGGCCCCCGGGGCCGCACGCGGCTCACCAGCGTCGACACCCGGCACAGTGCCGCTCGCAACATCCCTCCCGCCCCGCTGTCGTCCGGCAGAGCTGAGGCCGCGCCGCCGCCATCTTGGAAGCGGGCAGCGGCGGAAGCGACCTTCCTCGGCCCGCGTAGCGGGCTCTGCTACCCCCTGGCGGCGGGCGGTGCGCGCCGACGGACAAGGGGTTGGAAGGTGCGCACGAGTAAGGCTATCCGTCGTTTATTTAGGAGCTGCGTTTCTAACACTGCTCATGCGTGTGCGTTACATAAAGGTTGAACTCGTCGGTGAATGGCACAGTGCGTGTGCTGGTGAGGAAACGGGCGGCCGAGAGAGAGGCGGCCCAACGGGGCGGCGCCCACTCCTGGCCGAGCGGTCAGCGGCTGCTCCGGGCCGGCGGGCCTCCTGCACGACGGCCGCTAGGAGCCCTCGGTGTCGGTGTTGTCGCTGCCTGTGGTGTTCTCCCAGTCCACCTCCCCTTGTCTTGAGCCGTGCTGCATCTTTCGGAGCGCCCGCTTCCTGCGAGAGAGCCGAGGGCACAGATGTGCGCAGGCGCCCTCGGGCCGCGCACCCGCACGCCCCCCGCCGCCCCTCCCTCCCTGCCCGCAGCCGGCCAGCGCCCAAGTGGGCCCACCTGCGGTAGTTCTCAAAACTCTCTTTGAGGCGCCGCCGCTCCTTCTCGGGGGGCTCCCCGCCGCTCAGACCTGCCCCCTGCAGCGGAGTACAGGGACGTAGGCGGGGAGGCTCAGGCTCCAGCCAGGGCCCGCGTGGGCCCCACCCCCGCCCCGGACTGAGTGCGGTGGGGCCCATATGGGAGCCCGCTGCGCTAGCTCTGCATGGGAACAGACTGGCCGCCGTCGTGTCCTGTGCGCACCCCCTGAGGGGAGGGAGGTGTGGGACCCTCCCTTCAGATGACCAGACAGGCCCAGAGCGTGGTCGGGATCCCAGGCCAGGGTTCCCCTTATCCCTTTCCAGTGGGGGACTCGGGGGCAACAGAGGTTATCCACTAAAGCTGCCTGGCCGAAGACAGGCTTCCCACTGCCCTGTCCTGGCGACGCCGCTGCCCGCTGCTTTGTGCAGGGAAGGGGCTCAGCTTCATGTTCCAAACACTGCCCCCCAAGAGCCCGTGAGCAGGGCAGAGACCCTTGTGATCATCCGACAGGAATCCCTCTCCCCACCCAGGGCCACCAGAGCTGCCTTACATTGGGGGTCAGTGAGAGCCGTTCCTTCTGCAGAGCCTCAAAGGGCTGCTCTGGGCTCTCCCTGTCAGCCAGGCCACCTGGAAAGGAAAGCTGAGCCTGTGGGTCCTGCCCACTTGGCAGGGCCCACACCCCCTCCTCGGCCCTGGTGTTGCCGGGCCGGCTCTGCTCCATCCTCACTTGGACCGCACTGGGGCTCACTCCCCACTCCCAGAAGGAGACTCCCTGGGGCTGCTCCCTCCGGGATGTCCAGGCCCCTCCCCTGTGGGGGCTGGGGTACTGCTGCGGTTGGACCCCTCCCAATGTGCCAGGGCCTGGACAGGCCCAGGGCTCAGGACCCTTGGGCGTCAGGTGCTCTGAGGGGCCAGCTCCCCTAAACCGGCCACGATGGGAGACTATGGACTCCAGTCTCAGGGACATCATAGTGGGCCCAGGGGTCTGCCTGGTGCCGACACCCCGCTCCTCAGCCTCCGACCCTCGAGCCGCCCTGGCTCCTGTGAGGGGCCACACCGCCCTGGGCCAGGGCCCCAGGGCTGGATGGCTCGCCACCTTCCAGATCCTGCTGCGTGTCCCTCTGGGGCGCTCGGTAACCTCAAGCCCCGTCTTTGGGCCGCAGCAGACTGCCCGACCCTCACTTCTCTATTCGGTGTCCCTTCTTCCTCTTTTGCCCCCTTCAGAGGCTGGGGTCAGGCCTGACACTGAGGAAGTCCTGTCTGGCTTCCCACGCACACTCTGCGGTGGACCCCTCCTCTTCCCAGCCCAGCACAGGCTCTTCCGGGACGCTGACACCCACCTGCAGAGCGAGGCCCTGGCCCCTCTCACCCCACTGGGCCATCTCCCGGCTGCCCCAGCACATTCCTGCCCCAGTCAGGCAGCGGGGTCCTACCCCTGCCACCTGAAGTACCCCCCGCCCCCGCCCTGCCCCGCCATTTGCCGCAACAGCCCCCTTTCCCTGCTCTGCCCCTGCTTCCTGACCCGGCTCATCCGGCACACCTGGGCGCCGCCTTACTGCCGCCTCCCCTGCGCCCTGCCAGAGGGGGCGCTCAGCGAGGGCAGGGCGCCTCCAGCCTGTTGATGGCAGCCGGAGCTGGGGTGCAGACCCTGCAGGCCGGGCCCTGGATTCAGAGGGGGCTCTCGAGAGCTCGCTGAGGGACTTTGGGGTTACCTGTCCCTCCCAGCCTCGGTGTCCCCCACCCCCCGCCTCGGGAAGTCCCATCGTGAAGATCCGTGGGACAGGGCTGGAGGAAGCATCCCCAGGCACCAGGTGCCAGCCACCCGGGGCTGCATGTGCCGAGGGTGGGGACTGGCATCAACTCGGGGCGACAAGGAGGCTGGGGGTGGCTCCCGTGCTCCCCCCTCACCTTTGTCAGAGAGCTGGGCATCCTCCTCCAGGTCCTGGGGGATCGAGAGCTTCCAAAGAGATGGGGCAACCAGTTATCACCCTGGCTCTGCAGACCTGGACCTGACCCGCAGCGCGGCTGCCCCCGCCGCCGTCACCCTCCACACCGATTCCTCTGGGACCCCTGCGGCACAGCCAGGCCAGGGCCCCGCAGGGAGACCCCCACGAGGGCCCGGGGTGGGTGCTGCACGTGGGGGCCCCGCAGGCCCCTGCTGCTCTTCCTCTGCCCGGCCGAGCGACGGGAGGAGAGGGGACGGCCCCGCTCACCAGAGCCGGTGGCAGGCGGCCGAGCTTCTGGAGCTTCCAAGGGACGCGTATGGGGCTGTGGTCCGGGAGAGGCTGTGGCCGGGAGCCTGCCCGGGGGTCACACTCACCTCCTGGGAGTTCCTGGGCGAGCTGTCCTCCAGGTCGGAACTCTGTGGTCATAGAAGAGGGGCCGTTCAGCAGGCAGCGGGGAACGGAGCCGCCGTGGGAGTGGGCTGTGGTGGGGGTGGTGAGGGGCCCCCTCTGCCCCTCGTCACACTCAGAGCCCCCTGCCAGACCCTGGGTTCCTGCAAGTGGGCTCCATTCGGAGGGGGTTCAAGAAGGCCGGGGGACCTGCTAGGGCCACCAGGGGGCAGTGGCCGAGACAGACCAGGACGAGGCTAGCCGGCGGTTCCCCCTCCTCCTCCTCCTCCTCTTCCTCCTCCTCCAGTCTCTGGGGACCTGCCCGCTCCCGGGGGGCCACCCTGGGGTCCCTCCGCACACGCAGGGCCCTCGGGAGGCGCACCAGGACCAGCATCTCCAGCTGCTGCTGCTTGAGCCTGCCCTCCGCGGCCAGCAGCTGGCCCTCACACTGGAACAGCTGCAGCTGCAGCTCATCCGCCTTCTCGCTCAGCTCCCGCACTTGCTTGCGCAGCACATCCTTGTCCTGCAGGCTGCGGGCATACTGCGTGTGCAGCTCCTCCCTTGACGAGATGGCCTGCGGGGAGACCCACGGTGGGGACCTGGGCGGCCCTACACCCAGCACAGCCACCCACTGGCCCAGCCGGGCCCAGCCCGGCCCAGCCTGGCCTCCTCCGCGGCAATTGTTAAAGACTCTTGGCAGGAAGTGTGGGCCACTCAGAAAAGATAAGGAGATAAAAAACCTCCACACGTGTCATTCCCCCAGCCCTGCCTGTTGCTGGATGTTCCACACATGTGCCCCACGCACAGGTTTGTGAATTTCAGCTGTGGTTCAGGTCAAGACCGTGGCTGTGAGCGGCTGCATGCTGTTCTTTAGAACGAACGCACCACGCCGCACCTTCCGCGCCCGCAGGCCCAGTGGGTGTGGCTACCTGGTCCCGCTCGATGGCCACCTCCTCCATCTGCAGCAGGACGGCCTCGATGCGGTCCTTGTACATCCTGGAGTCCTTCCGCAGGGCCAGGCACTGCAGCTCGAACACCTCCTTCTCCTCCGCGCACTGCAGGAGACGGCAGCTAGGCTCCTCCGCCCGCGGCCCCGACCCTGCAGGCTGGAGGGGCCCCGCAGGCCCTGCCAGACCTGGGCGCCCAGACCAGCGCTTGGCCCTGGCTGTCCCGGGGAGAGCGGGCGATGGGCGGGGCAAGGCGGCAGGGCCCTGTGCCTCCAGGCAGGGGACAGACGGGGGATGGGGAGCTGCCCGCTAGCAAGCCCCGCCCCGCCCCAGGTGCCCCCCACAGCCATGTCCTGCAGCCCAGGCGGCGTACCCGGGCGCGCAGAGCCTCGCTCTGGCGCAGGTCCTTGCGCAGGGTGAAGATGGTGGTCGCCTGCTCCTGGTGGTCCCGCAGGGCCTGCCGCCAGTCCTCCTCCAGCACCTGGATGTAGGGGCTGCCCCTGTCTGGCCTGCCCTCTGGCAGGGGGCGCAGGGCGCCGGGCGGCAGGGTGGCGGCCTGCGTGGCGGCCTCCAGCTCCTGCACGCGGGCCTGCAGCTGCGCCTTCTCCTGCTGCAGCTCCCACAGCAGCTCCTGGCTGGGCCGCTGCTCCATGGCGTGCCGCAGCTTCAGTGTGTGCTTGCGCTCCACCTTGCAGTCGTCCTCGGCCTTCATCAGGCTGTGCTTGAGCCGGTCCACCTGCCGACGGACGGACGGCTGTCAGCTTGGCAGCCCCCCCACCGCAACCGGCTGCGGGCCTGCCGCCGGCCCCCCTGCCAGGGACGCCCAGGGACGCCCAGGGACGCCCGTGGCCCCGGCCCCTGGGGCACCTCCAGCTGCAGGTCGCGGTTTCGCATGAGCGCAGCTCCCTTCTCCTCGCTCTGACGGGCCAGGCGCATGGCCAGGTCGTAGTTCTCGTCCTTGCAGCGCTTGAGCTCACGGCTGCAGGCCTCGCACTCCTCCTTGAGCTTCTGCACGCGCTCCTGGTGCTTGCGGAGCAGGCTGTCCTTGACCCGCAGCTCCTTGATGAAGTCGTCCTTGGAGCTCAGCAGGGCTGTGAGGTCCTGCACCTTCTTCTGCAGCTTCGTGACCTCGTTCATCAGCAGCTGTGTCAGGCCCGACTCCCCAGACGCGTCTGCGGACCGGGCCGGCGTCAGCTGGTCATCGGTCACCCGCTCCACCTGGCCCCATCATCCCCTGGGGCCCTGGATGGGACCAGCAGCTCCTGGATCCCAGGGACAATTCCCAGTCACTGCTGCTCCCCTGGAGGAAATGGACTGAGATTCTGACCCCCCCACCCCCAGACAGGGTGCAGCCAGGGGGCCAGCATGTGTCCTGTTTCTTTAATTGTGTTGTGATCTTGACTATGACGCAAGAGGACTCAACTCTGGGGCCAGGAGGGGGCAGCATCGCCTTTGCTGGGACCAACAGGCCCCTGGCCTGTCCAGTCAGATGGTCTTCTGTGTGGGACAGGCCCCGGACCCTGGGTCGGCCTGTGCACCCCCACCCCCCACCTGCCTCCCACTCCAGACGAGCCGCGGGACGGGAGCCGCGGGACGGGAGCCACGAGCAGGCACGCCTGCAGGGGCCCCTCCCCACGCCTGCCTCCGTCGTCTTCTCCCATCCCCATTTAATCTCGGGGAGACCCGACAGGGGGGGCCTGCCGGCCCCCGCCCCCAGGCCCACTCCACCGGGTCCTGACCCTTGACCCTGGCCCTGCGCCTGTCCTGCTCTGCCCCACTCGCCCTGGCCCGCCCGGCCCCACGCCGGTGTCCAGCCCTCACCGATGATCATGGAGAAGACACGGCTGGGCTCCTTGCCCGTGACCTTCTTGTAGAGCTGGGGGTAGTAGAGCTCCAGGCTCTCGAGGAAGGCCACGTAGCCCTTGTGGCCCGTCCGCTGCAGGATGTCCAGCAGCACACCTGCAACCCAGAGAGGCTGAGCGGGGCCGCGGTGCTGGGGGAGCGTGGGTCTAGCCAGGCCAGCCAGGTAGGGGGCCGGGGGCCGCCCCCCGCCCCTGTTCTTGGCCCTCCATGGCCTCAGCTGGTGGGGCGGCGCCAAGCACATGGGACAGGCGCGGGGTGCCAGGGATCTCCCGCCCCCGTGTGGCCGCGAGGGACCAGGGTGGGCAGCAACAGCGGCAGCCACTTCTGGGTGGGCTCCCTGCCGACCGGGTGGGGCAGCACTGACCCACTTTCCGCTTGCGGATGACCAGGTTGGGGTCGCTGAGCACCTGCTCCTCGTCGTCGGGGTTCAGGACCTTGCACTGCCGCAGGTAGGGCGTGATGCGCGAGGGGTCGATGACCGAGATGAGCTTCACCCTGAAGCCCTCCAGGGTGCTCCAGCACTCGTCCTCGTTCTCGTAGTCTGACATGGCGGCGGGGGCGGCTGGGGCGCGGAGAGTGCAGGGTGGTCAGACCCCGCCACGACCCGGGCCGGCCTCTGAGGTGCCGGCCGGAGTGCGGGTCAGAGGCCGACGCAGAGCTCGCCCAGGAGCGCCGGGGAGAGGCGTGCGGCCGCCCCCCGCCCTCCCCCCTCGGTAACCAACCACACAGCGGCGCAGCGCCCTGGGGTGGCTGTCCCCAGCCTGTCCTGGGCCGTGGTCCCGCCCCTCCGGCCACTCTGAGTTACCCAGGTAAGAGTGCGGGGCGGTGTGGAGATGCCCCAGGGACAGGTGGCGTCTAAGAAAACACTGTCCTCTTCAGCAGGGCCCTCTAGCCTCTGCCCTGCTCCTGGACACCCCCTAAGTGCCACAGGCCTGGAGCTGGCAGGGACAGCTGCCTCCCTTCGCAGAGCTGAGTGGGCAGGAGGAGCTGCTGGTGCCGGTGCCACCTGCTGGCACAGCCTCACTGGCAGGTGTGGGAGGGAGGTTCCAGCCCCCGGCCAGCTGCTGCCCAGCCTGGGGCCAGAAGCATTTTGGCAAGGGACCCTCCCACCTGCGCAGCCCCATGACTTCCTCATTCCCCAACTCCACGCCCGCTCCCATCCCAGTCCTGCCCCCTCCTCTCCTTCCGGTGGCTGGCCAGTGATGCAACAGCCACCCAGCAGCTGCGCAGGGCTGGCCAGCTCTGAGTCAGGCTCAGCAACACTGCTCTTTGGGAAGGGTAGCCGGACGCCTACAGGGGAGCCCGGCCTGGCACACGGGGAGGGACTGCAGAGGTGGCAGCTGGGGCCGGCCGGAGATGTTGCTGAGGCGCCTGTTCCAGGCACTCCGGTCCTTCCTGTGTCCCCAGTCACCTCTGGGCTCCTCTCCCGCCTCCCAGGTGAGGCAGGGCCAGGCCACACTCCTGGGGACAGTCGTGCCTGCGGTGGCAGCTCTCTGACAAAGGGGCTGCTTATCTTGGGACTGCCCACTGCTGTTCCTGTCTACCGGACACCTGCCCTCTCCGGGGCCAGGCCAAGGCAGGGAGCAGCCATGTAGTCACTGCTCCGGGCGGTGGGGACAGAACCTTCAGCTGAGGTGGACATGGGCAAGGCTGGCACCAGCCCCAGGATCTAGACTGCACTCCTAGAGGCCTGGATGGGGGCGGGCCTGGGCTTTGGAGGGATTTCCCTGACTTCTGCTGTGCTTAGTCTCCCCCCGGCCCAGCAACAGCCAAAACATTGAGGAAAGACACAGAGACTCAGTGGACGGTCCTTGGGTCCCTGGCCATCCTGCCTCTCTAGCCTAAAGCCGGCAGGTCGGACACCTGACGCCCTGCTGTTGGCTCCACTAAAATGCAGAAGCAGGGGCCCGTGGCCAGGAAGGCGCACGGGGCAGAAGGGTTGAGGCTACTGGGTGCCCTTCTGGGACGTTTGCAGCAGGACCTGCCCTGTCCCGGGGGGCCCCAAGCAAGGAGCCCAGTGTCATCCCCGCCACCTCTCAGAGAGGGCACGGGCCAGCCTACCTCAGGGTCCTAGAGGGGGCACCTGCACCGCTGGATGCCGAGCAGCCACAGACGCCAATTCAATGAGGGACAGGACGGGCTGCCGCCACCGGCAGCGAGGGCAGGCGGAGCCGAAGGGAGGCCAGTACTTCCTGAAGTCCCAGGTGGCTGCCCTCTGATTGGCCAGCCAGGGAGGCCCGGGAGGTCGGCCCGGGGAAGTGGAAGTTGCCTGGCTCAGAGGAAGGCTGTCGGGAGCCCTGCTGCCCCAGAGGCCCGGCCTCAGCCACCCCAGAACCCCCACAAAGTGCAAGTGTCAGCAAGGACTCTGCAGGGGCTGGCCCAGGACGCACACCGCCGGGTCTGCTTTGGCCCAGACACAGGCTTCTGGAGGCTTTTCAAGCAGGGGGTGCTCTGTGCCTAATGCGTTCACCCTTGCCAGCCCCCTGGGGACGAGCAGCCAGGCAGGGGCGCTACGTAGGGGACACAGGCGGGAAGAAGTCACCCAGGACCTGAGGGCACCGGACTCTGGGCTCCTGGCTGAGCACCCCCACATGCAGCCAAGCCAGCACGCGCGTGGGCCACGTAGGGACTGCCGTGTGGTGTCCCGAGGCCACTGCAGCCTGCAGGAAGGCACTGCCTGGCCACACTTGCCCCACGCCGCCAGCGGCCAATGCTGTGGCTAGCGCCTCCTCAGCCTTTCCTGGGAACGTCCCCACTTCCCACCAGGACACACGGGATGGTGGCAGCAGGCTCCCGAGACCCTGACAGCCATGGCACCAGCCCTCTGTGGGCCCTCTCGCCAGGCACCGCCTCGTCCCTGGTACCCAGGGAGCTGGGCGGCTGCCTGCTGGGGCGTGGGGATGGCAGCCGGACGGGCAGGACGGGCCGGACAGACTCCCTGTGGCCAGCAGCCCACCCCGCCTTCCTGAGGGAGGCGCCCGCCTTGCCTCACCGCTCGCTTCCTGTGGCACCCTGGCCCTTGCCCCTCTGCCCACAGCCCACGGCGGTCGGCTGGCTGTTTGCCTGAAACCTCGGAGCCCTGCACAAGCAGTGGCTGCTGAGTCTCGGGGGCAGCACGGGGGCCTGACTCCCGCCAGAAGCGGGCAGCCTGGGGCCCCGTGAGCCCTTGGGAGACCCACACTCTGGGGGCCCGAGCCAGGTCGGATGCCACTGGCTTTGGTAGGGGTGGGTGGCCCCGCTGACTGGATGGTGGGCTGCGCAGGGCCCACGACCAGCCCGCTTCCCGCTTTGCATGAGGGAGGCTAATGAAGAGGCATTAAATAACAGACCTGCCTCGCTCTTGGGGTACATCGGGGTTAAGCTAAGACATCGGGAACAGAAAGACACCTGGATGACCCCTGCACACCTGGGAACTAAATACAAACCTCTGGAGAGCCTCCGGCTGGGGGACATCGAGCGGAAGCCGGGGTCAGCTGAGCGCAGGTGCCCAGCAGCAGCCGCACACACAGGCAGCCAAGGGGCGGGCAGGCCCTGGGAAGGGGGGCGCGGGGCCCCCGGTGGGTGGAGGGGGCCAGGGGTCCAGGCACAGCTGGGCCCAACTGCGCCATTTCTGGGCTGGACACTTTCAATAAACCAGGGAAATCAAAGCAAAGTGGCCACAAGTTCAGGAGGGGACCACAGCCTCGGAGGCTGGGGGCTGCACCCAAGCACCGCGTCCCAGGGCAGAGGGCAGAGGGCAGAGGGGAGGGGACAGCAGCTCTGGGACTGGGCCTGGTGCTAGAGGAAGGCTGCGTGGAGGGAAGCGGCGTTTCGTGGGCCGCCTGGTCGGCCTGGCCTGTGCGGTCTGGCCGGCAGAGGAAGTGGGTCCCGCATCCCTGAGGTGGCGCCCAGAGGGCTGGCAGCCACGCTGCTTCTTGTGAAAAGGCCTCTGCACCCCCACCCCCTGCAGAGGCACGGGGAGCAGGGGCCCTGAGGACCCCAGGGCCCCGCCGGCGGCTCCCAGCACGTCCAGGGGAGGCCTAATCTCTCCACTTGCTGCCCAGGATCTCAGGACAAGGCCACAAGGGCCTGTGGCTTGCTTTTTAATTATCAAAAATAGGGCATTTATCAATTCTTTAAAATATTCCAGTTTGCACTTGGGGGACAAGCAGCTGAGCCCAGACAGTGTGGTCACTCCTGGCAGAGCCTCCTGGCCCCAGCAGCCGTCTCTTGCAGGGTGGGTGGCGGGCCTGCCCGTCCAGTAGGGTCCAGGCACCTGCGGCGGCCGCAGCAGCTCCGGGCAGTCCTGGAACGCAAGCACTGTGATAGCGGGGGTGCCCCGGCCCCAGGGTGGCACCATGGATGGGCCGAGCGCCGAGGGCGGGCAGCCCCTGGGGGCTCGCCTCTCCCTGCCCAGCCCTCCAGGACCCAGAGCCTCCGGCCCCTGGGGGCCTGGGTTTCGTGAGTTCAGACAGCGCGCGCGGAGGGCCTCCTCAGTGCCTGTGGCCTGACTGGGGGCCCCGCTGCAAAGAGCTGCGTGCCTGCCCCCATGGGCTCATGTTCACAGGGAGACTGCGTGGGGGTGGGAGGGGACAGGTGCCTCGGACAGACGGACACCGGGACGGGCAGTGGCTCCTCAGCAGTGGGGCCAGGGGCATTTCTGAAGAGCAGCCCACGGAGGAGGCAGGCAGGGAGAAAGGCACAGGGCAGAGAGGCAGCAGGGAGGCTATGCCCGGATCCCCCAGACCCTGGGCACACCCGCCGGGCATCAGCCACCTGCCGTGAGCCCCGGGGCGCTCAGCCGCCCCCGCTCACCTGCTGCTCACAGCAGCCTCCTCCGTTTCCGGGCGTGCCGGCTGTGCCTCGTCCTAAGCACGTCAAGGTCATCAGAGTCATCTGGGCAGGAGGGGGCAGAGCCCTCATCAGGGTCTGGGGCTCCCTGAAACAAAGTCCAGGGGAGGGAAGGACAAGTGACCCTCTGGCCAGGATGGGCAGGATTGGGGGGCAGCGAGGAGCAGAAAGGATTAGGCCTGGGGCCCGTGGCCACCACGCCCCCAGCCCCTGGGACAGGCAGTTCAGACACACTGAGGCCCCAGCAGCAGGGCCACCGCAGGCTGGGCCTGGTGATGCCACACTGGGACCGGCAGGCAGGGAGCGGGAGGGCCCCACACGGGCTCTGGCAGCCTGCTGACCTGTGCCTCCCCTGGGAACCCCCAGGTGCCAGCCCGTGTCCTGGTTTCCCCAGCCGGGTCAGCAGGACAGTGACCGAGGACATGGGGTGAGAGGGTGGGGAGCATGGGAGGCTGCACCCGGGGGACCGGAGTCCTCCCTTCCCCTCGGGCCCAGCTGCATCCCCGCTGCTCACAGCCCCTGGAACCCAGGTGAGGCCTCTCAGGAGGCAGGTGACACCCCAGCAGCCCAGGCTGGACTGAGCCTGTAGGGAGGGTGGCACAGACCCTGACCACAGCCCTGCCCCCCAGCCCAGGGCCATGGACGCCCCTGGTGGGGCACGGGAGGCCGCACCGGCTCCTGGGACACCACTGCGAGCCCCCTGGACAACCTCCCCGCTGGCAGAGTCTGAGGGGGCCCAGCTCTCCTGCTCAGCCCCAACGGGGATGGAGGTGGGGGTGGCCTTGCTGAGGACTCCGGGGGCCCATGGCCACCGGGGGACGCAAGGACTCCTTCCCCTCATCCTATCACCTTCCTCATGGGGACATGGCTTTGCCCCACAGCTGAGAGCCCTGCTGAGGTGGATGGAGCTGGAACCGGCACCTGAGGGGCTCAGCGTCCACAGAAGTGCAGGGCAGACGCGGGGCTCCCCAGGAGCAGGGTGTGTGTGCATGGGGGGCCTGAAGCCTGAGAGCAGGCTCCCCCTCAGAACCAGCCCGGGCCGGAGCCCAGGAGGGCAAGGGTCTCCCCGCGTCTGGAGCGAGGCTCCTCCCCCTCCGTCGCCACAGTGGCCCAGGGGGAGGCGCCTGCCGCACACAGCCAGGGCGCAGCCACAGCTGGGCGGCCCGCGGCCCCTCCCCCTCAGAAACCAGCCCGCCACTGGCCACCACTTCCACCTGCTCTGGTCCCCGGTCCCCGCCCCTCTGGGCAGGCCGCATGTGGCAGGGGTTGGGGGGGCCCTGCAGGGGACACAAGGACAAGGGGCAGGCACTGTGCCCCTGGCCACCTGCCTGGACAGGGGTCGTGGTCGCTGGTCCTGCCTTGGGGCTGTCGCCACCGAAGAGCTCCAGCTCCTCCAGGTCCTCGTCCTCGCTCTCTGCATCGGCCCCTGAGGCTGCCGACAACGTGGTGGGGACGCCGGGCGGGGGCAAGGTAGCCAGGAGTGCAGGGAGGGTGAAGGCGGCCAGGAAGCGGGCCTTGAGCAGCAGGTAGGCTGGGCTGTCCCGCAGCTGCCTCCGCACACGCCCCAGGGAGGCCTGCAGGGCCCCGGCCACTCCGCCAGACCCCAAGGAGGCGGCACTGCGTTCCAGGGTCTCCTTGTGCAACAGGAGGCCTGCCAGCGCCCGCAGGCTGCCCAGGGCTGGGGGCTGGTAGGGCAGCCTGCTGCCCAGGGGAGGCACGCACACCCCGCACTGTGCCCCCAGCCATTCCCGCACAGCCGTCTCACTCTCCTGGGAGAGGAGGCCTACGTCCGGGCCCCCCTTCTCAGGCCCAGGCTGGGCTGTGGGGGGTGTTGCCAAGCCCAGAGACGCCCTGGTCTCCCTGGGCTCCGACGGGAACACCAGCGTCCCCCCCGGGCCAGCACTGCAGTGCGGAGGCAGCTGGCCGGCGCAGGGCGGCTCTGCCACAGGGGCGTCATCCGGGCCTGCAGCCAGCGAGGCTGTCTCCCCAGCCACTCGGGCCTCTCCAGAGGAAGAGTGTCCCCCGGGAGCACGGGCCACGTCACGGCCCCCTTCAGCAGAGATTCTGGGCGGTGGGGGTGTGGGGAGGGTTGTGAGGTCTGTCCTGGAGGCAGGAGCTGATTCCCTGTCCGTGCTGGCAGGGCCCTGGCCTGCCTGAGTCTCGGTCAAGGAGGACGATGCAGCCACTGACAGCCCTTCGGGGTCAGAGGCCCCCGCTGGCCTGGGAAGGCCCACCACGGCTGGCACCGGCACGGGGAACAGCCCCTGGGCTGTGAGCACCCAGGTGACAGGCAGAGGGGTGCTGGCCGCCATCTGGGGCCCACCGCTGTGGGGGCCCAGAGCTGGCATCAGGCTGAGGGGCTGGACAGGCTGCTGGATGGGGCTGGGGGCTGCAGGGAGAAAGGGCAGTGCCTCGGGCAGGCCCTGCTTCCGGGACGCGGCAGGGGCCTGAGACTGTCCGAGGCCGCTCATGGGGACCAGGCTGGGGCCCAGGTCAGGGGCCCTGCAGGTGGCTGGGACCTTCGCAGCCACTAGGGAGACGGGGCCAGAGGCCAAGGGCTGCAGGGCCGGGGGCTCCTTGTCTGTGGGTGAGGCCCGGGAGCCCGAGGGACTTGGACCGGCCGCTGCAAGGGCCCCAGGCTCAGAGGGCGTGGAGCTGGAGACGGCCGGCACTGGGGCTGGGGGGCCCTGGGAGGCCAGCGGCAGAGGAGCCTGGAGGACCACAGGCGAGGAGACCAGCAGCTGGGGCGGGAGAACCACGGGGCCCCGGGCAGCCTTGGCGGCCCGGGCCTCCCGCAGCCGCTTCTCCCGAAGCAGCTCGGACACAGTCTTGGGCTTGGGCCGGGGACCGCACGGAGTGGGCGGGGGCGCCTGAGACGCGGACTCGGCCTGGCGGGCCTGCGGCCCATCGCTCCCCCGGTGGCCAGCGCTCTTCTTGGCAGTTTCTTGGGCTGGCCCGCTGCGCGAGAGGGAGCCTGAGGAAGGGGAGCACACACACGGGTGAGGACCGGGCGCAGGCCCTGACGCAGCTCCCACTTGCTCTCTGCTGGGGGCGTGGGGGGCCCGGCCTTCAGGCCCGGGGGGCTCGTCCTCCGCTGAACCTTGAACACCTTCAATCACTCCCCTGCTCCCACCCCAGCATCACCGCCTGGGACTCAGGCCCGATTCTGCGGCTGCGGGCGGACTGTGGCAGCTGGGCAGAGGCTCCGCCTCCCAGTCTGTGCTGGGGAGGCCTCAGGGCTCCCTCGCTGTGCTCACAGGTGGGAGCCCCAGGGACTGACCCCCACCCCAGCTCAGGCCAGCCAGGCGCTTGTCCCTCTAACGGGACTCCCCGCCGAGGACAGGCCCGGCCTCTCCCCACTAGACAAAACGGCCAAGGGAAAGGGAGAGGCAGTACCTGGGGGGTTCTGGGCACTTGAGGGGACCTGAAAAAGAAGGAAGAGGGTAAGCACCTCAGGGAGAGTCCAGGGGCCTGGGGTCCTTCACGCCACCGAGGCCACAGGTCGCCTCGTGCCTGGTGAGGGGCAAGGCCTGTGCTCCGCACCGCTGCTCATACAGCTCAGGCCACGGCCCAGCCTGCAAGCCCTCCCCGTCCACGCACCCGCCCCAGGGCCCCGGCCGCCCTTCGGAGGCAGCTCCACCTCAAGGCACCCCTGGGAGGGCTTGTCTAGGTGGGCCTGGGCTGGTCGGCAAGAGGCGGGGGCGGGAGGGCCCGGGGGCTCTGGAGCCTGGATGGGGCGCCATGGGCCGCCCTCAGTCCGCAGACCTTTCTGTCGTCTCTTCCAGGGCGACTGGGCCCAGGACACAGCCTTTTGTTGACAGACCCCACGGACTCGGCCGCCTGCGCCAAGTGCCCGGCCCAGTGGGGCTGCGCCGGAGCACCAGGGGTGGCAGGTAAGTGGGAGGAGCCCACGGCGGGAGCCTGGCGGCCCAGGCGTGGGCCCTGTCTCGGCCCCTGGACCTGTCTGCGAGTCATCGGGGCTCTAGGCCCCTGCGAAGAGAAGGGCAGGCCCCTCCTGAACCCGACCCCAGGGGCCCCAGCACCTCCTGTCCCAAGAGCGGGAGGTCCTTACCTCCTGGCCGGGCCAAAGCCACCTATACCCAGCGCTGCCTGGAGGACGGGAGGGGAGGGCGGCAGGAGCAGGCCGGGCCCGCGCCTGGCGCTCCCCTCACTTCTCACCTGGGCGCCGGCCTGGGCCCGGGCGGGCAGCCGGGCTCTCCTCTCTTGGATGACCTCCATGCAGCCGGCAGTGTCGATCTGGAATAGCTGAGGGCGTGAGGGGCACACATGGGACACACGCACGACACAACATGTGGCCGGAGGCCCTTCCCTGTCCCCCGCAGCTCCCAGGGCCAGGACGTCACAGGCATCTGCAGTGGGACTCGGGCCGGCCTTGAGCGCAGCACCTCTCAGGGGCGGGTCCGAGGCGCAGGCTGCAGCCCAGCGCAGCCCCTCCAGGCCGGCCCCCGGCTGCCTTCCTGCCCGATCCAGACCCTTGGGCACTGTCCCCACCGCCCGCCCCCCCGACCCTGCAGCGGCCAGGATGCCCTGGGCCTCCCTGGCCCCACCCATCCCAGGACCAAGGCCAGTGGATGGGGGCAGGGACGCTGCCACTGCAAGATGTTGGCCACTGAGGGACTGGTTTCAAAGCCCCCTAACCCCTGCAGGAAGCTGCACTTCAGGCCGATCCGCCCCCATCGGCCCAACTTAAGAGACACACAAGGGGGTGAGCCCAGGCAAAGACCCACCTGGATGAAGAGCGTGAACACTGGGGTGCTGGCCAGGTGGGCGTCCTGCAGCTGTGCCCGGATGCTGTCGGCTGGGGGACAGAGGCACGGGCGCAAGGTGGCCCCAATGACCACATCTCTCTCCCGGAGGCCCGAGAGCCCCGGCAGCCGCGGGCCGGGCAGGGAGCCCCAAAGAACCCGAAGTCCAGCTGCTACCAAGTTTCACCCAGGCGGCCGGAGCCAGAGGCAGGCTGGCGCTGGACGGCCCTCAGCTTGGCCTTTGGCTGGGGACAGTCCCTCTCGAGCGCGGGCGCTCACGCGCCTCGGCCAGTGCTCCAAACCTGGCCTTGCACGCCTGTGCGCGCAGGCAGGCGGGCCTGCTGAGGCCTGAGGGTCCGCTCGCGTCCCAAACGGACCGCTGGGCACTGAGCAGGACAGCAGGGGCTAAACCCCCTGCCATGGACACCCTTCCAGGGAGACGAACACAACTTGGTCGGCCCATGCGCTCCCCCGCCTCTCCCCGCCCCCCAGTCGGCTCCTGGAGCCGCGGGCAGTACCTTGCGTGGGCACCGTGGGCCTCCGGGCAGCACAGGGCAGGGTGATGTCGCCCACCCACGGGCTCACGGCCGCCAGCAGCCGGCGCTCCAGGAGCCTCCGCTGCAGGGCGTGTCCGCGGGGCCGCGCTCGGGGCCTGGCTGCGCCGCTTCCACCAGGGCCGGTGCCCCAGGGCGGGCCCAGCCGGCACGGCTGCTTCCGTTCCCGCGCCTCCTTCTGTGGGGTAAGGCGCCTGAGCCCCATCCTCCCTGACCGCCCCCACCGCCCGCGTGTTGGAGGGAGCGTGCCAGACCAGGGCGGGAGAGGGGGCTGGGTGGTAGCAGCAGTGTGTGCACCGCGTGCGCGGTCAGGGCGGAGGGTGTGGTGGGTGGACGGACACAGGAGAGCCCTTACGAGTGTCCGGCACCGCGTGGCCGTGCTGGTCCTGAGCACCTGCAGCATGGTCTGCAGAGGCACCTTTAGCAGACGCCTCCCGCCCTGAGAAAAGAGAGCAGGGCTGCAGGGCGCGAGCCGGGCCTGTGCAGACACCCCCGCCCAGACCCCAGACCCCGGCCCCCAGACCCCAGAGCCGGCACTGGTTTTTGAGACGCCCTGAAGCCAGGCCTCGGGTGGCGCCGCCCCCGCACGGGCACACATGTGATGGCCCAGTGGGGCCTGAGTCGGGGCAGACACAGGACACAGGCCAGGAGGAGGCCCCTGCTCAGCAGGGGGATGCCTTGGAAACAGCACTGGGTCTAAGCACCCTCAGCAGCTCCCCCATGCAGCCCTCACAGCAAACAAGCCGGGGGCATTGAGGCCGCGGCTTCTGAGTGAGGCTGCTGCCCTGGGCCCCGTGACACGGACCAGGAGCAAACGTTCAAAGAGCAAGGGGGGGGTGCGGCCCCACACCCGGGGACGTGCTGGCATGAGACCGGGCCGGCCACTGTGCTGAGCGCCGGCCTCGGGGACTGCCGAGCAGCGGTGTCCAACCCCCCAGTGCAGGGTGCCTCGGGGCCATGCCTACCTCGTCTGCCGGCCCCTCTGGGCTTGCGGGGTCAGTGTCTGCACAGAGTGGGGGCCCGACGTCTCTCAGGCCATTGGTGCTGTGGGTCCCGGAGGGGGCCTGTGCCTGGCCCGCCTGCTCCGCTTCCCTGCCCCTACCTCGGGCCACATCAGATGTCTCGAGAGGGCTGGGCGAGGCAGCCAAGCGTCCCGGGCGGCCCCCTGATCCTGTGACCCTTGGCCCACAGGCGTTCTGCCTGGCGGGAACCCACAGGTCCATGTCCGGCACAACGTGCGGTGCTGACGGCAGCGCCTGGCCGTCCTCCTGGGCGTCTGTGGCTTCTGGCTCCGAGTCCCCGCTGTCCTTGCTGTCCCCGCTGCCCCCGCTGTCCTCGCTGCTGCTGTCCCCACTGCTGCTGTCCCCACTGCTGGAGCTCCACCGCACACTGCGAAGGCGCCGCCGCCTCCTTCTGCCCTGACCCTGCCTCTTCTGGGGGGAAAGGGCTGCTTGAGGCCTCAGCGGCCTGGGGCTTGGCCACGGGGCACAAGGCCGCGGTGGCGGTCGCCCCTGGACAGGGCTTGGCCGCGCTGAGCAGGAGGCACGCTCTCCCGCCGGCTCGGGGTGCGGGGGGCAGCTGCCCGCAGGCCCATCTCCCCGCCCCAGCTGCCTGGAGGGACGCCCTCTCCTCTCCACCCCGCCTGCACCCCTCACCCCACCCGCGGAGGCCGGCCCCACGGCACAGGGGCAGGGCCTCAACAGACATGCAGTGGGGCGGGGGGCGGGGGCTCACCCTGACCATGACTTTCCACTTGCTCAGACACTGGGAGCCTGTCCGGTGGGGGAGTTCAGAGGCTATTTTGGCCCAGTGACCTACAAAGCAAAACAGCATGGGCGCCACTTCACCCCCTCCGAGGGCACGAGCCCTCCGGCCTGGAGAAGGGCTCCTCTCCGAGAAGCGAACTGCCGCCTTCTGCCGAAGACGCGCTCCGCTCCCTCGGGTGGGGCTCCTGCTCGCCCTCACGCTGCTCCCGCATCCGAGGAGCCTCAGCATCAGGTTAAAAAGAGCTGTGTCCATGCAATCAACGGAATGATTCAACATAAAAAGCAGCCTTGTGAACCCAAGGGTCACCAGTTCGATTCCCAGTCAGGGCCCAGGCCTGGGTTGCGGGCCAGGTCCCCAGTGGGGGGCGCACGAGAAGGCACCACACATTGATGTTCCTCTCCCTCTCCTTCTCCCTCCCTCCCCCTCTAAAAAATAAGTAAACAAAAAGCAGCCTCTCCCAGAAAAGCACCCTGCACCGGGAGCCGGGCCGTACACACCAGCCGAGGGCTGCCAGCCCCGGGCCGGGCAAGGTCAGTGACCTCGCCTCCCTTCTTTCCCTCCGCCTCTGAGTCTTCTCTGCGGAGCACGGATTAGTTTGCACGACGGGAAAGCCGCTGCCACCGGCCCAGGTGCCAGCACCTGGAGGAGGGTGGTGCTGGGGGGCAGCCCCGTGTGGCCGCACCCGCACCAACTTACCGACACCGTATTTCTCTATTAACTCGATCAACTTCTCCTCCTCTTTAGAATTCCACCGTCCCTTTTTCAAGCTGAAATGTAACTTTCGGAGATATCTAAAAATGGCATGAAAACAAATGAACATTTTATTGATTGCTTTCTTTTAGAAAAAGAGATTGGCTTGTGGTACTTATTGATGCTTCATCGGTTGATTCATGAATGTGCCCTGACCAGGTATTGAACCCACAATCTTAGCGTGTGGGGGACAAGCCTAACGACTGAGCCACCCAGCCAGGGCTCAGACGTGCGTTTTAGGTGCTGGGATGGCCTTCCCCTTCTGTCCTGGCTTTCTGAGATGTGACATCGAAAACCCAGGCAACCGCTCAAAAACGCAGATACACTGGACTTTGAAAGACGACACATGGGCTGCCCCCCAGCGCCACCCTCCTCGGGTGCTGGCACCTGGGCCGACGGCGGCGGTTCTCCCGTCATGCAAACCAGTCCGCGCTCCGCAGAGAAGACTCAGAGGCGGAGGCCGAGGGAAGGAGGGGACGTGACTCACCGGTCCCGACACTGGGCGTCGCTCCTCCCCGGCACCTCTTCCCGGATTTTAAACCAGTCCTGCTCCCCGTACTTGGCAACCGCCTGAAGCAGCTTCTGCAGGAAGGGACACAGAGACAGGTGAACCTCTGCGGCAGCCGCAGCCTCCCACCCTCAACTCAGTCTGCGTAAGAAGGGGACATCACGGGCCCAGCGGCCGCTCCAGGCGTCCAGGTGCACTTCCGAGGGGACGGCTCCCCCGGGTCCCCCGCACCTACCGCGTCTTCCTCTGGGGTCCAGAGGCCCTTCTTGAGGCTGGGGTCCAGGCTCTTGGTCCAGCGGTAGGTGAGCTGCATGGAGTCTCTCCCTTCCATGTAGTAGACGACTGAGGGCAGAAGGGCCTCGTGAACGCGGCCCCGCCCGGCTCGCCTGGAGGAGCAGCCCTGACCACGGAGGGCAGCGGCGGGCCCACGGCCGACGGGCCCTCCCTTCTTCCTCCGGCCTCTGCCGCCCTGCTCAGGAGCGGCCTCGGGCACCCGTTCTCCTGGGGCAGGGGCTCAGGCCGAGGGCGCCGGGACATGCCCAGGGGCTGGCAGACTCACTTCTGCGGTAGGGGATGTGGCTGCCCACGCGCATCTCCTGCACCAGCTGGGTCAGCATGCGGTCCTCCTCCTCCGTCCACTCCCTGCGCTTCAGGGCCTTGCTGTGCTGCTGGTACTTCTGCAGGCACTGGAAGGCGCTGCGGCTGGTCTTCCAAAACCAAAGCAAACGCTATTACTGGGTGCTCACCCGCGCCCAGGGGGCGTCCAGGGCACAGCCGGGGCAGAGGCGCACGCAGACAACGCTCTCTGTGCAGTGATGGGGACAGCGAGAGCGCCCCCTGACGGAGCGGCATTCACAGAAAAGAAGTCGCTCAGAAGATGTCACGGTAACACTTCGTTTATGTGACACCAAAACGACATAGACTCAGACACTCGAGGAAGCGCCCTACTCTCCCATGCCTGGCGCACACATGCCTCACAGGCGGGTGGCCCGCATGGCGGCCCCAGCTCGGGCGCGGGGTCTCCGCAGGCGGGCTGGGCAGTGCAGAGGCACGGGGCGGGGGGCCAACCTGTGCAAGCCACTCGCTGCAACGGGGCTGCCTCCTCATATCCGACCCCAGAGGCACGGGCCGTGAGAGCAAGAGCCAACCCGCTGGACTCCACCACAAGATCAGAGAAGCAGGAGACCACCCACGGACCGGGAGGAAACCTTCACGAAGGACGTGTCTGGTAAAGGGCCGCTATCCAAAAGTCATGAGAATCATAAAACTCTGACTAGAAAATGGGCTTTAGACCTCAGACACCTTGTGAGAGAAGATGTGTGGTGGCAAGCGAACATATGACAGGCTCCACGTCACATCACTAGGGACGTGCAAATTAAAACAACGGGCCACCGCCGCCCACCGATCGGAACAGCCCACCCGCAGGGCACTGCCTCACACGGGGCGCAGCAGCATGTCCTCCCAGCCCGGCCCCTGGGGGTGCAGGTGGGGCAGCTGCTGCGGAAGACAGTTGGGTGGCTTCTGACAAAACCGAACATGCTCCAGCCACGCAATCCAGCCATGTGCTCCATGGCATTTACCCAAAGGAAGTGGAAACATATCCACACGAAAACCTCCGCAGGATGGGTGTTGTGGATTTGGGCATAGCTGACAAACCCCGAAGCCCCCGAGACACCCCGCAAGTGGGTGATGGATGACAAATGGGGTCCATCCAGCCAGCGGAATGTTACTCGGCCCCAGAGAGACCCGAGCTGTCAGCCACGAAGAGACCCCGAGGCCCTGAAGTGCACATGACTTAGTGACAGAAGCCACACTGACCAGGCCCCCCAAGTGTGGCTCCAATTACGTGACGTCCTGGAAAGGGCCAAGCTGCAGAGCCAGTGAGGAGATTGGGGGTGGGCACGGGGGTGAACGACTGGGGCTCAGGGGGTGCTAGTGCAGCGGAAGGACCCTGTGTGAGGCTGGGATAGCGGACATGCGTCATCAGACATTTGTCCAAAGGCACAGGACACGCAACACCAACCATGACTGCAATGTCAACTCGGGTTACGATGACATGTCAGTGTGGGTCCATCCTTGGTTTAAAAACAAAACAGCCCGGGCTGGTGGGGCTCAGTGGACCGAGCACTGGCTCATGAACCAAAGGGTCGCTGGTTTGATTCCCGTCCAGGGCACAGGCCTGGGTTGCAGGCCAGATCCCCAGGAGGGGGCGCGCGAGAGGCAGCCACACATGGATGTTTCTCTCCCTCTTCCTCTCTCCCTTCCTCTTTTTCTGGGAATAAATAAAACCTTAAAGCTTTTAAAAATAAAACTAACAAAATAAAGACATAAAATGACTTTTAAAAAAGCATAATTTACGAAGTTAATAAAAGGATAAAGTTACATGTACCCAACCGCAAGGAGAATGTGCCCCTTCGCTACGGTCACGTCGGTTCTAGCTAAGTCATCCCAGTACAACGCTGAGAACTGAATAGCCCCCGGGATCCAAACTCAATGGCGTGGCAGACACACCGGCCGCTGGGCTCCGGGCGCCTCTGGACGCTGAGAGCAGGGCGTGCGCACACCCACAGGCGGCCTGGCGAGGTCACCTGCGTGTGCTGCGGCCCTGTGCCTGGCCACAGAAGTGACAGACAAAGAAACAGATTTTACAGGTCATGATCTCAGGTCTCAGGTCAGTAAAATTCAAACTGAAGAACAAGAAAAAGAGCCCAAGAAACCGAACTACCTAAAGATGAGAAAACATATTCCTATGTGAGCTTAGATCCAAACAGGAGATGAATCTGAACTTAGAAATTTTATAAAAAGTACTTTTCCCGCCAAGCTATGGTCAGAGGAGCGGCCTCAAATGCCTGTGCTGTTTTAAAGACGGAGGCTGAGAATTTAGTTCTCACCTTAGGGAAAGAGAACAAGAAAAGAACCCAAAAGAAACTAGACGACGTACTCTCACGTCCCCTGAAATAAACTCCGAGCTCGATGGGCGCAGCGGGAAGGGCGGGGACAGGAAGGGGGGAGGCCAGGCGCACTACCGCTGGCCTTGAGGGCGCCTGAGGCGCAAGTGTGTTCTGGGGGTGGGGTGTCTTGGGGTCTGAGAGGCGTGGCGGGGTCACCCTGCCTGAGGGCCACACCCTCGAAAGCAGCCAGACAAGATTTATAGGCTCCAAGCAACAAGCCCCGGCCGTGCCGTGAGCCGCAGCCCGTGAAGAGCCCAGAGCCGGCGGCTCCTGGCCACCGAGCCCACACCACCCTGTGGCCACCGCCCCGCGTGCCGGATGCCCGGTCCTCACCCCCAGCTCCTCGGCGATCCTCTGCCAGTGCAGGTGGCCGTGCTTGGCCGCGATGGCCTTCAGCCGGTCCACCTCCTGCCCGGTCCACTCCTGCTTGTTGATGCTGGGGTGCTCCCAGTTCTGCCAGAACTTCCGGATCTCCTCGGCGCTGCGGCCGCCCTCGAACTGCGCAGAGAGCGCCAGCCTGTGGGAGCGGCCGGCAGCAGGCACGCGCGGAGGGCAGGGGCTCCATCCCAGCACCAGGACTTCCGCAGCCAGACACGCAGGCGGGGCTCTGAGAGCCAGACCCCCCGGGCCGCCGCCCCCCGGCAGAGGCCTCGCGGCAGCGGGGAGGCCCATGGGGCAGCTGCCCGGCGCTGGACCCGCGCCTGCCTGCAGGGGTCACGGCGGCTCTGGGGGCCGTGGAGCACGCCCCGACTCACGTTAATGTTGGAGATCTTCTCCCAGTCGTGGCTGTCCAGCCTGCTTCCCAGCAAGACCTCCTCCGGGAGCTGGCTGTGGAGGCGAGGGCCCATGTCAGGCCACCCTTCTTGGCCTAACCGCGCCCCCCGCCCCTGCATCTCTGGTTCCCGGCTCACTTGATGTCCTGGATCTCCTTCTCTGCCTCCCGCGTCTGCTTCTCCAGGACCTGCCTCTCCGCCTCGCTCGTCACCCGGCCTTGTTTCTGGTGCAGGTACTCGAGCCTGTGGGTGGGGCAGAGGCGCCGGGGTCACCTGCAGGGGCTCTGGGGCCCGCAGGCCTCCCTGCAGATGCCGAGCCCACCCAGGGTGGGTTACCCCCCAGCACAGCGGCAGGGCATCGACCGGGAGGGAGGAGCCTGGCTCAGAGCCCAGCCCCTAAACGAGCTCACGTCTCCGAGCGGCCTCAGCCTCCTCGGGACAGTTCAGGGACAGGCCCCCCTGCTGCAGCAGGGGACCCGGCAGGAAAGGGGATGCCCTGAGCCTGTGGCCTGGGTGCCAGACTCACTTCAGGAACTTGGGCTGAAGCAGGCGCTGCAGGCGGTCGCTCGCCACCGACTTCCTGAGCAAGGCCTTCTCCCAGCTCTTCCCTGGGGACAGACAATGGCTCGGTGGTGCGCGTGTGGGCCAGCTTCCCAGGACCCTCGCTCGCCATGAGCTCCGACTTTCAGGCAAAGTCAGGGGAAACGGAGGGCAAGCAACCCGCCCAGGCCCACCAGGACCGCATCCAGAGTGGGGGGTCCCGTCTCAGCGGCCGCGGCTCAGGAGGGGGCGGTGGGGACCAACACGTGCCTGGGGAGAGCAGCGAGGGGGCCCGCGGTGCCGAGCTCAGCCCTTACATTTGGTCACCAGGAGCTCCGCGAAGCTCTTGACGCCCTGGGCAGCCTTCTCCCGTGCGTCCTCGTTGGCAGGAGGCCCCTGTCCGAGAGCGCAGCGTCACAACGCTGTGGGACAGGGCCACGTGTGCTCACCCGAGGGTCCAGCATGGATTCAGGGCCCCTGCCCCTCAGTCTCCTCGAGCGGTCTGGCTGCGTGCAAGGCCTGGCCCTGGACACCTGGGCCCGGAGCGGCTGCTGGGCACCACCCAACTGGCAGAGGGGCTGGCGCAGCGGGGAGGGCAGCCGCTAGCAACAGCAGGCCCCACACCACCAGGGCCCGGCAGTGCCACCAAGCTGCCACACCCCCTCTGGAAGATATGTCCCCACATCCCGGGGCTCCTCCGTGGAGCATGGGGCGGCCAGCCCCATCCCAAGGGAGAACTCGACTCTCACCGCAGGGTCCGGGAGGGGCTCAGTTTTCGGGTGTGGGAAAATATTACCCCGAAGGCTGAGGGAGGCCCTGCCAGCCACAGCAGGCCGCAGGGACGCGAGCCCTCCCCAGAGCCTGGCTGCCTCGCGACTCACCACTCCAGTGACCCTGTCCTTGAAGTAGGGCTTCAGGAAGTGCCCGATGTACAGGTTCAGGGGCAGGCTCTTGCCGTCCTTCACCTTGGGGCCTTTGGATCCTGCCAGGTCCCACATGACTTCCTCCTGGGGACACAAGAGGCCCCTGAGGACCAGGCAGACTCTCCTTGCGGAGAAGGGACCCGGTCCTGGGAGGCCTGGGCATGGGATTCCTGGGGGCCAGACCCTGTCCTACCTGCTGCTCCCGGTTCTGGGCCAGCAGCAGGCTGACCTCTGCCAGCTTCTCTTGGATGACCTCCTGGTAGACCATGTTCAGCTGCAGGCAGGTCTCTGGGTCTTCGGGGAGCACCTTCTCTTTGGGGTCATCCTCGTCGTTGCTGGCTTCGCCCCACCTTTCTTCTTCCTGGTCACAAGTGACAGGCTGCAGGTGAGGACACGGGGCACACAGGTGCTCCCCCGTCCTCGGGCCCTGGCGGTGGGACCAGCCTCAAGGCCCACATCATGGCCGCTGGACCAGCGAGACCCCCCGATGCAGAATTCCACGGAGCACACTGCACCCGGTCCCTCACCAAAAATGCAAGAAACTCAATTTCTAGGAATTGGGGTTGGGGAGGAAATGAGTAGTTTCACTCTTCGCAACAGGCATTTCTGTAAAACTTGGATTCTGACTGGCTTGTGGGACTTCCTTCCCTGGCAGGTACCAGGCAGCTGCAGCGCACGCAACCCTGGAAGGCGGAGGTGATCCGCACCTATCGGAAGGCCGGGCTCCACAGAGCTTCGGGCAGCCACAGCAGGGCACCTGCCAGCTCCTGCAGGCGGGAGGCGGCGCAGCCCCCACTGACGGGGCAAAGGGACAAAAGCGATCCCCGGGGACTCTCTCCAATTCCAGGAAATCACAAAGCCATCAAAGGACAGTTAACAGTCACCGGCCTGAGTGACTTCCGGCCAAGCATTGTCCCGGGCACGACATACGGACGGGGAATCCGAGGCTCGGAGCCGAGGGTAGCCTCTGCCTGCCCCCTGAGGGTGATGTCACTCTGAGCGAAACGCAAGCTCGGGCAAGCTCGGCGGGATGAACGCCAGCCTATCGACTGGTTACTTGCAGAGACAACTTAGTCTTGACAGTAACTGCTTCGACGTGTCATTTTTAACAATAAACACGTGCGACTTTCACACCACAAGGACACTGAGACAAGTTCAAAGCACAGCGCCTGCCCGCCGGCCCGCTGGAAGGGTGGTGGGTCTGCCTCCCAGGGCACAGCCGGCTCAGGCCAGTAGTTACCGAGACTGGTGGACCAGCAGCGTCCGAGTCCTCATCGGGCAGCGAATCTGTGGGAACAAGCAGACTGTTGTGACCGCAATAGAAAGAGGTGGCTGGTGAGGGGACAGCAGAGGCACCGAGGTGCTGACCAGCAGGTGCAGCACACGGCCCCTCTGCTGGGCAGGTGCAGACGAGGGAGGGGCCAAAGACGGCAGGGTGGGACTTGCATGGCTGGACCTTCCCTCCCCGGCAGCGTCCAGGGGCCGAGCACCATGCACTGACCAGGCAGGCGCGTAATGGACCGAGGGCAGGGTCAGTGAGGAAGAGAGACAGAGGCCTCACATGAAGCGCCCCAGGCCCGCAGAAGACAGAGACTGCAGGGACAAGCCGGGGAGGAGACAGAGGTGGAGGCCCTGGCATGACCGGACACTGTGAGACGTTTGGCTCAGAGCTGAGCCCGGGGCCGACGAGGCGTGGGAAGACTGCGGGGCCCCGGGCGGCAGGCAGGCCTCTAGCAGGGGCTGCGTGAGGGGCACTCAGGCCCCGGGGCAGCACGGAGGGTGGCGGGGGGTGGGCAGAACATGAGACTTAACAGCAGGGACCCAGGGAGAGGGCATTTGGACGAGCCCAGGGAAAAGAGCTGGGGGCGGGGGCGGCGCAGCCTGGGGAGTGTGCAGGCCTGCGGGTGGCAGACAAGCCGAGCTCTGGTGTCCGTCCCCGGACGGCACAACACTGCGGCCCGCCACGGGCCGGGGCGCTTGGACATCCAGCAGGGCCCAGGCTGGTGAAGGAGGGGCCCCAGGAAACCGCCCGTGGGGTAAAGGTGGCCCGGTCCCAACAGCAGCAGAGCACATCACGCGGCCGACAGACGCTGGGAGCAGAGCGGCTACTCTACACACCGGAGGAGGCCGTGTGCCCGGGAGCTTACCTGCGCCTGAATCTGAGTCCAGGCTTGATTCGGAGACCTCCATGTTGAGACTTGAGGAGCTGGGATCCAAAATCCTTTCCAGCTCCTCGATCTCCTGTGTTATTTTCTCTCTTTCTGCGTCTACGTCCATGGCTTCTGCCTGCCTCCAAAACACGAGAGTTCAGAAACCACGGTGTGTGGGAACCCTGTTTCCTCAGAGGTGCTGACCTGCAGGGGACAGCAAGAGCCAGACCAGTGCAGGTACTCAGCTCCTCAAGGCCTGGCCAGGGCACCTGGGGCTGAGCGGTGTCACCGTCCATGCCCCACAGACTCCGCTCTTCGCCCTCAGATGCTGAATCCAGCTGCACGGGTCTGGCCAGCTGGGGAAGCTGCACCCATCCACGTGGGGGAGAGGGGATGGACATCAACACAGCCCAACTGCCTGGTGCCTTCCCACAAGCATGCCACCAGAGCTGGTCACCCAGCGCAGAAAGGGCAGGAAGTGGCGGCAATCAGGGGAACAAGGACGAAGCCATGGGCCACAGCTGGACGCACAACCAGTGTCAGGCGCTCGGCACCGACAGCGGGGGCTGGAGCCTGAGGGTAGGGCTCGCTGTGGGCTCTGCGGGTCCCCAGCACCCAGAAGGGCGCCTGTCGCGACTGACACTGAGCGGACGCCTGCGGAGGGACCCAGAGCGCGGGTCTGGTAGTCTAGAAGGGGGCGGAGGCTGGGCAGAGGAGCAGGAGAATAAGGCAGGGGCCGGGAAACCGCCAGAGGAGCCCAGCCCGGACCCCGGGGCCGAAAACAGGCGAGAGAAAGAGAGTCCTCGCCCTCGGCATGGCCTCTCCCGCTGGAGACCGACGGGGACGTAGCGGCCAGGCTCGCGGCAGCCCCAGTCCCCGCACACAGCGACGGGTTACACCTGAAATGCTTAAAATGCTTACGGACGGAATTCAGCTGAGAGCCAGACAGGGCCGCGGGCCGGCAGCACGCACGCTCGCCCGCCTCCCTCTTTTTCCTCTCTCCCCGCCCCGGGCCCGGGGAGCCAAGCCCTCACCGCGCCCTCTCCGCTGGCAGTACTACCGCCTCTCCGCGCTTCCGGCAGCTGAACGACTGGGTCGCCATGGGCCGGAAGTCCCGCCTCCGCAGGCGCGGGGCACGCCGGGGACGGGCCCTGGGCGGGCGGGCCGATGCTGACCCCGCGCGGCCGTCTCCGGCACTGCCCGTGTGCGCACCCCTGGCTGGGCCGCTGGGCCGCCGAGCCGCGCCGCCGGGGACCCCAGCGGGTACCTCCTGCCGTTCCTCTCCGTAATTTGGAAACCTGCCAGGTGCTCGGGGCGGTTCTGGCAGGCCGGATCTCTGCCCACCTGCACGGCCCGCGGGGTTGCCGCCCCGGGGCGGGACTGTGTGTGCAGGGCGTCTTTTTCTTCTTTAAGATGGAACGCTTCATGAATGTGCGTGTCTTGTTAGCTTACGGACCATGCTGATCTCTGTGGCGTTCCAGTTTTAGTATCAGTGCTAGTGAAGCGAGCGCGGGTGGGAGGGGGAGTGGCAAGTCTTGGGAGATGAGCGGGACTACTGTCCCCGAAAGCAGTGGGCCTCCCGTGGGGCAGCGGAGCTCGGGCAGCGCGGAAAGCGAGCGCCGGCAGGCAGAGCCGGGAAACGGGTCGTGCAGCAGCGGACCTGGGGCCCGGGCAGCGATCTAGGGGCAGAGATGGGAGTTCAGCAACTTGTTCGCATGACTCGTACGTTCAAGGCTTTTACTGGGGAACCCTTCAAACGACCCGCAAAGAGAACCGGGTAGTAAAACCTGTGTCCATCCCGCCCTCTGCTGCACCGAGCATTCGGTAGGGCGTGAAGGGCAGGGGTGTTCTGGGTCGCCACCCCGTTTTGGCCCTGCCTGGCCTGTGGGCAGGGAGCACCAGGCTGGTGACCCGCTGCTTATTCCCCAGCCCAGCACAGTGCTGTGCCCCACATGCAGGCCCTTTGGGAGGCACCTTCCCCCCTGGGCAGTCCAGCCCCGCCCCGCCCTGCCTTCCAGATTTCCCAGAGAGAGCTCTTGTGCACCCAGAAGGGAACCTCATCACAACACTCCCTGCTGCACTGCCCTGCTCAAAGTCGGCAGAACCCGGGCAGAACCCGCTTTTTGCCAACAGGCTGGAGCATGAGGTGGGCTGGGGGCGGGGGCGGGGCTCAGAGGCTGATTTGTGAAAGGCTCTTCCCTGTGGTTGAGGTCAGAGCGTCCAGCAGTTTAATCATCTTTTGAAAATGCAACAACACGACCTCCAAGAACGCTCTAATTCTGAAATCCAGTCTGTCCAAGTCCACCCAAGCAGCTGCGCTCAGCCCCGGCAGCAGAGTGTGAGCTCCCCGGACCCCACAGGCGGGGCCCAACACTTGCGCACCCATGCACAACCCCCGCGCATGCCCTGGTGTTCGAGGATGGTCGCCTGATGCTCAAGCCTAACAACTGACCAAGTCGGGGAAAAAGGGACACAGTATGCGAGTTTCAGAGTTTATTAAGAAAGCTGTCCATGTGAACAGGAGGGCATGTTTATTTTAAAAAATAACATCTACAGGAAGACGGCCAGAAAGGCACAGAGTGCACGTCCGAAAGCAGCTGGCAAGGCAGCCCGGCGACCTCGAGCTAACCCCCCAGGGAGGCTCCGCACACTGTCTGGATTCCTGAGCTCTGAACTTCACTGTACAAAAGGCCACGTGGAATGTGCATCCAAACCCTCCAGCCAAAACTGTTCTTTCAAACCTGAAGGCCCCAAAAGAGGTGCATTTTGACAGTTTCACAGTGCGGGGTCTGTGCCGAGCGTGGTCCCTGAGGGAGAGCAGCAGCGCCCGCCCCGTGGGCGCCCCGACTCCGGCCGCCACCGCAGGGGCCCCCCTGAGGGCTGCGGGAGTGGCCGCAGCCGGCGGTGCGCTGAGGGTGGGGGCAAGGCACGCGTCCCTGCCCAGACAGTCGTTTCGATTTTGGCCCGTTTAGTGTCTGTCTTTACTTGTGAAATTGAGGATCAACTGAACTTAGTTTAGAATGAACATTCTGGAATAAGAAGGGAAGATCCACGTCACAGAACTGCTGTTTCCGTATTCAGTGACTTTAAAGAAATCGGCTTTTATAAAAACACCTTCCCGTGGATCACAGCCTGGCAAACAGGGAGCTCCCCCCGGGCAGGCTGCGCGGCAGCCGCGGGGCGACTCCTGGGGCCGCTGGCTAATAACACTGCTCTGGGTCACGGAACCAGCGTCTCGTGATAGATGCTTTTACTGTGAAGAGTGCAAATTTAAAGATACAATAGCATTTTAAAATCCAGTTAGTGATTTGAGAATGTAAACAGAGCTGCGAGCTAGAAGCTTCTCAGGACTCCTCCTCCTCTTTAATTTCAGAAATTCTGTCTATAGATTTAAGGATTTCAGCAACAAGGTTCAGTGTTTCAGCTCCAGACACCAGCTGCCTAGAAGGAAAACGGGCATCACAGACCGCCGCTGCGCCCTCCGCCAGAACGGGGCGGGGGCAGGGGCTGAGCGGGACAGCCCGGGCACCGGAGGTCTCGGCTGCACCCTGACGCGGCCCTCGCCCTGCCGCCGGCAGGACGGGCGCCTCAGCCCCACGCAGCCCGTGCTGTGGCCAAGGCTGCCCCACAGCACCCAGCCGGGGGCGGGGGCAGATGTGGGGACTGTCTGAGACCCCACTGCCTCCCAGGAGCTGTCCCCGCTCAGGCACCATGCCGGGGTCTCTGAGGAGCCAATTCATGGCGGGGTGGGGGGTGGGCAGTGGCCACATGGAAGTGTAGAGCCTGCTGCTGCAGAGCGCCCCGACCCCAGGGGTCACAGCACCCCCGCGCACCCCCGCCCTGAGCCTGCCACCGTGGGCGGTGGGCAGCATGCGCACGGCCTGGACACCGCGTTCCGAGAGCCCCGCCGGCTGCGGCAGCTGACTCACTTTATGGAGGCGTGGGCGCTGTTCATGACCATGCGGAGGTTCTGCAAGGCCACGTCCGTGTTCTGCTTCACCACCGTCAGGCCGGCGCCCTGGCCCGCACGCAGGGCCTCGTTCTCGCGCCGGACGCTGGACAGCTGCGCCTGGGGCAGGTGGGTGGCTGTCAGGGCTTCGGCGGTGACAGGGCGCGTCCCCTAAAGCCCACATGCACCGCAGGAGGGGATGGGCCCAGCCCCCAACAGCAGGGCTGCTTCCGAACGCCCTCACGGGGGCTCCCGATGCTGCCCCTTTACTTCAGCCCGTTCTTGGCACGGGAACGAGACTTGGGCACGAATGCACACCGCCCAGGTGGCCAGGACCCGAGCTGTCACCTTCCTCCAAACACGTGACACTTGAGACCTTCTAATTACCTGGAGCAAGCTTATTTCTTGTTTCAGCTTCATGACGTGATTTTCTGCCTTTACTGCACGTTTCTGTCACAAAACACAGTAACAACACACGTGAACCACCGACATGGTCCTATGGACCCCTGTGCCCTCGCCCCATGGTCCCCTAGTGGGTGCCGCCAGCCGGCAGGCCCACCGCAGTCACATGGCCACTGTGAGGGACCCCTGCTCACCGGGGGCTTCTGGGTCATCCAGGAGCAGAGCCCAGGTCCGCCTCAGAGCGACACACCCAGCGCTTCACAATGCCCCCCGGCCCCCCGCCCCCCTCAGCCGGGCGCCGCCCCAAGCTCACAGTCATCAGCTCCAGGTTCTGCTCCACCTGCTGAACCACAGATTCCAGGTCGTGGTAGTCACTCTCCTCCTTGATCATTTTTGCTTCTAACTTCCGCTCAAGCGTCCTCACCCTTGTCGAAGAACACACCCGTGTCACTATAAACTCACGTGCTTCATCCTGGGCGCACTTCTAGCGGCTACTCTGATCGGCTCAATCCCACGAAGACCCCAAGTGCCCGCTGTTTCGGAGCGAGCTGCGTCGATGAGGCGTGGTCACGGGGAAAGAGCCTCAGCAGGTCTGGGCTGGCGCCATCCACAGGCCCTGCGGGCGTCTGATGGTCCACTGTGCTCTCCTCAGTGTGGTGGACTCGGGGCAGTTTAAAATACACTAAGCCCTGGCCAGGGAGCTCAGTCGGTTAGAGCGTTGTCCCAATACACCAAGGTTATGAGTTCGATCCCAGGTGAGGGCACATGCAAGATTCAACCAATGAATGTGTAAATAAATGGAACAGCAAATAACATTTCTCTCCCTTCTTCCTTCTCTAAAAATCAATAAGTAAAAGCTTTTTAAACACCAAAACCATTTTGACTCAAGAAAGGTGTCTGATGCTGAGGACTGAGGCCAGAGCCCAGGCCCGGCTCCATCTGGTCGCCGCCTTCCCCCTCCAGCACCGCCGAGGGCGCCCCGCGCTCTGACTAACGGCTTACATTTCTGTTTGCGTCTCGGAGAAGCTCTGCACTTCGGTCAGCTTTCTTCTTAGCTTAGTGTTCTCATCTTTCAGCTGCAGAGAGAGAAAACCTTTGTTTGAAACTCAGCGTGTCTCGCGCCAGAGGTGTCTGCTCTTCTGCAACTTGACCCTGGAACTTCTTGATAAGCAGGAACATTCTAGAGTCAACCCAGAGTCCGCGTGCAGAGAAAGCACGAGTATGGCGACAACTTCAGACCTACAGTTGCAGACTCCAACTTTACTCACGTACCGCTTTTTTTAGGCCACTGTAATATTTTTAAAAATTTTCTCTACTCAAAACCCTGGCAAGATGCCAAAGCTGACAGCCGGAGCGGACCCCTCGCTGCAGGGCAGCCCCGAGGGTCTCCGTCGTGTTACGTCCATCCCTGCACAGGCCGTGCTGCACTGTGCGTTTCCGTCAGCCTGTTCACTAGCCAGCCTGGGCGAGCGCGCCACGCAGCAACGCCGCGACAAGCTGCACACCACAGCTGTCTTGTACCGGAGCCAAAACCCAGGGCCCTGAGGACACCTGGCGGCCTGGGTGCTCCCCGGGAACGCTGCCCGGACAGAGGCCATTTCCCGGGGTGCCAGTGCGCAGCCCCTCACTTACGGCTTCGTAGCTTATCTGCAGCGTCCGCAGGTGCCTGTCCCCCAGAGACTCTCCGTGGGCTGCAAAGTCAGCGCCGGGGCTCCCCGCGGAAGAGACGCGACAGTCAGAGTCACTCAGCGCCCACGGGGGCAGGGACTCAGGCCCTGCCAGCTCCGACGGGCTGAAGAAGGAGATGTACGTGCTGCAGGGGGACACGCTGGCCGCGTCCTGCGGGGAGTGGGTCTGCTCCACCGCGGATGGCAGGTAGGCCCCGGTCCACCCATCCTCATCCTCATCCTCATCCAGGAGGTCGCCAGCTCCCGTTGGGTCTTCGAAAAATGGCTGCTGGTACTCCAGGCCGAAGCCCACAGGCTGGGAGGTCGGGGAGCTGCCGCCGAGTCCCAGCGCGTGCCTCTTGGCATCCTGAAGAACATGCGAGGCTAAGGCTCAGACCCAGACGCCCCACAGGCCTCTCTGGGGGCCGGCCGGCATCGCAACAGGGGCTCCATCTGCCCTCCACAGAGGGGCGAGCGTGGGGGGACGCCCACAGCTTCCCCAGCAGCATCAGCAGCGGCCTCGCTTTCCCCACGCCCTCTGCACTGCCGCCCGTGAGGAACGCTGCCACGCCGGAGAGGCCTGCTCTGGGGGCTTGTGTGCAGCCATGGCGGCGAATCCTGAGACTTACCTTTGAGTAAAGTCTGCTGTTAGCCGTGTCCTCTTTCAAGAGGCTGAGGTTCTTGGTTTTCAGGAACTCTTTAAAGGAGAACGGATTTGCCTCTTCAAGATCTCCAAGTTTGTCATCTGAAATGATGACAATCATCACAAACGTAAAGTCTCCTGAAGGTCATCAGAAGGGGACAACCTCCTATTTGTTTCTCTTTCTAGAACACGACCCTACCTAAAACTGGGAATGCCATCCCTGTCACTGCACTGGAACTAGGTGACATCAGGAAGTGAGGAAGGAGGCCCATTGGCCTCCTAAGGTCCACTTACGCTCCCAACCGGTCCCCCACCCATCGGTTCCCACACTGCTGTGCAGAGACCACTGTGGGGGGCATGCACCCCACAGCGGAGGCCCCAGCTCCGCAGGCCCTGCCTCCGACCTTCTGGACTCACCCACCGCTGCCCTCCCTCCCTCAATTCCTTCCCGCCCTCCTACTCCCTAACCAGCCACACTGTGGCCCTTTCAATCCACCGACCATCTGAGCCCAGGTGCCAACCTTGTGTGAAGCTGGCTATGATTCCAGCCCTTACTGTCTCTCACACCCCAGGAGTGACTTCCCGCCTCCACGCTGCCATCCCTCCCGTCCCACGTTGTACCCTTCTTCCTTGCGCCCCTAGGGTCAGGACTCAGGGGGTAGATTCCATCCCACCTGCCCTGGCAGCTACAGGTGCGCTGGGTCTACGGTGCTGGGGGCAGCCCCGCCCCAGGCACGGGCCTGGCGCTGTGCGCTGGGCGGAGAGACAGAAGGCATTACTGAAATACTCGACCTCCAAAAGGTGTCTCCTGGGCTCCCACCGGGCCTGGCTTAGTGCCCTTCCCCTTTCCGTAGACAAAATCTGCAAAGAGACACCGTTGTCCCCATGGTCACGAGGAGCTTTGACGACCACCACTTTCCCCGACACGGGGTCTCTCACTGCAGCGCTTCTCACAGACCAGGGAGACCTTTCAAACTCAACCTCCTCCAAGCCCCCAGCCCTGGCTCCTGCGCTGGAGATGGTCTGCCTTCCAGGGGCCCTGGCCCCTGAGGTTCTGAAAAGCTCCTGGCAGGTTCTGAAGCTCAGTGGGGCTGTGCGTGTCCTCTGCTGGGGGCACCTCCTGAATGGCCCCCGTGGGCTGAGATCAGCCTCTTGGCCCTGAGGCGACCACCTGAACATTCCCTGCACAACCTAGCTGGTGAGTGGGGCAGCCTCTTGGGTAGAACAAGGATGAATTCACGTTGGCCGCTGCCCCGCTGCAGCCTTTCCCATCGTGCCTCCAGGTGAAGCCTCCCCTGCCCTCCCCCAGCACCCCGTACCCTTTTATTCTGGCATTGGCCATCCTATATAGGAACTGTCTGCCTTGGGGGTAAGAGTCTCCCCAAGACAAGACTGTGAGCTCCGAGTGGCAGGACGCTTTCCACTTGATATTCCCAGTACCCAGCACACAGTGGCGCTCAGTGGTCACCGCTGGGTCGAGGGGTGAGTTAACGCTACGGCAGAGCTACCTACAGGTAGTGCCGTGACCCGGGGTCCCTGAGGCTTGTCTCTCACCTGTGTCTCCCACGGAAGCTAGCACCGGACTGGGCACATAGCACATAAACGTCGGCCGAATGCCGAAGAAATGGGAGTCCGGGTCCCTGCCATGGGGGCGCTCACAGTCTAGCTGGGGGAGACAAGACCGGCGCTCATAGAACGCTGCAGCTGGAATAACAATAAGAGCGACTTCACCGCGCGCCGCGCAGCGCTCTGCGGGGCCGCCTCACCTGGACCTCGGCGCGACCGGCGGGGTCGGCGCCCAGCGCCCACCTGGGCGCGGGCCCGGAGCCCGGGGCGCCCGCCTCGGGCCGCCCTCCCCGCCCCCATCCCGGCCCGCCCTCCCGGCCGCTCACCGTCCGGAATGACGAGGCTGCGGGCCCGGGACAGCGGGGTGACGCCCGGGCGGCGCGCGTACCCCGCCATCGCCGCGGGGCCGGCCCTCCCTAGCCCGGCAGCGGCGGTTCCATGCCCCCGGCTCCGCCCGGGCCGCGGCCCGAGTCCCCCGCCCCCGTCGCCCGCCGCTCGGCCGCCGCTCCGAGCCTCTCGCCGCGGTTTCTGCTCCGAGCGCCGGAAACGAGCGCCCGAACGGCGGGGGCCGGCGCCGGGGGGGCGGGGCACAGAAGGCGGTGCCGGAAGTGACGACAGAAGCGGTGGGTGGAGACACAAGATGGCGGCGATGGTAGTAGCGGCGACGCGGCTGCTGCGAGGCTCGCGCTCCTGGCGCCGCTCGCGGCTGAGGTGAGCCGAGGGCCGGCTGGGGCTCGGCCGGGCGCCGGGGCGGCCGGCGATCCTCGGGAGGCTCGGCCTCTGGTTCCCCGACGCCGAGACGCGGCTCCGGGTGGGCAGGCTCGGACTCACCCTCGTCCCAAAGGGGCTTCCCTGCCCGGCGCCCCGGGCCCGAATCCGGGCCCGGGTCCCAACCCCGATCCCCATCCGCCGCTCCGCTCCCCGGCTGCTGAGTCCGCTCCCGCCCTCCACTCCCGGGTCGAGGGGGCTCGGCCCAGGTCACGTGCCGTCTCCGCCTGGCCCCTTCCTGCCGCGCGCGTGTTCCTACGAGGCCGAACCGGCGGGGCCTCGGCTCCTCCAACCGCGGAGCCGGAGTTCGGTCCGCTCCGCGGCCGTGCCCTGCCCCCTGCCTGTGGATGAGACGACTTTTCCCGCCCCGCCGCCCGCCCGGGGGGCCAGGCCTGCCTTTTCCCACCCTGGCGCGTTCATTCAGGCAGCAGAGCGGTGTCTCCCGTCACTATGTACTAGCGCTGCGGCGGAAGCTGCTGCTCTGCGCTGAGCACCCGCGGTCGTGCGGGTCTCCAACTTCGGGAGGAGCGACGAGGGGTAGCCACGTGCAAAGTGCAAGCGAGAGCAGGCGGCTGGGGACAGGGACAGGGGAAACTTTGGGGGGATGATGAGCCACGTGTGTTACAGGACCAGCCCGCCGGCGTTGCTGGGACCTGGTAGGGGCGGAGAGGGGGCTAGGAGACGAGTTTGCAGGCGGGCTTGGAGAACAGGCGACCTCGGCTGGCCGCGCTGGGTGCTCTGCGCACGGGGGCTGCGTTCGCCTGCATGGCCCAGCGGGGAGAGCTGCTGTTCTCACGGTGCTTTTCACAGAGGCAGACCCCCTGGACCGCACCAGGGTTGGCAGCCGGGCACGGTGCCCCTGCCCACTCCGGCTTGCAGAACAGGTCTTTTTGAAAGGGACGTGTTGATTTGCAGTGCAGACAAAACGCAGCCAACCGCACCTGCGTGGTCCCCGTGGGTCCAGGCGTGTGGCGTCAGCAGTAACTGGGCCGACTTCTCTATTTCAGGTTTGGGGCCCCGGCGTGCCGACAGTTCAGCAGTGGCGGCGCCTACCCCAGCATCCCCCTCTCTGCTCCCTTACCCGGAGTGCCCCAGCCCGTTTTTGCGACAGTCGATGGACAGGAAAAGTTTGAGACCAAAGTTACCACACTGGACAATGGGCTTCGCGTGGCATCCCAAAATAAGTTTGGACAATTTTGTACGGTGGGAAGTAAGTACAGCTGGTGGTGTCGTGGGTGCGTCATTTGGGACTTGTACCCCGAGTGACAAAGCACGGTGTGGAGTCTGAGCACTGCGTCGCCAGAGTGTGCCCAGCGGTTGTGTGGGTGGGTTTGTTCTCTTTATTTTCACGTAACTGAGAGTTTTCGGTCACAAATATAAAGTACACAGTTCCGGCAGTTCTGTAAACGGTGGCTGGCGTGTACGCCTGTGGAACTGTCATTGCCGCAAAGGTAGTGGGCACACCCCTCACCCTCGTCTGATTAAATCTGCCTATTTAGTCGGTCACAGTTTTAACTTAAAAGGTTTCTTTTGAGTAAATCTTCTCTTTTGAATGTTTATTTAATCTATCAACTTTTTTTTGTGCCAGTTCTCATTAATTCAGGATCAAGATATGAAGCAAAATACCTTGGTGGAATTGCTCATTTTTTGGAAAAGTTGGCATTTTCGGTCAGTGTCCAGCTTGTGAATTTTGGGAGTATGGTTGGGAAGAATCTCCATAGCTTTGCTTTTTTAGAATGGTTATTTTAGTAAGTGGTCATGTTCAAGTCAATGGTAATAAAAGATCATTTGATTTCATGTGTTTCAAAAGTAAACTTTCTTTCTATAAAATTGCCTTTTAGGGGTTGTTCTGGATCGCTAACACCTGAATAGGCTTTCTTACTTGTTTTTACTAGTCCACTGACCGTTTTGACAGCAAAGATGGCATCCTGCTCACCTTGGAAAAGCACGGGGGCATCTGTGACTGCCAGACGTCAAGGTACACCAGCCTCCCCCAGAAGCCTGGCTTCCACCCACGTGGGGCTGCCCTCAGCCTCGGGCCGAGTCCCACTGAGCCCTCAGCAGACAGGCTGGGGAGGCTGGCGGGGATGTGAGCCCCGGCCGGGGCAGAGCTGGGTGGGCAAGGCACACGCTTGTACCGTGGGGCACTTTTCGAGGGCCGAGCAATCCCCAGAAGGATGCTTGCCCGGGGACTGAGCCAGGCAGTGGCTGGGCACTGGGGTCGCAGAGTGGTCTCTGTCCCCACGATGCTCACGGGTCAGGCAGGAGGCCAGCCACAGGCGAAGGACACGAGCCAGGAACCAAGGGGGGTGGGAGCAGGGGGCGCAGGCCGCCGGCGCGGTCCGGACGCAGGCAGGGGCGGCAGGGACCTGACATGGGGGCGGGTTCTGGAAGGGCTTTGCCAGGCAGGATGCAGCAGGCTCAGACCCCGGGGAAGCAGGTGCAGAGGCCCAGTCTAGAAGAGCTGTGATCTGCGGGCGATGGGGCACGTCCCACAGGTGTGGCCGGAGCTCTGGTGGGCGGGTGCTGTGGGCGAGGCCGGGTGGCGGTTTTCTCCCCAGCGTGGGGCACGATTAGAAAGCTCTGCTGGGGGCAGTCTGAGGTGGGTGGACAAAGGTCGCTCCTCCTAGGTGACCGATGAGGTAAATCTGAATGTTGAAGGGTCACACATAAAAGACGGGATAAACACCCAGAATCAGAGTTTGGAGGCAGCATAGTCTCACAGTCAAACAATGTCTCTTCAGAAACTGCCAGCCCCCGCTGCCCATCTGTGAAGGTCAGACTCACGGTTCTTCTGTGTTTTGGGTCAAGCGGGCCGCTGTCCTGACCCCAACACCACCACGCACCCTCAGCGCAGGCTGCATCTTTGCGTGGCCCCACGTGGTCCTGCGGCCCCACTGAGAACGGCTCTTCCCCTGCAGACGCCGCGGTGGCCGTGTGCTGCCTCCCGGGCTCCCTCTGGGTTCTGTGGCGGGCATGCCCGTGCCTGCCTTGTTGGCTTGGTGCGTCCATCTGACCACAGTGCCTCGTGCAGTGAACTGCTACCACTGGTCTTTGTCTCCCGGCTGCCTTAAGGCCAGGCCCATTCCCACAGTGACCAGCCACTGCATGCAGGACACACACGCCACGAGACAAAGCGCTTCGCTGTGGCGGAGCCTGTGCCTGGCAGAGCCCCTCAGCTGCTGCTCGTCCACTCTGGCTGGACTTGGCACATGGCCTGTGTGCAGCCGCGGTTCCGCCGGCTAGGAGTTGACCCTAGAAGATAGGAGCAGGGAAGAGCACTGAGTGTGTGCTTATGGGTGATGCCGAGTGACAAAAAGTGTCCCTCGGCACGCACCTGTAGTGACCTCAGGGCCGGCGCTATTGGTTTTTCCAGAGACACCACCATGTATGCTGTGTCTGCCGATTCCAGAGGCCTGGACACGGTCGTTGGCCTGCTGGCTGATGTGGTCCTGCACCCAAGGCTCACAGGTATGTGTCCAGGCCGGCTGAGGGGCCGGTGGGGCTGGGACACAGGGTCGGGTACAGGAGCACCGCCGCGGGGATGCACAGCTCCGCCGAGAGCGATGACGAGGGGAGCGCCTGCATGCCTGGTGCTCTGGGACCCTCCCTGCGCCCGCGGGCGGGTTGGCAAGCCCGGCTCTTTGTCTCGGAAGGGCCTCTCAACTGTCTGAACGCCCCGCCTGGCTGCCCTCAAATGGCTGGACTCGGGGCTCCTCGCCAGGAGGGGCGGGGGCGGGCTACGCCCCGGCCACCGCCGGTCGGGCTGCCGTCCCGCGTCCAGGGCCCGCGGGCACTCGTCGCAGTGAGCTGGCACTGGTCCGCAGCTCTGCTCTCTGGGCACGTCACACCGCTTGTCACCCTCACACGACACTGGAGCAGGTCCGGGGCCCCTGCCTCCCCGGGGGGCGGGGGGGCCCAGGCTCGGAGGCGGGCCAGTGGCTGCCCTTGGGGCGTCCTCTCTGCACACGTGCCCCAGGCCTGCCCCGGACAGAGGCAGAGGAGACGGCCAACACCCACTGCCAGGGACGCGTGCGGCAGCTGCCGGCCTGTGCCGTGCGAGCCTGGTCTCTGTCCTTTGCAGAGGAAGAAATTGAGATGGCTCGCATGGCTATCCAGTTTGAGCTGGAGGACCTCAACATGCGGCCTGACCCGGAGCCGCTCCTCACCGAGATGATTCACGAGGTGAAGGGAAGCCCCCGGCCTCCGCGCCAGTGGCCCTGGGAGCCCGGCACGCGGGAGGGGCCGTCGCCTGCCTGATGTCCTCGCAGGGTGCAGGTGTTGGCGGGATGTTCTCGGGCTCTGAGTTTGCGTCTGGGGAGTTTTGAACCTTGCGGTTCTTGGACTAACTAGACCTTCCCCGCTCTATTTCTGCGTGAGCCTTCCGTGTATGGTGTGATGGCTCTGTCCCAGGGAGGTAGAGTGCCCCAGCACACAAGGCTGTGCTGCCCAACAGCCACTAACAGTGCGGCCCGTGGGCGTCCCGAGGACGGCGGGGGGTGGCGGCCTGGCTCAGGGGAGGAGAGCTGGCGTCTTCTCTGTCACCTGAGTCTCGCTTCCGCTGTCAGGCCGCTTACAGGGGGAACACCGTCGGCCTCCACCGTTTCTGTCCCACAGAAAACATAGCCAAGATCGACCGAGAGGCACTCCATTCCTACCTGAGGAACTACTACACCCCTGACCGCATGGTGCTGGCCGGGGTGGGGATGGAGCACGACCAGCTGGTGGAATGCGCCCGGAAGTACCTCCTGGGCGCCCGGCCGGCCTGGGGCACTGGGGCGGCTGTGGACGTGGACCGATCGGTCGCACAGTATACCGGGGGGATCGTCAAGGTAAAGCAGGCGGGAGATCCGCAGCCTCGGGTTATGGACACGTCATTTGATCTGTTTGGTTGGTTTTTGTAATTGTTCTGAAGGGTTAGAATGAGCTGTGCATTCGTGGCTCTGCCCTGAACACGTTCTGGCCTCAGCACGACACACGTCCTCTTGGAGCTGAGGGCTCGGCTCGCAGGACGGCGCTTAGCTTCGGGGCGAGCCGAGGGAAGGTCGGACCGGAGACGGCCCGGTCGTGCTCACTCGCGTTTCTCTGGTTACAGCTCGAAAGAGACATGTCCAACGTCAGCCTGGGCCCCACCCCGTTCCCCGAGCTCACGCACATCATGATAGGGCTGGAGAGCTGCTCCTTCCTGGTGAGTCCCTGCGGGTCGCCCCACACGCCCCATGCCCGGGCGCGTTGCCCGCTGAGCCTGTCCCCGTCCCTGCAGGAGGCGGACTTCATCCCCTTTGCCGTGCTGAACATGATGATGGGCGGCGGCGGCTCCTTCTCCGCCGGCGGGCCCGGCAAAGGCATGTTTACCAGGCTCTACCTCAACGTGCTCAACAGGTGCGGGTCACCCCCTGCCTCGCTGGCCCCAGGGCCGCAGGCCCCGCCGAGGGGCCGTCAGACCATGACACCACCTCCCGGGGGTTCCCCTCCGTGTCCCCACAGGCACCACTGGATGTACAATGCAACCTCCTACCACCACAGCTACGAGGACACGGGCCTGCTGTGCATCCACGCCAGCGCCGACCCCCGGCAGGTGAGGTTGGCGCCGCGTTTCCTGGGGAGCGGCGCTTCCACTGGGTGGCCTGAGAGGCTCACGCTGCTGCTCACGCGCCCCCCCCCTGCCCCCGCAGGTGCGAGAGATGGTGGAGATCATCACGAAGGAGTTCATCCTAATGGGGGGCACTGTGGACGCGGTGAGTGCGGCGGGGCTCCGGGCGCCGCCCCCGGCCCCCATCACGGGGTCCCGCCTGAGAAGTGCAGCCCCCGTGGGGAGCCCGCCCCGTTCCTGCGCGGCGCCTGGCCTGTGTGCCCCACTGGCCCCGCGCGCCCTCGGGGCGGGGGCCGTGAGCAGCTGCCGGGAGGCGGGCGGCGCTCAGAGTGCTTCTGCTTTTGACGTCCTCGGGTTTCGCCTTGGTTAATGAGACCTTACGTGTTCAGAGGGAGCCTCGTTACATCCCGGGCCAGAGCTGGCGCTGCTGGCAGGTTACAGATGGCACGTGTGTACCCACGCATGTGCGCACGGGCTCTTCAGACAGAACTAGAGCTCGGGAGGAAAGCGTTTTTCTTTGTTTCTAATGTGGCACAGGCCCTGAAAGCGTACTCCCAGCCTTGACCCGGAAAACGCACAGGGAAGCCAGGCACGCTGTGCTCAGGGTCAGGCCTGCCGCCCCTGGGAGCCCGTCCGCCCTCGGCCCGGCCCGGGGCGGGTGCCGACCCCTGATCAGGACGCGTTTCCGTGAGCCACTCCGCCAGCCGAGGCAGCTGTGAGCGCCTGGCAGACGGAGGGGGCTGGACCACGGGGCTGGCTTTGACCCTCAGGTGGAGCTGGAGCGCGCCAAGACGCAGCTGATGTCCATGCTCATGATGAACCTGGAGTCCAGGCCTGTGATCTTCGAGGACGTGGGGAGGCAGGTGCTGGCGACCGGGTCCCGAAAGCTGCCGCACGAGCTGTGTGCGCTCATCCGTGAGTATGCGCCCGAGGCTGCGCCGCACTTGCAGAGGCGGCAGGGGTCTGGGCCCCGTGGTTCCGTGGCGCCCTGTGAAGGGCTCGGGGGCCTTTGGGCTCCTCCGACCGTGCGCCAGCCTCTGTCTGCTCGTGGGTCTTGGGGCGACAGGTGTGTCTTAGGTTTTTCGGATTCTCAGAGGGTCTGTGACCCAGAGGGCCAGCCAGCACTGTCTCTGTCATGATATGAGACACCTCGTGAGAAGCTGGCACAGCTTTGTACTGTTACACGGGTTTGGGGCCCTATGAGGACCCCTGTCCCCCCCGTGGGGAGCCCCCCCCGACCCTCGAGCATGACAGGACCCGATCCGTGGCCTTGCCTTGCACACCGAAACCACCTCTGCCGGGCGCGTTGCCAGGGGGTGGGCTCCCGGCGTCCCTCATTCCCTCTCCCCTGTGGCCGTGCCACCCAGAGGGCAGAGTGGTGTCTCGGCGCCCGCCCACCTATTGCCCACCGTGTGGGGCTCTGGGTGGAGGAGGAGCTCTTTCTCTTCTACTCACCTCCTGTTGGTGGGGCACGTTCTCGGCCTCTGAAAGCCATTTTAGACAACAGACACGTCCCCATCCCCAAAGCAAGGCTCACTACGGTCCTTCCGTGCCGACTCACTGTGCAGCCCACATGGGGCCACACCAGGACCCTCTTCCCGAGGGGGTGGCTGGGCTCCGGGCGCCCCTCCGTCCCCTCGGCGGCCTGGAGAAGCGGGATGGTTGTGGGCGTCAGGCCTTCCATCCTCTCTTCCCTGCACCAGGCAACGTGAAGCCAGAGGACATCAAGCGAGTCGCTTCCACGATGCTGCGCAGGAAGCCGGCGGTGGCCGCGCTGGGCGACCTGAGCGACCTGCCGACCTACGAGCACATCCAGGCGGCGCTGTCCAGCAGAGACGGGCGCCTGCCCAGGGCCTTCCGGCTCTTCCGCTAGACGGCGGGGGCACGCGCACGCACGTTTCCGTGGAGGTGCGTTTAGCGCAGACCCATGAGCGGTGCAGACCTGGACGCTCCTCCTCAGTGTGAACGCACACGCCTGACGCTGCAGGGCGCAGCCCCGCCCTCCCCCAGAACAGTGCACGCCCCGTGGGCCTTCCACGCTCCAGCTCAGGCGTGCAGGCGGCGGTGCACACGGCTCCAAGCTTGTCAGCCTGCGCACCTCCCTCATGACTTTTAGCAGGTGGGGCCGCTGTAGGGTCTCAAGTCTGGCCGACAGGGTGGGCAAGCGCCTGGCTACCTCATGACCGAGGCCAGTGGGCCGTCAGCCCCGGCGGCCTCCTGAGGGGCCAGCCCCCACGCCGAGCCGCCGCTCCCAGGGTGTGGCTCCTTGAGCACCTGCCCTGTGGGAGCAGGGCACGTAGCGGTGCCACCAGGTCGTCTGCTGACGCCAGCGGTGGAGTGCGCCTGCCGTTCTCTGCTGTGACTCGGGTGGGGTGGTTAAGGGCCTGTGTTCACCGGCCCGTGCTGACCAGCAGCGCTCCCACACCAAGGCGTGGATGCGGCCGGTACCTTTCTGCCTGAGGATCCTTCCATTTGGCCCAGAGTTGCAAAGCCCCTTGCGCTGTAGCTGAAAGGTGGGTTCTGGTTTCAGAGGTGTCAGGATGTGTGGCTTGGGAGGGGGCATCAGGAGCTGTAGGTTCAGAAGTGACAGGTCACGTGACTTTGGTGACACGATACATTCGAGGTCCTCAAACCCCCATGGAAGCCCCAGGGCCCACATGAGAGGCCCTGGGAGCACCGCCCCGTGGGGCAGCTCCCAGCCGCCAGGGCTCAGGGCAGCACTCGGGCACAGGGGCCTTGGGTGCGCAGGCCACGGGAGGACCTTCGGCAGCCTGCCCCATGGGACGGGAGGGAGCGGGGTAATGGAGTCAAATAAAGCGTGCGCAACCCTTCTGCCCTGTCATATGGTGATTTTGCCAGGGCCTGTCATGCACCTGCACCGCACGCCCCCGCACAGGCGGCTACTCTGCCCTGGTGGGGATGCCAGCCCACCGCCCGTCCCCCCGGGTGGGGGGTCCTGGGAGGCCGGTGCAGAGTCTCCAGCCACAGACTGTCGCCCCTGAGCTTCCCTGCAGTGGGCGGGGCAGGAGGCGCTGCTACTAAGTGGGACAGAACCGAGCTCTGAAAGTGAGGCCGGATCAAACCGCGGGTCGCCTCCCAAGCCTCCCACAGAGCTGAAGGTGGACTTCTAACAGCCTGCAGCTTTCTGAACATTCTAGAAACTGCTGATCACCCACACAGGTGTCTGCCTGCCGGCCTCCCCTGCCCCTTTCAGGGCCCAGGGCACCTTGTTCCCCCGCGGGGACCACCTGCTCCCTGCCCTGGAAGTCACTGCGCTCACCCCGCCCCCGGCCCCCTCATAGCCACAGTGCTCGGCTGCTGCAGTGCTTCCCCGGGACACGCGGGGGTGGGGGGGGGGAGGCGTCACCCTGCGGCTGGCGGGGCTCCGCGCAGCCCCCTGCCCTCACGGCCCCGCCTCCCAGTTCCTGGTGAAGCTGCTTTTCCACAGGCTGCTGCTGGCATTTGCATGGATTTCGATTTGAACCAGCTTTCCCAGTGAAAGTCTGGCGGCTGGTGTGGAGCAAGTCATTGAAGTCCGGCCCTCGTTTTACGGCCTGACAAGGCGCATGCAGCACTTGACCCAGAATTGAAGCTCGGCTTTGGGTCAGACAGTGGCCAGAAAGAACCATAAAATCGTCTTCGTCTCAGGCTCTTGCCACAGAATAATCTTCACGAGAGACTTTCAGTGAATGGGTTAGAAACCCACCAGCACGTGCATTTCAGCAGAATTTTACACCCACAGAGCATCGCGGTCCCTCTGTCCAAGTCGGAAGGCTGGTGTGCACAGCTGGGGGCTCACCGGGCGGCTGAGGCGGGCGGGCACCGGGCGTGCTGGCTGCGGGGGCCGACTCCACAGCTCGCGCACGACCCGCTCACTTTCCAGCTAACAGCCCAGGGCAGCGGGTGGGACGCAGAGGGTTGTGGGCAGGGACAGAGACCAAACCCAGGAGCGCAGACAGGGTCCGCATACCGTGGTTTCTGCCTAGGACCCACACTTCGGCCAGAAAGAGTTAAAGATTCGATATAGGCATTTATTTAAAAATATAAATATGGAAAAATAAATAATTGAGCAGACTAGATCGAATGCCCCTGGGTTCCCCACATTCGAGGCCTATACTTTCTCCAGGAGCGGTATCAGGTGAAGGAAGGGCGGGCTCAGCGCTCAGAGAGCGCCACCAGGGGAGGCAGGGGTGCCGGCCCCCGCCACGGGCAGGTCACCCTCCACACACCCGGCAGCCGCTCCGGCCGGCAAAGGCCCTGGTCACGGTGCCGCCTCTCATGGTGCCGCTGCAGGAGCAAACAGTCTGAGACTGGTGAAGCCGGGAGGGCAGGGAGGTGGCATCACGGCTGGAGGGCCCATCCGGCCCTGAAACATCGGCCACATTCCCCCCTCCCTGCCCCAGCCCAGCAGTGGGACCCTGGTGGCTCCCTGGACAGTGTCTGGCTTTAGCCCGGTGACCAACTTAGCCTCCGCTTGGTCCTAGCGTGTGCCCCAAGTCACCCCACCGTGTCACTGAGTAGCCCCCCTGGTATCAGGCCAGCTGTGCTCAGATGAGGAAGGGCCAGAGGATGGAACCTGGTCGCTGGGGCAGCCGCGGGCGTGCAAGCGGGACGGGGAGCTGGCACAGGCTCGGGCAGCGGCTCTGCTGCCGGCTCGAGGGGCGTGAGCCCCCCAAGGGACAGGGCAGGCATGGCATGGCCAGCGTGGGGCCCCAGCTCCGCCTGCCCCAAGGGAAGCTGGGCCTCTGCAGGGACGCCTCACAAAGTCAGCAGCTGGCTCTGGCCCCTGGCGGAGGGCCCGCCCCGGCTGCAGTCCACGGGCCTGTCAGGTTCTCTCTCAGAAGGTAGGGCATCCTCCGGCCATGGGTCACCAGCATCCCCAAGGCAGGGCGGTCCCCACCGGCAGCCGCCTCCGTCCTCGGCGGGCAACAGCCCTCTTCAGAGGAGCTCCCTCAGGAAACGGTGCAGATGGCGCTGGCGTGCTGCGTCTTCAGGGCCTGCTGTCTCTGCATCTCTTTGGAAATCCGCCTTTTAATCCCAATTAAGTACAGCTCGCGGTCAAACTTGCCGGCGGCCAGCGGGATGCTATGGAGGACAGAGCCGTCGGGGAGGGTGGGGCCACCGCGGGGTGCGCGTCCTGCACGACCCCCACCCCCGGCGGCTCTCCTGGTGCGTTGGGGGCCGCCCAGCCCTGGTCCCGACCCTGTGGCCTGTCGCTCCAGGGACGGCCATGCCACGTCGACCCATGGCCGCGATCCCTGCTTGGGGCTGCTGGAACCCGCTCCTGCCTCGGGGTGTGCCAGGGCGCAGTGAGACGGTGGCCTGCACCCAGGGCCGCAGACGGCAGCCCCCGACTGGGCGAGGATCCCACCCTGTCCCCGACCCCCATGGCCGCCTGGCGCTGAGCTCGGGGGCGACGAGGCCAGGATACTGACTTGTCTCTCCCGGGCCTCACTTTCACACGGAACAGGCCGTACACGGGGCGGTGGTCCGAGGTCTTGACCCCAGGACAAGACGCGTACTTGAGCGGGCAGATGTCGTCTTTGTGGCGGCTGCGGTACATGACCCGGTCCTGCAGGGGGAGCCCCAGGCAAGGGGCAGGGACGCCCAGTTTGCCGTGGGCTCTGACCTGCCTGCCCTCCCATGAGCCGCCCGAGCAGAGTCTGTGGCAGTGCTGACTGGCAGCCCGTCCCGGAGCCCCGCACCCCAAGCCCACGTCATCGGTGGGCACCCAGGCACCGGGAGGGCCAGGAGCACCCAGGCCTCTCCCGCACGCCCTAAGGCTACACCCACTCCCCCTCGCCGGTAGGAGCCGCAGAGGCCGCCCGGGTCCAGCCCGGCCCCGCTGCCCCAGCTCCTCCAGAGCCGGCGGGGCACTGCCTGCAGCCTGGCTCAGCCGCCTCGCTCAGCACAGTGCCTCGGCAGAGCACACGGTTGGAGTGGCCGCCGCCACGGTGTGCGCTGTGAGCAGGCCTCAGAGAGGGGCGTCTGGGCAGCCAGGCCTCAGGGCGCTCAGACGGACGCGGGCACAATTGGAGCCAAGGGTGGGCGGGCCCTGGGAGCCCCCAGGCATGGGGCACGGCACTCCCTCCCAACCCAAGAGCGAACGCAGCCAACCTTGTGGGCAGCCGGCCACACTCACCGTGTAGGACGGGGTCCTCTGCTTGGATGAGGTGTCATAGGAGTCCTTCCCAATGTCGAACTTGTACGACGGCAGGAAGTGGATGTCAGGCTCCTGGAAGCCCTTGAAGATGGACCCTGGGGCGAGCGCAGGTCTCAGGCGGCCAGCGGGCAGGGCAGCGCCCCTCCCGGGGCCGCGCCCCGCCTGCTCGCCGCCCCTCCCCCGGCCTCACCTTTCTTCATCTCCCGGGTGAGCTGGTCCAGCTGCAGCAGGGCGGGCACGCTCGTCCCCGGGTCCTGCTTCAGGAGGGCCTCCACTGCCACGCGCCCGCCGCTCAGGCGGAAGTTGAAGTCTCCAAACCAGAACACCCCGTCGAAGCGGGTGGTGACGTCCGCTGGGGCACGAGCCAGAAAGCGCGTGAGCCCAGGCCTCCCGGCCTGCGGTGCCTCTGCGACAGGGATTGGCCCGCGTCCCCGGGCCTGTCTGCCTCCGCTCAGCCCCCCAGGGGTCAAGGCAGAGGCCGCTCCCTCAGGGGAAGGGGAGGCGCCCGTAAGCACCATGGGCCGCGGGCCGGCCGCTCACCCGAGTCGGAGCGGTAGGGGCAGGTGTCCGGCACGTTCCTGGGCAGGGCGAGCCCCTGGATGGTCTTGCTGTAGTCCAGCAGCCTCTCGCTGACCTTCCCGTCCCCGGCTGCCAGGACAGGGTGGTGGGGGCGCTCGAGGGGCCGGCGTCCGACGGAGGGCCAGCCACTGGGTGGCTGGTCCAGGAGGACCCCCAGCAGCAGCGGTGGGCTCCCCCGCACAGGGCCGGCAGGACACCATCCCCCCGCCACGCCTCTCTCCAGAACGGAGCCGTGGAACCAGGCCACCGTCCCGGCTGCCAGGGTCTCCAAGGGAGACCAAGCGGAGGGCCCCGCCTGCACCCTGTGCCCCCCCAGGGTAGGGGGACAGCGGCCTTACACGGGGCCAGCTCCGGCTGCGGGCGACTTACAGGTGAAGTGGGACGTGATGAAGAGGAAGGAGGTGCCGAAGAAGGTGAAGGCCACGGCCAGGGCCCCCTTGGTCTTGATCTGGGACACGATGCGCGTGGTCACTGTGCCACTCTCCACCTCTGCAGGGGTTGGGGGGCACAGCTGATGGCGCTTGTCCCGGGGCAGAGAAGGGGCGAGGCGGGGGCGGGGACAGGGGCGGGCACCGCCTACCTGAGCAGAACCAGATGAGGTCCCGGCGGATGAGCACGGACACGTGCAGCGCCCCGTGGGCCGCGGAGGACAGCATGACATAGTGCGGCCCCAGCGTCTCCTGCAGGCGCGCCTCCCACTCCCGCCTGCGGAGAAGTCGAGGTCGTCCTGGGGCGGGGACTGGGCCTCCTGGCCGCTCCCCCCCCCCCGCCCCCGACCCTCGAGGAGGCGCTGCGAGGGCCCCCCCAGTCTGGCCTGGCGTCCTCCCCTCGCAAAGGGGAGGCAGAGAGGAGTCACGCAAGGGGCCACTGTATCTGTTGGGCCAGAGGGTGGGGCCTCCCTGCCAGACAGGCTCCCTGGGGCACCTGCAGTGACATCGCAGGCCTGCAAAGGCACGGGTGACGCGGGCGGGTCCCGACCCCTGCTCCGCCTCCAGCGAGCCCCGGGCCGCAGGCCTGCTGCCCCTCGGCAAGGCCACGGGCGGGCGTGCCGCCAGAGGGAGGAGCGGGGAGCAACAGCCCCGCGGGCCCCAGGGTGGGTCTGTGATGCCCTTTAGGGTCCTGGCTGAGAGCCTGGAGGGGACCGAGTGGCCGAGCCGCAGTTCCCTGCACTTATAATCTCTTAGCTCAGCTACTATTCACCAGAAGGTAAAGCTCATTTACTTTGAATTCTCTGAGTCACCATTTTAGAAGGCACTTTGTGTGCTCGGCCCAGGCTTAGCAGCAGGGGGTCGCAGGCCACAGCGGGTCAGCCCCAGAGGCCCGCCCAGCAGAGCTGTTCACAGGGGCCGGTGGACTCGGGGAGAGGCGGGGCGCGGCGGGGGCCTACCTGTCGGAGCAGCCCTCCTGGACCCCGATGATATACAGGTCCTGGGCGAAGTCGGCCTCCGCGGGCAGCAGGAGCTCACCCAGGTCGGGAGGCAGCTCCTGCCGGGAAGCAGCGCCTGGCAGGCGGCCGGAGGGGCCCCGCAGCCACTCCCCCCAGCTTGGCATCGCCGAGGCCGAGCCTGCACCCCCTCCCTCGCCATGCCCCCCACCCCCCGCTGCTGGTCAGCCGCGTCCGGCCCCAGCCTGGCCCCGGAGCCTGACCCTCACTGTGTGCCCCCCCACCCCTCCCTGGGCCAGCGAGCAGCGTGGACGCAGTGGGCCCTGCAGGGAGGGAAACGCCCCCGCCCATCCCCGCCCCAGTCTGCGGCCGCAGTGACATCTGGCTCTGACCCCATGAACCCTGCGGGCCCGGGGACCAGAGCAGAGCCGCCTGCCGGGCACCTGCCTCCTCCTCCAGCTTAACAGAAATCACTGCCATCTCGTCCGGGGGCGGCTTCGTTGGGGTCGGCCAACCCTCGTCCGAATGTCACCCGAACGGCAGCTGGGACGCGGCCACGAGGCCACACATGTGTGACAGTCCTGTCCCTCAGGCCACGGGCGCCAGGATCCACCCGGCCCAGAACAAGGCCCCACAGGCAGGGGGACGGAGACCGCTAAGCGGAGGACAGACCTCGCGGTGTGGAGGGGCCCAGGGAAACACAGGGTTGGCTGCAGGGGAAGCTGGTGGGCCCGCGGGGAGGGGGCTTCTCCGGAAATCAGCACGAAACCAGCGTGTGAGCCCCAGCCTGCAGCGCCGGGTGGCCCAGCATGTGAGCGGTGGGGAGGCTGTGGTGGGGGAGGGGCTCAGGGCGGCGCTCTACCTTCCTCTCTAATTTGCTGCCCACCTACAACGGATCTAAACACAGTGGCTGGGAAAGAACACGCTGCTGCCTGGACACTAACGCAGTGCGTGTGGCGGGGGGGTGGGGGAGCAGGGGCGGTGCCAGCTCGGGGAGCCTGGACAGAACAGGCAACAGCCGAGGCCTCATCCCGAGAGGGGTGGGCGGCCTGCTTACCTTCTGGCCCTGCATGTTCCAGGTGGCCACGAAGAGGGCCACGCTCCGGTCCGGGAAGTACCGGGCCAGCTCGTCCGCCCCCATCAGGGCCCCGCTGGCCAGGAGGCTCCCCTCCAGATAGCTCCTGCAGAGAGGGGCCCGGCCTGAACGCGGGGTCCAAGCACAGGGACCCAGGGAGGGGCCAGCTGCCGGGACATGCTCCTCGGGCCCCCAAAGGCCCAAAGGCAGGGCCATGGCCCCACGTGGGCTTCAAACAACCCGCCTGGCTCTGGTTGGGAGTGGAGGCCTGGTGGGCGTGGCAGGAGCCAGGATGGGGAGACACGGGAGACGGGCAGGCCCAGGGGAGGGGATGGAGAGCGGAGGGTGGCGTTGCAGCTGGGCACCCAGGAGGCGCCCCAGCTCGGGAGGAGGTCAGGGGCGTGTGCGGCGCGCTCAGAAGCCTCTGCACCTGCGGCCCGGTGGATTCATGGCTCTGGCCTCGGGGAGATGAGCCAGAGCATACGTTTGGGAGTTGGGAGCAGAAGGGAAGACGCGGGCCAGCACCCAAGTTCTTTCCAAGCCATAAAAATGTCAATGTGGGTTAAATATTAAAGCCCCATGAGGCCCAGAAACCAAGCGTCTTTGGTTCTTTGGTGCTGTGACACCCCCCGCCATGAGCTTCGGTGGGCGCCCAGCAAACCGGGTCCAGGACCACCACAGAAATCAGGGCACCCTGCTGGAGGCAAAGAGCAGGCAATCAGGCTCCACCTGTGGTCCCCTCCCGGCCGAGAGTGGACCCTGGGGGCCTCCCTCCATGTGGCGGGGCCCTCGGTCCAGCAGTCACGTGTCTAGCTGTCAGTGCTGGCAAAGCGCTGCAGGCCCCGCATCCACGTGGCCAGCTTCTGGCACGAGAGTCCCCTGGGGTGAGCTGGGAGACAGGGTTACCGACAGAGACTGGGTCGTCTCCGTCTCTGTGCCCTGGCACAATTCGATGAGAACACCATCACGCGGTCCTCCTGGAGCTCGCTGCTGAACCCTAAAATCAAGGCTACAGAGGCCGCAGCCCCTCCCCGTCCTGGGGAGGCCTACCTGTCCCGGACGTCCTTGGCACGGATGGGCGCCAGGAGGCTGAAGGAGGACTTGGTGGAGCGCAGGGAGCAGTCGTCGCAGGCCAGGGGGCTGGGGGGCCGGCTGGGGCCCAGGCTGCTGTGGGCCCGGAACAGCCTGGTCTGCAGGCGGAGCTTGTAGTCCGCGTGGTCCGCATCCACCTTGTTCGCCGTCCGCAGGGAGTTGGAGGCGACGTTCCAGTCCAGCGCGGGCAGCAGGCGTGAGGGAAGCCCGCTGGCCAGCCTGGGGGTGCTCCCCGCCGGGGCCCCGTTCCGGTGCAGGGCATCCAGGGAGGTGCCGATGATTCCAGAGACACCATTACCCCATGAGGAGGGGCTCCCGCCCGCGTGGCCCAGAGCCCCGCGGGACGTGGGGATTTCCTGCAAGGAGGTGCTCAGGCAGGGTGGGGAGTGAGTGTGGGCAGAGGGCCCGGGGGCCTCGTCCCGCGAGGAGGCCCTGGAGGGGCTGGCCCCGTTCCGGGAGGCCAGGTCCTCGTGGCTGTTCCGAAAACGCCTCCTCCTCCAGCCCTTCTCATCCAGGGACAGTGCCCGCTCCAGCCTGGGCCTCGTCGGTGGCTTTGGGGTGAAGGGTTTGGCCTTAGCCTGTGGGTCTTCATTGGTGATTTCTGCTGGCATGTCCAGAGGGACCACTGGGCTCTTCTCAGGCCCGGGAGAGCTGTCGGTGGGCAGGGCCCCTGGGCAGGGGACCAGGTCTCTGTCTGTGTTCGGAAGTCTCCCCTTGAGCATTCTGGCTTCGGGCTGCTGGGGCGCCGCCTCCGAGGGCCCCAGGCAGGCTGACTTGGATGGCATAGTCCAGGGGTCCAGCGCACCCGGGGGGACAGCTCCTTGAGGGCTGCTGGCGATGCCCCGGTGTCAGGGATGTGCGGTCAGAAGTCCCCGGCAGCGGGGCGTGGAGAAGGCCCGCAGGGGCAGGGCCAGCCGCTGCATGGCTGGGGGCCCCGAAGTCCTGGAGCGCCCAAGGGGTCTAAGAGGAAACTGCTATTACTTCCACGAATTTAACGTTCTTGAAGGGCAGTGACGGCGCAGGGTGACAGTGGGCTGGCCAGCGGCCATCCAGCAGGAACAAGCACCCAGACATCCCCACCTGCTGCCACCTCCTAGGGGTGGATGAGGGCCCTGCCTGCGAAGCTGGGAAGCCTCCTTCTTGGTGGGAGCCCGCTCGCGGTAGGGGCGCTAGGGACGGGACCGAGTGAGAATTCGCGTCTCCAAGGTGAAGGCCAGCGGAGGGCAACTCACAGACGCAGCCTGGGGTGGGGGTCCCGTCGGCTCTGGCTGCACTGCACGCCACCACCACCCCTGGCCCGCAGACCCCAAGAGCCCAGCCGCGACCCTGAGCAGGTCTTCGGCGCAGCGGCCAAGGCCCCGACGCAGGGCCTGTGATCCCGCAGCAGCTCCCAGGGCAATGACCGCAGTGGAGCTGGGGGTGGGACCAGACCCGCGCCCCGGGGTCACTGCTCGTGGGTCCCACCCCCGGGTTATCTCTCGCCCAAGGGTCACCCCGCACTCAGGGACCACCGGCCACAGGCCCCGCCCGGGGTCACCCCGCGCCCCTACCTCTCGCTGCTGTCTGCTCCCCAATCTCCGCGGGCCTTGGCAGACGCCTCGGCAACCGGCGGCCTGGGCGGCGGGCTGACGCCTGCAGCGGCCTCTGGCGGCCGGAGGCCCAGCTGGCTGAGAGAGGACACGGGTGCTGGGGGCGGGGCCAGGTGCCCGGAGACCACGCCCCCTTGCGGCCTCCCTTCCCGAGCCAGAGGGGCGGGGCCAGCATCCGCCCCAACCTGCCCAGGCCCCGGGGGCCGCCCCCCCCGCCCCCCCCCCCCCCGCGCCAGGGCACCGCCCAGTCCCTGCAGATTTGACAGTCCGGCCTTCCCCTGCCACTGGAATCCTAACTCCCCTCCGACTCCCCTTCGCACGTTGCTGCTCACGCTCACGCTTATGCTCACGGGGCTTGCGGGCTTCCGAGCAAACCTACCCCCTACTCGCCACGCCCACAGAGGGGAGCCTTGGCCGCAGGCTGGTCCCTGCCACACTTGAGGTGACTCGGGCCCTGGAGGCTCCCTGGCTTCAATCAGCAAAAGCAAAGAATGAGAGTGCTCAGAGCCCAAAATATTTTATTTTATTTTATTTAACAATTTGCAGTGTAACAATCAGCATTTAGGAAAAATAATGGCTCCCACCTGGAGGAAGCGTCTTGAATCAAAAGTCACTAACAGGATAATGGGCTGGGGGAAGCCGCACGGCGCAAGGGGCCACGGCCCCAGGAATCACACCCGCTGACCTGGGGCACATGAGGCCCCCTGGGGTCGGCCTTTCCCAGCCCAGCCCGCAGTCCCTCCCAGATGAACCGGGAAGTGAACCGGGAAGGAGGGAGGGACCAGTGGCCAGTGCACACTCGCGCAGCCCTGCGTGAGATCGGAAATGCCAAGCAGAACTACGGAGATCAGTTCCTAATGATTTTTATAAATATTTAAATCTTTTCTCATCTGTTTAGATTTAACAGCGACGTGGACAGTTTTCGGAACAGTCGATGAAGCCTGAAAGCTCTGGGTCCGGTGACAGGAGGGTCTTCCCTTGCAGGTCCCTGGGGCTGAGTGCCCAAGCCCCGCAGCGGAAGGGCTCAGTGCGGGGAGACCCAGGTGCAGGGGTGTCAGCTTCTAGAGCTTCTCCAAGAAACTACTTTAAGTCACTTTCTTCAAGACGCGGCCAGCCCCTGCGGTGAAGTCGCCCAGACGGGAGGGGCGTGCCGGCTGCGGGGCCCTGCAGACCCACTGGCACTAGTGCACCGCTGGCCAGTGTGCAGTGTGGCGGCCGTACGGCTGCTCTGACCGTGAGTGCAACCGGGTCACTCCCTAAAGAGGTCCAAATTGATAAATGACGGTCACAGCTTCAGCACTGGCTGACCAGTGAGGATCAGTTACATGTAAAACGCAAGTTCTGTTAGGTGGCTCTTTCCTCCCTACGGACAGCGCCAGCCCCCTGGTCGCAGGAAGCCCCTTGTGGTGCTAACCAGCCGCAGGGAGACGTTTCTGCAGCAGGAGAGAGCTGCCCTGCAGGGCCCCGCCCTGGCTGGAGGGTGGCTGAGGTGAGGCCACTCAGCAGGTACCATCCATAAACCATGTGCCAGGCTCCCAACGTGGGCCAGGGAGCGGCCACGGCAGCGGTGCGCTTCCTTTCGGCGTCTCAGACGAATCTGGCGGCGAGTCGCATCGGGCTTCCAGAGACGCCCTCATTCCCAAAGCTCCGAGCCCCCCTCCCCGCCTGCAGCAGAGTCCAGCCGCGCTTAGTGCGCCATTGCTAAGGGACTAGAGGATCTCCCGAACTCATTCTTTAGGTGGGAGGCCCTGAGCCGAGGGTCACTTCTCTGCTTCAGGCCTCAGAGGGGCTGTGGGACTAGCTTTGGCAACGCTTCCTGCGACGGGTGCTGGGCCTCATCGCTTGGAACAGAAGGGAGGTCGCAGGCGATCGGTCTGTGCCCAAGGCTGATCCAGTACAGGGACCAGTCTACCTCAACGCTGGGTATTTCCTCTGGCCCATCCTCCCCGACCTTGAGCTTCCTGAGGTGGCAGAGGCCTGAAACGACAGAACAGCACTGACTTGCGCATGCTGGCCCCCGGGGAGGGTGGCGCTCAGGGAGGGCCCAGCAGGCTTCGACCCGGGCCTGGGGAACAAGCCAGCACACGTCCCGACGCCAGACGGGCAGGTGTGCTTTGTCCCCTTTCTACAGCCCATGACCACTGGCCAAGTCAGGGTCAGGTGCTGGCGTCCCCTTTAAAGGCGCAGTGGTTCGTTAGGGGCTCAAAAGGAGGCCAATTCCAAGAGCGGAGGATCTAAAGGCCCCAGGGAGATGCACAGGGAGGGACTGACCAAGACAGGCACAGCCCTGCTCCCTCACCAACCCTCAGAAATGAGAGCTGAGGGGTTCTTGGAGAGACGTGGAACACAAGAGGTCACAGGGGAGAAGGAAACGACGACCAATCGTGAAGCGGAAATGCAGACGGATGGCCAGGTGGTAACAGGACACCTCAGTCCTGGGAGGCAGAGGGGGAAGAGGCCAAGAAACAGCCTGTCTGCAGACACCTGCCGAAGCCGAGGGCAGCAGGGGGCGGGGGAGGTGCGGGCGGCCGGCCGGGCACCGCGGGCCGCGAGGCGGGGCCTGCAGCAGGACAGCCTGGAGTCGGGCGAGGTGTTCTGTCCCTGACGCCAAGGCCCCCTGCAGACTCCTGCCCCACTCAGCCCCTCGGCCCGCAGCCAGTCTGTGCTGTGGCGGTAAGAGCTTGGACGAAGAGACACTACAGGAGCAGACAGTCCAGAACCGCCCCGACAGCGGGGCAGGCACGGCAGCGGCAGAGCCCGGGGCTGCATCCTGGGCTGGGGGCAAGGCCTCTCCTCTGCCCGGCCCCGCCCTGCCCCGCCCTCGGAGACGGCGCGCACTTACCTGTGCGAACTGCGCAGGGTGGTAGAAGGGCACAGCTGGCCCGGGGGCACTGCCCGCGGGGGGCTGGTCACTGGGAGCCTGGAACCACAGAGAGCTCAGCTCAGCACGACCATGCCACACACTGACAAACACGTGCTACTTCTGAGGACTTGCAACACTCCTGAATGAGCCACAGAAGCACGTGGAAGGGGCCTGTTGCCACGCGGACTGAACCGCGTCGTGGCTCACAGAGAAACAGTGGGAGTCGCGCGTCATGCAGTGCGAGCGCTTCAGACCCAGGACATGCACAGCCCCAGCGCAGCCCGCCAGCGTCGGGGAAGTGGTCAGGAGGCGTGCTCGGTGACTTCGGACCTAAAGCACCCGTCCCCAGAACTCAGGGTTTGATGTGCAGAGAAACAGGTCGCATCAGGCCTTCCAGTCGAGCCCCTGGGGAAAGCTGGGCCCCAGCTGCGCATCAAAGACGAAGCGCTCCGGCATCGCCCACGCGGACCAGCCGCGGGACTGCTGTCGCTGCTCCCCGCGGCCCGGCCTACGAGAGCCCTTCCTGCGCTGGACTGGAAAAGGAACCCTGCCTGCCTCAGGCGGCCCTCCCCGCCCTGCGCTCAGTGACAGCCGCCAGCCTCGGGTACCTGGTTAAGATGCTGGCTCACTTCACGCGACAGGGAACTCATTGAGCTAGAGCGCGAAAGCTACAAGACAGCGAGAACACAACACAGGGTCAGCGCACACGCCACGCTCCAGCCACGCTCCAGCCGTCGGGGTCAGTCCAGAGCGCGTCACGGAGCCATCAGAATCCCCGCAGGGGAAAGCCAGCGTGAGCTTGACATTCCCGTTTTGAGGCAATTTTGGTTAAGAAACAACTGTGAGTGCGGGTGTGCGGCCAGGCCTTGGCCACTTGGTCGCTGGACCGCACGACCCCGAGTAACGCAGGCCCTGGGCCGGCTGGGCCAGGGCAGAGCTGGAGTGCGGGCGCAAACCCTCACTCGTTTGAGCTCCTGAACAGCTCTGCTCAGGCACGGGCGGCTGCGCTTCTCGGAGCACGGCGACACTCTCAAGTCATAGAAAGCGCTTAAACCGCCTTCCCTCCCCGGTAACCCTCATTTCTAAGGAAGAAGCCGTTGGACAGGAGGGGGAGAGCAAGCTTCTTCGGCCTGGACTTTGGGCAGAGACTGCGGTGGGTGCCCCTTACCTCTCCCCCCTGCGAGCCGTCCACTGGGCAGGGGGCTGGATCAGAAGCAGGCAGCGAGGCCGCCGCACTGACAACCTGCGGGAGAGACACAAATGTGGCGCCTGCCCAGTCCAGCAGACGTGCGCCCCCGGCCAGGCGGGCGGCACCGAGCCTCCCTCTGGGCCAGGCCCCGCACTGCTCCAGCCCATGGGACATGCACCCTCGGAGAAGCAGGACAAGAGCCCACGGCACGTGCACCTGACGTCACCGTCCCACACCCCACGGCACGCCTCCCGATGACCCATGACCTGGAGTTATTTTTATCCCATTTCTCAGAGCAGGAAACGGAGGCCTGGAGAAGCGACTTCCCCAAAGTTCACACAGCTCGTTGACGGGGACCGGGGATGAACCCGTGTCAATCCGGCTTTGGAGCCCGTACCCTGAACCCTCCTATTCCACGCAAGCTTTGGACACCGACACCCCTCCCCTTACCGCCCTGACTTCAGTCAGACCGTCAGGACGCGCCACGCACGTGGCTGGACTGCGAGCCCCCGGGAGGTCACAGACACAGACGCGCAAGGACGGGCCCGTGGTCTTGGCCTGGGAGGAGGGTGTCCCACCCTGTCCCGTGCACCCGCTCACCTTGGGTTCCGAAGAAGCTTCTGGAACGGCTGGACCCCCTGCTGGGGCGTGTCCTTCTCTGCTGGGCCCCTCGGAGAACGGGGCTCCCTCCGCCTCTGTGAGGGAGACAGTGGCGGGGGAGGTCACATCCTAGAGGTCATTCCCGTGCGTGATGGTAGAAGAAAGGGGGCGAGGCCCCCTGCGCCCCTGGCCGCCACTCCCCTCAATGGGGATTAAGGCCCTGCCTCTCGGGGAGGGCCGAAGGTTGGAGGCGGGCTCACACAGAGGTGCCACCGCCCCGTACTGCCTACCTGGGTTTGGTCCAAACAAGGGCGCCGGGAACGGGAGTGGGGCAAGTGGGGCAAAGAGGTCCGCGGGGGCAAGAGCTGGGTCAGCGCGCTGGGGCCCGCCTGGGTTCAGGACGTCCACATAGCGCGCGCGCGTGCCGCCTGCCGCAGGAGAGGAGGCAAGTCAGGTGGGCGCGCTGACCGGCCTGCTTTCACGTGGCCCAGCCCCTCCGCACCACGGGAGGAGGCCAGCAGGGACCCTCTCCAGGCCCACCGGGCAGCTGGCCGGGAGGGCGCCCCTCCACAGAGCACCCGTGCTGGGCATCTGCCCTGGGCGAGGGCCGACCCTCAACAGCCTGCTCCGCCCTTTGCTGAGAGCGGCTGGTCCGGCACCTCCCTTAAGCCCTCCTCACAAACCAGCCCCCTCTTGGCTTCAGCCCCACCACCCACTGCTCAGGCGGCCCTCACGGACTCGGGTGCCCTGGGGGGCCAACAGGTTATGCAATCCAGCTCTCGTTTCTGGTTTGTTACCTGCTTTCCGAGAAAACATGTTCACAGAGGCTCCGGGGGGACCTCCAGGCCCAGGGGCGGCAGCCTGCGGAGCCTTGGGAAGCGACATCGGAGGCGGGGGCGGAGCCTTCTTCTGCAGTGGGACAGCGGGCTTCAGAAGGCGGCTGAGGAGCCCCGACGCCCAGGACGCGCCACAGACGGAAGCCTCGGAGGACGGGGCCCCCCAGGCACAGCACAGCCCCCAGCCACCGAACCTCCTCCTCTGGCTCGCTCGTGTCCACCCATCGGTTCTTCTTTGCATCCCAGACAATCTGCCATGTTGGTGAAGAGCAAAGAACGACATCAGCAAAAAGAACGGGACAGCATTTGAGCCTATTTGTGACACTTGAATACCCAAAAAGACACGTACTGGGGTCTGTTCTAAGGCTGAAACGCACTGTGCCAACGAGCACTGGTGGGCGTGCCCAGGCCACCCACCAAGCCCCTATGCGCCGCCCTCTGATGCTCACCGATTTTTTCGTGTCGTCTGGCAAATGCGCTTCCGTCCTCTTTTTCCTAGCGGTCAGCCAGGAGAACCAGGATTCCCCTCCCTACACAAAAACCACGACAACCACCCGGGGGACACCGTGCTGAGTGACGTGGCACAGAACGCTCCTCTGTGCTCCCACTCACATGCGGTCCCTGCGGGAGGCAGACTCACAGAGACAGAAGCCCACAGGGGCCAGGCCTGCGGGGGGAGTTTCGTGGGGACAGAGTGTCTGTGGGGAGGAGGGACAGTCCTGGAGAGGGTGGCGGTGGCGGCTGCACAGCAGTGCGAACGCCCTCGATGCCGCCGAGCTGCTCCCTGGGACGCGGGGGAGACGGCCGGCGCTGCGGGGTGTGCCCGCCACAACTGGAGCAGCTCAGGACGAGGCCGCGCCGCCGCAAGCCTCTCCCGCCTGCCGACGTGGGGGCAGCCGCCGGCGCTGCTCCCCCGCGGCGGGCCAGGCAGGCCAGGCCGGGAGAGTCCGGGGTCCCCTCTGGACATGGCCCCTCTCTGGTCCCAAGCGGAAGAAAGGACCCGCTGGGCAACTTCTCGACTCGTCCAACACCACGCTTCACTCTACTGAAAACAGAGGGTGGCGGCCGCCCACATTCAAAGCCACAGCTCCAGACCTGCAGCGGGCACGACCCGCGTGCTTGCGCCGTGTCTCCCAAATCACACACACCCTGAATGAACACTGCTTGCTGCAGACACGAGCCACTGGAGAGAAGTCTGGCCAACTGGCCCCTATGGGGCTGAGGCCATGCCTGTCGCAGACAGCACGGGAGGAACGAGGCAGCCCAGGTCACGGGGAGGAGGGCGAGGTGGCGACGAGCTCTGCCCCTCCCCCGGGGATGCCAACCAAAGCAGAGGAAGCATCGCCCGCCACAGAGGCCCGAGGGAGGGGCCCCCGGCGCCCGCCTCGCACACAGGGACGAGGCCCGGACAGTCGGGGCAGCTGCAGGACAGGCTGGGGGGGTCGCCAGCACCGGTCCCAGGCCACGCCTCCCGAGGCGGGACTAGGTGCCTGGGCCCTGGGCGCACCCCCAGGAGGACCGGGCCCGACACAGGCTGACCGATGCCGCCCGCGTCGGAGGAGGGGCGCTGAGCTGCAGGCCCCCTGCAGCAGATGTCCCCGCCCAAGGATGGGGACGAGCCTCCTCTGTGTGAAGCGCAACAAAGGCCACCGCTCATCCATGGTGACGTAAGTCAGAAGGGGGGGTCACCCTCTGGGGGAGGGTGCTGACAGGTCACGGACACATGGGACCCCCCTCGGGGGCTGGAGCTGCCCTAGCTCTGAACGGGGCAGTGTAACCAAGGGACAGATGACACCATCCACCAGGCCATGCGCCCTTCACATGCTTCCCGGTGAGCTCATCTGCCCCCAAAACGTTCAGTTTCGTGAGAAAAGAAACAAAATCCTCGTCCAGGCCTCCCAGGCGCGAGGGCCCAAGGCCCCCCCAGGCCCCAGCCGGCCCCTAGCCCAGCTGGAGGCGGGCTGTGCGTTACCTTCTTGGGTTCCTTGGCCTCCTTTTTGGCTGTCTGTACAGGACTCTTAGCTTCAGGAGCGGACGTCAGAGATGGAGGCTGCAGGGCGCCGGGGCCAGCAGACCCCCACCCCGGGGGGGCCTCGGAGTCTAGCCGCGTCCTCGAGGGGCCCTGAGCAAGGCAGTGCAGGGGCAGGCTCAGCGGGGACCTCCCGGGCCTTCAGGACACCCCGCAGGGCCGGGCGGTGACGGCGAGGAGGGGCACACAGGCGGGACGGGCGAGGGCAGCCCTGGCTCCTGGGACCGGCTGGAGGAGAGTCGGCCCCCACCGAACCAGCGGCCTCCCTGGAGCCACCGCGGAGACCAGGATGCGGGTGCGCGGCTGAAGACGCGAACTGCGCACGCGCACAGAGCGCGAAGACTGGGCAGTGGGGCAGTGGGCTTTTTAAAAGTAAAATTACTTATCCCTGGATTAAGAGTCTGTTTTCCATACAGCCAAACTCTCATTTTTTCTTTCCCAGGGACAGGGCATCTTAGCAACAGAACAATGAAGTTTAAGCTACAGCAATCGCCTGCTGACCAGTGCCCACGCCGGGCCAGGCAGCCGTAAAAGCGGCTCCAGGAAGCGGCCGTAGGAAAGCGTGCCCCTCCCGCCTGGGGATCAGAGCTAACACATCTGGTACAGTGAACCTCAACCTCAAGGAGACAGCAGGGATCCTGGGGGCCCCAGGGCAGGGCAGGAGCGGGGGCCACGGGGCCCCCTCAGCACTGAGTTACAGCTGAGGGGCCGCCACCAGCCGCGCGTCCTCTCCCAGCAACTACGGCCACACACGGCCACATGGTCTTTTTCCCACCCCTGCTTCCCCCGGCCTTCGTGTCTTAATGACTCAAGTTTTTCAGAAATGCCTTCTCTTTAAGAGACGATTTAAAGGCAAGTTTGTGTGGTATCATCTGTCCACTTGCAACTGAAGAACAAAGAGTTTGGGTCCCTATTCACTAAAAAAAGGGTGGGCAACTACCATGTCGAATTGGCCACCAAAATCCTCTTCTCTTCGCTCTGCCAGTGAGTCTCCCCCGCGGGGGTCCTGCGGGACCGTTCCTGCTGATGCAAGAGAGGCCCCATGATCCGGTGCTGCCAGCACGTGGCCACGGAGGAGCCGCCCCGAGGGCTGAGTCGGGACCCAGCCGAAGCCCCCCTTCCACAGTCTCCGCCCGGCGCGGCCCCCACAGACCGAGGCAGGAGGTGCTGGGCGGGACGGGGGCGGCAGCCCGGGCCCATGCACAGCCAGCTTGTCGCGCCCCAGGCAGCCGCACGTCGCACCCTAACGAAAGACACTAGCACTGATGCTCAATGAACCCATTTAGCCTAAAACGCCTATGGTTTTGGTATCTGTTCAGCAATGTAGCTCGTTTCAAGTCCAAGTGCCTTCAGTCTCTCCCACCACCCACTGCATGGAGCAGGAAAGCCGGCTGAGCTCTGCCCACTGGCCGACCCTGCGGCAGACCCACCTGAGTCCTGGATCCTGGCCTCCCGCAGCGGGTGCTCACTGTCCTGGAGGGGTGGCGCGCCGGGCGGCAGGCCAGGCCCGGGGTACAAGGCTGCAGGACCAGGCCCCGAGGGCTCCACAAAGCCACGCGCAGACCCCGGGAGCCCGCAGCCAGGCTCAGCAGGGCCCGGTGGGGGCACAGGGAACAGCGGCACCCGGGTGGGGAAGGCGGGCTGGCCGGGGGGCGTCGGCAGAGCTGCACGGAGACAGTAGAGGAGAGAAAGCGCTACTGTTGCCTGAGGAGGCCCGTGGGTGGCGACCCAGCACTTACTGCGCAGCACTCCGCGTGGATGCTCCTCATCGAGGAACTGCGGGAGCGACTGCCACGGCACAAGGTGCTGAGGATGCCAGGACAGGACGCCCCGAGGCAGGCACGGGAGCCCCTGCCCGCGGGCTCACCTGAAGGCAGCAGCCACACGCCCTGGCCGGAGTACTCGGCGCTGGGCGCAGGCGGCGCCAGCAGTGGATTCTCAGTGCCCAGGTCCGAGGGCGGCGCGAGTCCTGGGCCGTCGCACCGGCCCACCTCGGAGCTCGGTGTGCTGGGGCAGGGCGGGGGGAAGGCCGTGTCCGGGCTCCACACCACCGCACCCTCCTGCGGGAGAGACACTTCAGGCCTTGCCAGCAGCCGAGGCCGCAGGAGCCGCCGGGCCCAGTCCCCAGTGACCGCTCGCTCCAGGCTTCGGAGCCTCCCCTCCCCCAGGAGTGAGGCCTCGCTGACAAAACATGCGCCCCCAAAATTGTCCTGTCTCCACCTCACACTGCGGGTGAAAACCGCCTATCTCCACCAGCCCGACCGGCAGCCCCGACGCACCTTGACCTGCTTCTCCACACGCTGCAGCTGGACCAGCCAGGCGGGCTCCGCACAAGATTCCTCCTCCGGCTTCTCCTTCAGCTGCGGGTCGAAGAGCCGTAACTGGGAGGCGACCTGCAGACGTGCGGGAAGGAAGGGCCCCGGTGCTACCAGCGTCTTCGAAACCCACCCTGGCCTGGAAGAGGCGCCCCCTCCGCGTTCGACGGGAGGCGGCGCCAGCGGCCGTGCCCCTGTCTGTGCGTGCCCCCTGGCACCCCTGACACAGGCGCACGGCACAGCGACGCAGCAGGAGCCAGGGACGAGCCTGGCGCCGCCCTCGGGAGTCGGCTGCGTAGGTCCGCGGCGCCCCGACCCCCAGCTCGCCCCGCCTGTCCCCCACCCCCAACCTGATCACGCAGACTGACCCAAGCGCCGAGCCGACCTGGACGCGCCCATGTGCTGATTGGGCGGTGCGGGGTGCAGTGGGGGCTGGAGGGCGGGTCCAAATGAAATGAGTTGGGCTTTGTGTTACTAACGAACGCAGCTGTCTAAAAATCCTCGTCATAAAAAACATTTTTTGGTTTCACACGAGCACATTTTCAAAAATGGCACTCCAGAGCGGGGAGAGGACAACGGGACCGCTTTGGCACCGCGCGGGCACTGCCCGCCGACCCACTCGCCACTCCCACAGCTCCGCGGCCAGCCACGCTGCCGGCGGTTCCCGGGCGGAGCGCGAGGGCCCGCCGCGGGGTGGCCAGGGCCTGACCCCAGGCTGCCGGACCCCGGGAGCCCACACCGCGCCCCGCTGCCCGAACCGCCTCAGGTTGGGTTCCCGGACGCGGCCCTCCTCTCCTTGCAGCTCGCTCCCCGCTGAGTCCCTGCGCTGGGGCGCATGGCGGGGGGCCCCTGCGCTGACACGCCGGGCGCCACACTGCTGCCCGGGCCCGTCTGCCAGACTCGGCGCGAGCTCGGTCCCGGCCCCGCTCCGCCCCGCGGGCCCGCCGTCCGCGGCGGGGGACAGAGGCGCAGGGCGACGGCACCTCGACCAGCTGGCGGATGAGCACGGGGGAGTGGCTCTGGGGCCGCAGCAGCACACTCCTGGCGACCGCCTCGCAGTAGTGGAAGGCCTGCGTGGCCAGCCCCATGTCCGCCAGGCGGCACGAGTAGATGAACTTGAACACCTGAAATAAACCAACAGCGCTCAGCCACCCGGGCCTCCGCCCCAACTTCCCAAGGTCGCCCCGCAGCCCCCACGAGCCGAGTCCCTCCGCACGCTTCGTGTATGGCGTGTGCCCCCACGCCCCACAGCGGCGCCGTCCCCGTTCGCTGAGACAGGCCACGCCAGGGGAGACAACGGAGCCTCTCAGGGGCTCCCTTCTGCTCCGCACCCCTCAGAGGGCCAGCAGGGCCCCAGCGGCAGAGCTGTGGCCTGGCCCCAAACTGCCCCACACCGGCCGCCGTCTGCTGGCTCTGCGCTATGTGCGTGTTCACACACACACACGCTCTCGCACGCACTCGCATGCCGATACACACTTGCGTACACACACTCGCTTACACGCACACTCTCACACACTCACTCTCAAGTCCCATTACACGCCCCATCACGCCGAAAATAGCCAGAAAAAAACCCAAGGTACTCAAGATTTTTAAAGAAAAGACCCAAGATACACACAAAATCCTCAGCTCAGCAGGGTTTAACTCTCAAACATCATAGATCAAAGGTCTCCCCAAGATACCCCAAAACACTCCGCCATTAAAACCCCAATGCAGCACGGAGGCGTGGCCTGGGTGCCCAGCTGAGGCTCACCTGGAAGTTGGGCAGGGGGTCGGACTGGGCCCCCAGCGACTGAGCGTACTCATAGGCCTCTGTCCTCTGAATGGCTTCGTTGGTCGCAAACTTTAAAAATGGTAAACTGTTGAGAAAAGGAGTTCTTTCGATCTCTGCACACGTCAGCCAGGAGCGCCGCAGGCTGCACGCCGAGGGTGCAGGGCCCCTCCGCCCGGCTCTCGGGGGCTCCAGGGGCGTCCCCTCCCACAGGAACACGGGCAGCTGTGCGACTCCTCACCTGTGGTTCGATCCAATCAAGACCAGTTTCGTGCTTTTCTTCGTATAAACCCCAAATCCAACCTGGGCCATGAGGTAGCAGAAGTGCGCAGCGTCTAAGAGACCTTTTGAAGCTAAGGAGACATAAGGCGGGCCAGGCCTCAGTCTGGGGGTCTCCAGAAACCCGAGGCTGCGCACAGAAGGCAGCAAGGGGCCAGAGGGACGGAAGGGCGCCCGCGCCCAGCCCAGCGGGCCCGGCCCCACCTAGAGTGTCGCCCATCGTGGCCATCGTCCTCGACTCCACCTCCGCGTTGTGGCTCAGGTTGGACAGGACCATAGCCAGGTGCGGCCGCCAGTCCCCCCACTTCTCGTCTCCGCAGCACTGAGGTCGCGAGAAAGGCAAGCAGAACCACCCTCACCCCGGGAAGGCGGTGCCCCTGGGGCTTCGCAGTGGCGGGCTCTGGGAGGAGGCGGGGCTCACAGGACAAGGGCTGGACCGCACGTCGGCCCCATCCCGGGAGGGGACCATTCCCAGGAGCCAGCGCCGACGGACGGCGGGGCTGCGGGGAGCTCACCGTGGATGCTGCAGGCATCCGCCCGGACATCAGCTGGTAGACGGTCTGCAAAGGGTCATTGATGGGAAGGCTGTTGGCGAACCTGGGGGACACAGGGACAGAAGCCTAGCTTGGCCCAGCTCAACAACAAGGCAGGAGATACAATCGCTCACCTCCCGGCCCCTCGTGGTCAGCCCTGAGCTGACTGGGTGGCGCCCACGGCTCGCGTCACAGATGCCTGCAGGAGAAAGCCTCCGGGCTCAATGAGGGGGCCGAGGCCCGCCTGGTGCAGCGAGCAGGCAGGGCACCCCCGTCCCATGGTGGCGCCGCAGAGCAGCAGGGCTCCCCAGCTTCCGGGGACGAGCGCCAGACACCTGCGCGCTGCAAGGAGCTGCCCAGGCACTGCCACTGGGCCCGCTGGCCGCGCCCAGGGGCAGTCAGCCCTGCAGGATTCTTCACCTGGTCATGACTCGGGCGTGGGTCCGGCTGTCCATCTTACTGGCAAGTAACAGAGCGTGACCCCACAAGCCGTTTTTCATCGCAGACTCCAAAGCATCCTGCAAAGCAGCGCAGTGGTGAGTTGGGCCGGCACAGCGCCCACAGGGCGTGAGTTGGCAGCGGCAGGGCGCGTGCCATCCGCATCCCCGGGGACAGGAGGAAAGGCTTGTGTGCGGTGACTCATAGGCCTTGATGGCCCCTCCCAACCCCGCGCACACCTCAGAAAGCAAAGACAAGCACCCCGCCCGTCCCAGTCCCCGGGGACCAGGTCTGGCTCCACGCCCCCTGCTTTTACCGGCTCCCTGGGGCCTAACAACAAGCAGGCCAGTGAGAAATGGGACCGCGGGGAGGCAGTGCCGCCGCCCCCGACGACCCTTCCTGCTGGCGCCCACTGGGGCACGGGGCGCCCACGCCCGCCCCCAGCTCCAGACTGCTCTCTCCTCCGCCTGCGGAGGGCCTCCCCTTAGCCAGACGACCTGGGGCACAGCTCGGGCAATGTCTGATGAGGACCTGAGCTACCACAATGCAGAAGTACCAAGGACTTGCGGCCGTCACACCCCTGCGGTGGGAGCCGTGCACGCGCTGTGCGGGCGCCCAAGGCGCGCGGGTGCCCCTCCGCCCCGGGCCCGCCCCTCGGCTCCACACAACCTGCTCGAGCTTCCACGACGCCCGCCCCACTTGCAGGCCTCCGCCTGTGCCGTGCCTGCCCCGTTCCTGCTGGGCACCGGCACCCCCGGGACCCGCTGCACCGCAGAGACCCAGACCTGCCGCGGACTGGGACGGCAAGGTTCGCTTCCGCCTCGTGCACGCGTTCATCCCTGAGACAGCCGTACAAGGCAGGGCGTGGTCTGAGCTTCTAAGTGCATTTATTTGTTCCATGACAAGAAAACGGAGCCTACACGCCTTTGACGCTGGCCACGTTTAGAGGAAAACCACTACGACACCTTCAGATAAATGACAAAGGGGACCAGACGATTCCTCATGGACACTGCAATTCCCTGTGGACATGGGGCCTTGACCGTGACAGCTGCTTCCTGGCACTTAAGCCACATGGGGTCGGCGCTAGGACGCCCGCGTAGCGCCCACATGCCCAGGGACGCACCTTCTTACGGCCATAGAGCAGCAGCTCTCGGAACCGCTCCGTCTCCTTCTCCTGGGTGCTGGCGGCGGCGGCCTGACTGTCAGTGAGGAACGAGAGCTGGGCCTCCCCCGACTCTTCCTCCTCCTCGGCCTGCTCCAAGGCCTCATTCGTGAAGTCGATCAGGTTGGCCTCGTTGGGGGACTTCCCAGGCAGCCACACAGTTTTGTGGTCTTGTAACAACAGTTCTGCAATGTCGGTTCCCACCACGGTCTGCAGGGCGGCAGGGACAGGGAGAACGAGGGCCTTCACTACAGCCAGGACTTCCTGCAGGCCCTGCTCGGGGGAGGGCCCAGCCGGTCTCTGCAGGTGAGCATACCAGGCCGCCAGGACACGAAGGGCCGCTCCCCCACGGCTGAGAGCCAGACGGACAGACGACAGCCTACCCGACAGGCAGACACGGTGGGCTTGAACCTCCCTTTGCCTCAAATGCGCCCCCTGCTTGTCTCCTATTTCCCCAAGTCCCTGCTAAGACAGCCCCCATGCTGGCCCCACGCGGAGGGGACCTCGGATCCCAGAGACTGAAGGCTGACAAAAAGAGGCATTCTACAGGCAGAACACACGTACCCCATTCTGTCTGCACAACAGAACGATAAAGTTCCAAAGAAGATTTGCAGACTCTTTGTCAATTAAGTTCTCGTTCTGCAAACACTTTGTGGCTTTGTTCTGTGCAAAATTAATAACATCCACTTTATGGGTGTCGTCTCTGAAAAAAGAACAACGCTCAGTGAACAGCAACAAGCGCGGCGGCAAGGCCTCGCTCAGCCCCAGCCGCCACAGCCGCCACAGGCGCCCCGGTGCCCGGGCGGGACATACTTGCCGAGCGGCCCCGGGAACGCGCGCATCTCCTCCTGCTCTGGCACGTGCTGCAGCAGCGTCTGCGGGGGCAGGCGGGGGCGGGGAGACAGTCGCTCAGGCACAGGCCCTGGCACCTGCTCACCAAGGCTGCCAAGGACAGCCTGCCCCACTCGAGAGGCGAAGGCTCCATCCTGGGCACGGCCACGTCAGGTCAGCTACAGCGACTTTCAAACTTGCTTTTAAGCCATGAGATCCATTCCTGGCTCCCGAACACTGAAGCAAGGCCCCGAAACACGTGACAGAGGCCTGTGGGGCCACGAGCTGGAGCGCAGCCCCCCACTGGCTCCCGGGGCGCCCCCTCCCCCACCGGCCCCAGGATCATGAAGCTCCTCTGCATCCGTTATCAAAAATCACCAATAAACGAACCTCGACAGTGTCCTCCCCTCAAAATCAAAAACGCAAACAAAGATAAAAGACATATGACCAGATAGAACAAAAACATCTTATCCACTGAGGACTGCCAGGAATAAACGCTCTGCAAGGCTGCTTTTCAGAAACGAGAACGTGCGTGCGGGGCCCGCCGGCCTGCGGCCGCAGCCAGGCCTCACCTCCATGCTGTGCACTTCCACCAAGGCAGGCTGTCCTTCCGAAGGCAGGTTGGGGATCACTTTGATGAGCTGACCCCCGGGGCCGAACCTGGCACAGACATGAGGCACGGAGAACTTCTCAGGCGACGTGGGTCTCGATGGAGCTGCAGCGAAAGGACACACACAACCGATGCCCACCTGTCAGTTCTGGATGTTCCGAATCAGGGCAGCAGCGCAGGCGTCACGGTGCCCACGCGGCTGCCCCTAGTGCCCCGATAAACTCTCAGCTGCAAGTTAAAAATTGCTACACACCCTAAGAAAAAGTAGAACTTCAGCACGTGTTAGGAAAATGTTTAAATTATTAAAAATTAAGAAACTAGTCCTGGCTGGGGTGGCTCAGTGGACTGAGCAATGGCGTGCAAACCAAAAGGTCACCTGTTTGATTCCCAGTCAGGGCACAGGCCTGGGTGGTGGGCTGGTTCCCCAATAGGGGGTGTGCGAGGGGCAACCACACATTGACGTTTCTTTCCCTCTTTCTTTCTCCCTTTCCCTCTACAAATAAATAAATAAAACCTTGTGGGGGAGGGGGACCAAAACTATCCTCTAGGTAGGGGTGTCCAATCAGATGCGGATCAGGGTGGCTATGAATGGGGCCCAACACATCGTAAATTTACTCAAAACACTGAGATATTTTTGTGTGTGATTGTGTGTCACGATGCATTTAACGTGTGGCCCAGAGACGCCCTAGTCAGCCACCCCTGTGAGTCTAAATAAAAAAGCGCCTTTAAGAAACCACCCAAAAGCCCTCGTCCCAGGAAGCAGAGCCCCCCGGACCCTCCGTGCCTCAGCTTTCCTCCCCAGTCTCTGTGTCCCCGCACCCAGTGGGAGTGACAGAATGTGACGCCAAATGTCAAAAAGGAGAGTTTCCCATTGAAGTGCTACTTTAAGAAAGTAGTATTTATACATATTTTTGTGGCGTTCAAGATACAGCATTTCAGACGGACCGACGGACAGGCACATGTGACAAGCCGATGACCGGCTTTTCCTGGGGGAGCTGCACGTTTCCTCCGAAAGCTGCTACCTGTGTGGTCAGCATGGGGACACAGGCCCCCAACCAAGACCCTGGCGCTGAGCCGGCCCCCCGAGTCACGCGAGAGCAGGTCACAGGCCGGGCAGCCCTCAGGCCTGGCTGCCGACCCGCAGCCAGAGGGCGCCGTCAGTGCCTGCGACGAGCCATCAGGCAGAAACGAGCCATCAGGCAGAAACACGCGCACGCCGGGACACAGCTGTCCTCGCTCCGCGCGGAAGATCAGGACAGGCCGCCACGGATTCCCATCGCAGCCACACCTCACTCCACTCCGTGCGTCTTCTCCCAGGCCCGTGAAGCCACCCTGCAGGGGCACCCAGTGCCCCCAGCCCCCGTGGGCACGCAGGGCCTCAAGCACACACACCTTGCTCCACGGCGGGCCAGCCGGCGTCAGCAGGGTAGCCGTACTCTGGGAAGCCCTGGGTACTGCTGAAATTGCTAACATAGGCGTCGTAGGTGTAGTCCCCGTGGAAGGAGCCTGGTGGGGGCGGGGCCTCGTAAGGACCCACAGTCACATCGCGACTTCTGTAAACCTGACTCTTGAAAACACAAAGTGGGCAAGTGAAATCGCTGCGCCGTGAACTCTGGCAGGGCCGGGACGCGCCGGCAGAGCACGGGGCAGGGAGCCGCGCCTCGGCAGAGCTGGCAGCAGAGGAGCGCCCGCCGCTGGCGCCTACCTGCTGCGAGTGGGCGCTGAAGCTGCTGTGGCGGCTGTGCGCGCTGCGCAGGCTCTGCGCCGAGTGCTCGCTGTGCACGCTGCGCCGGTCTGTGTCGTCCCCGTAGGGGTCCCTGGGGGGCTCGGGGTCGTCGTCGAAGCTCCCCGTGAAACGTGGGTCGTACCTCCAGGGGTCGTCGTACCTCTCGGACCTAGAGGGGCCGTGGGGCAGAGGCAATAAGGGGGCGGGGGCCCCCGGACGCAGCTGCATGTGCTCACACCACACCCCAGCCCCTGCCAGATCCTCCCGCCCTCCAGAGCCCTGACTCCACGGACCCCAGTTGGAGCCACCCTCGCGTGGCACTGTCACCCAAATTCAGGCGCACACCCCGTCTGAAGACGCAGAGAAGCACGCTGCCCGGACACCGAGAAGACAGGGCCCCGCCCACCCCCAGCGCTTGCTCTGCGGCCTGAAGCGAGAGGCGCCGGGGGGTGCAGTCCATGCCCTCTTTCAGACAGGGACCGAGGTGCCAGCGGCCCCCCAGGCACCCACGCACAGCTGCGGCTCGTGGGTCATTCACGGAGCGCAGCCCTGACGCCTGCCCACCCTCCTGGCAAGGGGCACATGACCCACCTGTCAGCGTACGCGTAGTTTTCCTTCCTGTATGGGTCGTAGTCTGTGTCATACCAATACCTGCGGTCGTAAGGGCGGGGGTCCCTGAACCTCGAGCCATAGGAATACCTATCCCAGCGACCCGGCTCTGCACGCAAGGAAGAAGTGGGTCAGAACCACACTCACGAAAGGTGCCGCCCAGCGCCAACGAGTGCCTGCAGGCTCCCTGAGGCACCCAGCTTTCCTTCCGAAAGTGAGCACGGCCCGGGGGCGCTAAATGAGATGCCGGAGGTCCCGGCTAACCCCTGTCCACACGTGTGAGACTGAAGGCCACTGGCTGTGTTTCTCTCAGTGCATGTGATTAAAAAGAAAACTAAACCTGTTACGTGAGATCCTGATGTTTTTGCTCAAACACCTTTAACAGTTAATCCCATAACTACACATTTTACTCATATCTCTTCTAACGTGGTCTACAAAGACTCAAGAAATACTCTCCAAACTTAAGGACTGCTTTAAAAAAGACCAGTAACTGTGGCTCAGTGGACTGAGCGCCAGTCTGTGGATCACAGGGCCGCCAGTTCAAGTCCCAGTCGGAGCCGAGGCCTGAGGTGCAGGCCAGGCCCCCAGTGGGGGGCGCGCCAGAGGCGACCCTGTATCTCTCACACACTGATGTTCCTCTCCCTCCCTTCCTCCCTCTCTGGAAAAATAAGTAAAATTTTAAAAAAATTAAAAAGACCGGTAGCATTAAAACAAACCAGATGCACCACTTTCAGCAAGTGTGTGCAGAGCTTGTTTACAGCGATACAGACTGGGCGGGGGAAACAGGCCTGTGAGCAGAGGGCGAGCAGCCATGGGGGAGATGCGAGGGCTGCAGGCCTGAGAGCCTCTTCTGCCCCGAGCGCAGGACACTGCGCAGCAGAGGGAGCAGCAGGGCTTGGGGACATGAGGCCAGGAGGCAGGCCCCGCCCGACAGCGAGGGGACATGCCCGCGCCCCCCTGTGCCGAAGCCACAGCCACGGGCCCCCAAGCACGGCAGGTGCAGCCAGCGCTGCAAGGAGCCACTTCCTCGTCTCCCTCGGTTTATAAGACTGGGCAGCTCCAGGACCACTGGTGATGATGCTTCGCTAGAAAGTCAAAGAAGACTGGTACCATGACAAAGATGCGTTACTGCTGTCATTAAGATGTAATGAATGAAAAAGCAGCAGCGGAATTACCTCCAGGTGCATGTTACCTGGACTTTTGGAGGAAGACAGACTAACAGAAGGGACACTTCCTAAGGGTCCCACAGCGCGCCGCGGACCTGGAGGCGCCCCGTCTCCTGTGACCAGCAGCCGGGCGCCCGCAGGCTGCCCCACGTACCTCCATAGTCATACTGGCCGCAGTAGTAGTTGGAGTAATCGCTCTGGCTGCTCCATCCGCGTTTGGAGTTAGAGTGGCCTTCAGGGTGCCCTTGCCTGAAACACACGGCGGTCACCAACACATCACCTGCTTTGGAACACGGCGCCGGGATGGCAGTCCATCCGGACCATGCCCAGAGCGACAGGCATCCATCAAAGCACTGGGTTGTGGGAAACCCTACCCAGAAGCACCCACACCGCACAACGATGAGTTTATGGGATTCCCCGTCATCCAGCAAACTGACGTTTCTCCCTCACATGAGCACGTCGGCACAGGAGGACATGTGTTCGCCGTGCCGACGCCCGGAGAGGCCAGGAGACGCCAGGGCCGAGACAGCTTCTCAAGGCGTGGGCGTGAGACCCAGCCGAGGGGTGAGATTAGCTGACGGCCGACTTTCAGACCTGCTGCACAGACTGCCCCACGCGCCCTCCAAGCGGGGCAAGGCGCGCTCGGACCTGGTGGCCTCTGAGCTGACCGCCGCGGGCCTCATGGAGCAAGCCTGGCCCTGACCCACAGTACAGAAAAGGCGGAGCTCAGCAGGAAGTTCAGGTGTCCGGTCTGGGGCAGTCGGGTTCTTGGAAGGGCTTAACGACATCTTTGTTTTCTAACAGCAGGTTTTGGAAAGCATTTGGTTTTAAAACGGACTGCCCTCCCGTCTCACTCAGTTGAGCCAGGGCTTGGCCTGCGCAGCCCTGGGTGGGAGCGCCCAGCCTCAGCCCAGCACCTGCCACCACCACCCCGGGGCGGGGAGCGCCTGCACGCACATGGGGGGCTCCTGGACCCGCACCTCCTTGCCCCCACAAACCCTGCATCTGCCAGGAAAGACGATCAGGGAAACAAAAGGCCCACGCTCACCCCCAGCAGTTCCCACAGGGATGGGGTCGCAGCGGCATGAGACGCAAGAGCCCACGCTAACCACCACGTGGGGCGCAGCCACGCACAGGTACGCGCCTCCGATCACTATGAGGCAGAAGGGGGAGGATGCCCTCCAGCGCTGTCACTAAGCACTGCCACTAAGCGCTGCAAATGCAGAGGGTGAGGGGACGGGCCTCCCACAGAATCGCCTGGCCTCTGGGTGGGCACCTCCCTACTGGGCCAGCTCTCGCCTCTGAAACAAGCCGCCACGTTCCTGTGCACCTGTGCAGGTGGCTGAACAAGGCGAAATCGAACAGCCAGGTGCACCCTGGCTCCACCTGCCTCTGCACGCCCTTGCCTCCCAGGTGTTCTAGAAAACACCGCCATGGCTCTCACGGCGTCAGGACGCTTCCCCAGGTGGGGAGTGGCACCCCAGCGCCAAGACCCAGAACCTTCTCCCATGGAGCACCCGGAGCACTGGGCCACACATAGGCCAGCGAGTCCCTGGCAGCACTGGCCAGAGGCCAGCTGGCAGCCAAGGCTCTCCGGATGCCCCCAGAGCCAGCCCGAGGCGGCCCCGACTCTGGAACGCAGCGTGCGTACCAAGTCCGCATCAGCAACCAGGCCTTCTTCTCTGTCCCAAACGTGAGGGGCCACGCACCGTTCTAGCAAATCCTGCACCCATGAAGCGTCACTCTACTCTGGAAGGCGGGCAGAGCCTGCATGATGGCCGCCGCCCCTCATTCCAGCTCCCCCAGCCCTAGTGGGAGGCAGTGGTGGGGAGGAGGCGCGGGCTTCCAGGCCAGGCCTGCCAGCTGCACTCGGGTGCGTCTGCCCGGCCGGAGCACCGAGGTCTCTCTGATCGTGGTGGAACCGAGGGCAAGGTGAGGGCAGCAGCGGTCTAGGCCCCCGGGCGTTCGGTCAGCGAGCTTCCAGAGTGCACGCGTGCCCCAGCGACGGGACCGTGGCCTGGGCCGGGGCGAACCCTGCGCGAGGACAGCGGTGCCAGCTCGGGGGCCCCACGTGGGGTCTGGCTGACAGCAGGGCAATGTGCTTGCCTCGACTCAAAAACGCATCTCACAGCCTGTCCACGTGATAGAACAGCAGCACCATGGGTTTGCGTCATTCTCTATACACACAGTCTTCCCAAATCGTGACATCCCCGCCGCAGCCAGCAACACGAACGCCAATCACCTGGCAGATGGCCGGTCTGAGCAGTGGCTCGCCCGGGAGCTGGGCCGCTCGGGCTCGGGGTAGCGGTAGCTGTCCGCATAGGCGGAGGCGGCACTGTCGTAGGGCCTGTACCTGGGCTCGTAGAGACCATAGATGTCCTGTGGGAGACAGGTTTGTGCAGCGTCAGGCAGCCACCAAGACCCACCCGCCCAGCAAGGGGCACCACCCTCTGCGGAGCAGAGGCGGTGCTCCCAGGAGCAAGACCCGGGGGCTGCCCTGTGCGAAACGCAAACCGAGGGCATGGCAGCCCCAGGCACGCAGCCAGCCGTCCTGAGACCGACTGCCTGGCCCTGCTCAGGAGATGCCACATGTCAGCAGGTCCCCGGGGGCCAGGGCCGCTCTCGAGGGCCCCATCAGGCTTCTGCTTCCTGCGTCACAGACACAGAGGGACCAGCATGTGAAGCCCGGTCCTGCGCCAGCCGGAAGCCGTCCTTCCTGTCCGAGAGCCTGACGCTCTGCCGCCACCAGGCAGAGGACAAGAGACCCTGTCATATGGACTTCTTGACTGATGCTGGGGCCTACGGTGACAGCGAGAACAGGCAGAGGGGCGCGGGCTCCCACCGAAGTGAAGCTGGACTCCTGGGGTGCTGAGGTGGCACTGCACCAAGGACCTGAGGTGGGTGCAGCACGCCTGTGGCCTCCCGACAGAGCGGAGCTTCCATGTGGCTCCTTTGGGGACCTAGAGCTCGCAGATCTCAGTGGTCAGAGGTGTATCTCTCTTCTCTTTCTCTCTCTCTCTCTCACACACACACACACACACACACACACTCACTCAGGGCCCAACACAGGGCACAGGCCCCCCATCACCTGGCCTGGCCCTGCCCAGCCTCTTCTGACCACTAGGCCCCCAGCTCGACCACCTGGCCCAGCCCCTGCCCCGTGTGCTGTGAGTCGGCAGCTTCAGCCTCCCTGGTCCATAATCCCGCTGCCTCAGCTGACCTCAAATGACACCAGGCCCAGGCAGAGGGGACAAAAAGCAGGCAATAATCTCGAGGTCCACTTGAGCCTGACTTTCTCCAACACAGGATTAAACAGAACCTAACTAAAAGTTTTGCAAGCTGGCCACACTGTGAAAGGGGCAAAAACCCTTCTGGGTGGCTGCAGGGTCCCCGCTCTGTGGCTGGCACTCACTCAGCCCCGGAGGCCAGTGAAGCCTTGCCCCTCCTCACTGTTTCTCCTGGGTTATGTGCCAAGCCTACCTTTTCTCCTCTTTTTATTCTAAAGGTGGAGTTTTAAAAAGTACAGATTTCCTGCAGCGCTGCTTCTTAGGTTTCTGATGTCACAACCACACGTAAGCGTCAAGCAGCTCCCCCATTCCCCAAAGCCCGCCACTCAGCACTCGGGGTCTGCAACAGCCCACAGGGAGCAAAGGGCCATCCTGTCCCACACCTGGGGGGTGCTGGGTCACGCAGACACTAGTGTCCCTGCCACTCGGCGTGCCAGGGAGCAGTGTGGACGTCGTGGGGCAGGCGTGCCTGGCAGAGCAGCGGGGACCGGGAGCACCATTCTCACAAGCGGCACACAGAACCAGAGTGCATGACGGGCCACTCCAGCACTCTGAACCGACAACCCTGCCAAGGGGCACGTGAGGAAAAACTGCTGGGCAAAGGTGTCACCTGTCCGAGTTCGACCCTACCTGGTAGTAAAGCGGGGCTGCGCCAGGGTCCGGTGGGTACGGGGCGGGGTACTGGGCCTGGTAGCCGTCGTACGGGGATCTGTAATAGTAGTAGTCCAGGGGTGGTGGCTGCATCCACTGCTGATCCGGCGGCGCGGCTACCTGGCTGGGGCTGCTGGACACAGCCGAAGCGCTGGAGGACTGAGGCGGCCGAGCAGGCAGCTGCGGAGCTGGGTCGGCTGGAGCCGGACTGGTGCAGTTTTGGGGCTGTCCTCTTGCGGGTGGACCTTCTGGGTTTGAGGGTTCTGCAGGTGCTGCTCTGGGCCCTCGCGGGGGAGAGGGAGCGGGCTCCTGCTGGGCTCTCTCCAGGCTACGCTGCTCCTGAGCGCCTTTTGTCACCTGTGGGTAGAAATGGTCTGGGTTATGCACCCCAGGCCCAAGCCGTCCAGGATGACCGGGGGCGGTGTGCTGGTAAGAGACTGGGTCTTCGGAATGGGGTGGGCTACACGATCTTACAGGATTTTCTAAAGTCCTATTTAATGTGAAGTCTAGGGCTCCTGACGTCTCTTCCCGGTTACTGGGATGATTCGCCTTATTGCTTTGTGATACCAGGGCGGTGTTTGTGGGCGACACCAACACGAAGCCTGTGCTCCCAGCAGGGCTGTTAACTGGCTCCGGAAGAGTGTTCTCCGCATCGTGAATCTTCTGACCTTCCGGGAGCAAGTTCTTTGGAGTTGGATGAGATGGTGGTTGAACCAGCAAATTAGCAGGTTGAGTGGAAACCATTTCAGAAGTACCAGCAACTTGTGGAAAATTACTTTGGGCAAGATTGTTAGGCAGAGGTGAGCAGATGAGAGAGCTGGCTGGCACCCCAGACAGGGGCACAGTGTCTCCAGAATCACCCCCCGCGGCCCGGCTGCTCATGGCAGACCTGTCCCCAACTCGAGCCTCTCTCCAGAACTGAGTCTTCTCATTAGGATTCGACAAGGATGCAGGAAAATGAACGGGCTGAGCCAGATTAGAGCTCTGATCAGGCGGAGCGAGCAAGACGGGCTGATTCTGTAAAGATTCCGTGGGCGGGGAGGACAAGAGACCGGCATAACCAGAACTGGCCTGCGATGGAAGGGCCTCCCCCTCCCCCATCTTGGGAGGGTTCTCAAGGTTCTCAGAGGCACCGATGCCACCCCCTCTCTGCAGAGGGGGCGGGCACCCCAGCCGCCGGGGCGGCTGGCTGGGCACCCCCTCGTCCGGAGGCTGAACCACTTCCGACAGCTGAGGCTTCCCGGGCACATGAAGCGCGGGGGCGGCGGGGGCTAAAAGGACGTTGCCCCCAAAGTCTGGCAGCTCGTTCTGTGCCCACAGAGTTGTGGCTGGGCTCTCACACTTCACGGTCCCCTGGGCCCGGGCCGAGGGCTTCTTCTCGGGGGTCGGAAGCACTGTCTCCGGGGGCAGCCCCCCAGGGCGCAGAAGCCCGCGCCCAGCTTCCGCAGCTGTGGCGAGAGGCAGAGGACAGCCCTGCGGCGGGAGGAGGGTCTCCATGTTGTCAGGCGGCTGCTCCAGGTTGCCGGGGCAGGCGTCGGGCGGTGCGGCGGCCGGCCTCCGCTTCTGAGAGGCTGGGGCCACCCTCGCCTCTCCCACCACGTTGGCACGGTCTGCCTCGACTGGCTTTACTCCAACTAGGTGGGATTTCACCGGTTCAAAAGGACTATTTGCACTTGTCTGAAATATCCCTGTAGGTTTGGGGGGGCTTGGAGTCAAGGACTGGGACAGGCTGCTGCGGTAACTGTGGCTCCCGGCGGTCTCATCCGTCTCGCCTCCCACAGGAGAAGAATCGATCTGCTTAAAAAAGCCCCCTGAAGCCTCATCCTCAGGTCTCCCAGCTTCCTGCTGGATGAAGGTGCCCAGGTCCTGGGGCCTGGCTGTACTGGACACGCTCCTGTGGCTCTTGCTGCTGTAACTGGAGGACACGCTATCAGATCGCACGGGGTGCGGCGGTGTGTCCAGGGCCTCGAGATTTGAGCCCCCGCCTCCAGCATGGCCTGTGACACTGAGCCTGGGGCCCGGGGGCCCGGGAAGGGGCACGTGTCTGAGCTGGTCGCCTGTGGGGGAAGCATCCAAACCTGGGGGCTCACTGGGTAGAACCTCCTGGTTCTGGGTAAACTCTAAGTTCTCCACGTTCTCGTAGTGTGAGCCCCCCGCGTCAGGAGCCCCTGCACCCGCCGGGGCGCCCCACGGATCAATGGCAGTGTGCCGAGCCGGCGGTTTACCATGCTGGGCACCTGCAGGCCGAGGAAAGTAAGGCTGCGTGTCTCCTCCCTGCGGCACAGACTCGCCACGCGAGCCTCGGAGAACGGCCTGGCAGATACCGCCTGCGCCGCCGTGCGCAGGCGGAGGGCCCAGGCCAGGGCCAGGGAAGAAGCCGTCAACGCCGGACTGAGGAGCAGCGCCTGTGTTTTCAGGTGAGAGGGTCTCCTCATTTTCTCTCTCCCCCCCATGGAAAAACACAGAGAGTGCTCCCGACTCGACTTCCGGCAGTGCCTGGCTGGCCCTGGCCCCCGGGGGGTAGTGCAAACAGCTTTCTGGGCTATTTCCCTGAGCGAAGGGACTTGCAAGAGCAGGGCTGGCCACCTGCTCCTTGCTCGCCCCGGGGCTCGGCCGGACCTCCCAGCCAGCCCGCGGATTCCCAGCTTGGACGTCCTGCCCAAGCGTGCCGTCGAGATCCAAGCTGCTTGCCAAGTGGTTCCCACTTTGCACACAGGCTGCCTCCTCTCTCCCATTGCCGGCCGAGGGTCCTGTGGCGGAGGGGCCATGCTGCTCGTGGTCAGGACCCTGAGGCAGGCCGGACGGAACCGGGAAGTGGGACACGCTGGAGGCCTGGGGCGCCGCATTAGGAAACAGCCCTTCTGGGCAGGGCCGGTAATGCGGACCTGAGGCCTGTGGGCCCCCCTGCACGGGCCCCCACTGCGCTGGCATTTGCTGATGAGGCTGAGAGAAGAAAGGGGACACTGTGGGTGCCGCAGCGCTGCTGTGAGGGCTCTGTCCACTCGGGGGTCTGTCGGGCCCAGGCAGGCTCCCGTGCGGATGGCCCCCGTGAGGAGTGTCCAGACCTGCTCCCGGAACGTACTGGGCCTGAACGTGGTGCTCCGAGCCGGCAGCAACCTCAGTCCTCCCACTCATCTCAGGCCCTGGTGGCGCTGAAGGAGTCAACATGCTGGGAAAGGGACTTGCCCCTGGCCTGGGCTGGGACAGAGGTCTCAGCAGAGGCTCGCCGGGTCCATGGGAGCTGTCCCCAGCATTTGGGTGAGGCAAAGGCAGACCAGGGTGCTGAAGAAATGCTGGTGGGACTGGGCCTGGCAAAACGGCTGGGCTGCTTTTGGACGAGGTGCCCAATGAGGTGTTTTGAATTGCCTGCCTACTAAAAGCAAATGGATCCGTTACTGGCTGCAGCGGGCAAGTCACCGCAGCCACCGGTGCACTAGCGGGCGCCTGTCTCCTGTACGGGCTGCTAGACCAGAACATGCTCGGCGGGCTCCCAGCTGGAGGCGGCCCCACCACGCTGGGCGGGACAGCCTGTGGCGGTGGCTGCATGGCCAAACTCTTGCCCAGGTAGATGTTGCTTACAGAGAGCAGCAGGATCTAGTTTATCCTTAATTTGAACTGAAAAAGAAAAAAGAAAAAAAAAAAGAAAATATTGGCATAAAATCCATATATTCAAAGACCTGGTTGCAATCAGCAAAACTAAGAGAAATGAAAAAGATGGACAGCGATCTCACTGAAGGCTGCATCTGCCCCACCCCCATTTCCGTTCAGAACGGCCACCCTGCTCTCGGGGAGGGACACTGGACAGGAGCATAGACACTGCTGTACCCACATGCTGAGTGACTTCAGACAAGTCACTTCCCTTCTCTGGGCCTCTGTTACGTAACCCAGCGAAGGACTGGAATGGCCGCCGCCTCCTGCGGCCCTCACCGAGCTTGCGGGGACAAGCAGAACCTGCCAGTCTGATTTGGCACCAGCAATATGGTCACTTTTCCTGTGACTTGTCCCCAGATTAGGAGAGAGCCAGTTCCTCTGCTAAGACTGTGCATCACGCTTTCCACACAGGTAACTTTAAATCTCAAAAAGAAAACCAAAGTCTAAAATTGGCTCTTATGTTTTCTTTCTTGGCAGAGAACTATAAAGTACAGTGATACAATGTCTTCATCTCCAGGGCCTCTGCCCCACTTAAAACGTCCCCCTTTTTTGCACTGGGATAGGCTGACCACCACCAAGAAAACCAGGTCCTCTGTGAGCCGGGGCTGCAGCAGCCACGCCTGGGAAATCCAAGGCCAGGCAGAACAGCTGTAAAAATGACCAACTGACTTGATTCAAACCTTTTCAATAACAGGCAGAGTTACCGAAAACGAAGGGGCACCCTGGCTGGGTTGCTCAGTGAGTTAGACTATCATCTGGATACACCAAGGTTGTGGGTTCGATCCCTGGTCAGGGCACATACAAAGATCAACCAATGAATGCATGGGTAAGCGAAACCACCAATCAATGTTTCTTTCTCTCCCCCCCTTCTTCTAAGAATCCATTTTTTTTTAATCTTAAAAAAAAATCCTCTTCAGTTTTCTGTTGTTGTTCGTTAATAGAATACAGTAAGTATAATCTTGAACAGTTATCTTGCACTTCTAAGGCAAATCCAAGTTCTGTCCCTTTAGAAAGCCCTTTTCTGTGGATCAGCCCCTCTTTCCCCAGGGCCACCCTCACGAGCAGATCCAGCTGGGCAACCAGAGAGCAGCGACCACGGAGGGAGACCTGGTGGACGGACTCAGGAGTTTCAGCCACACTTTTGCAAACGTGCAATGATTTTGTTCTTGAAAACCCTTCTAATACTCAGATAAAAGAAACTCATGAGTGTATTTTAGGTAAAGGAATTCACGAGGAACAGTTCCTACCCCCACCTGAAAACTAGTCCCGTGGAATCCATTAACTCATTACCGCCAACATGGGGTGTCCCTGGCCCACAGGGAATCCTTCCCACCACCGAGTCTTTAAAGCTCACTCCCATTTGGCGGGCTGTATGTTACTAGGAACAGCATCGGATACTTTACTGGGTTCTAAGCTGCCATTTTAAAACAAAGAACATTTACAGCTCAGCTCTACATGGACTGAGGGTAGACCAACCAGAGGCCCTTCCTCGTATCTGTGAAACACGCACCCAGGACGTCTTCCAGGACACAGCCTCCTCCTTGCAAGGCTTCAGCAGAAGACCCTCAACCCTTCTAAGTAGATTTTTAGAAAGTACAGAGCAGATGCCCAGAGGATGTCTGCCAGGTACCACTGCAAGCACAGGATGGAGAGCAGGGCTGAGCGGCTCGGGCACACGACCGCTCTCTGCGCCCAGCTGCTTCACCCGTCAAGTGAGACGGCTTCCCGGGTCTCTTCTGTGTCTGAGCCTACGAAATCCTGCTCGCAGTGGACTCGGGGTGCCCAAGCCTCTCCCACTGTTTCAGAGGAAAAGCTGACCAGGATCTGAATGTCATAGGCCTATACTTAAATGTTTTCTGGCAGAAAACCTTAAAATTATTTTCTCAACCTCTAGATTAAGAACTGTTTTAAAGGCAAACACTATCATGCTCTACAAAGTAGCGCCATCGATGCCCCTACCGCCTGGACTGAGAACTTTCTAGCAATATACCAATTTCATTTGAAACAATCTTGAAGAATCCTATTCTTCTGATCTTTTTTCCCTACTCACCAGCAGAAAAACAATGCAACTGCACATCATTCATCTCATGACTATAGGGAATTTTACTCCATCCAGTAAATCATTCTGGAGCCTCAGGTCATTTAGCTTTGAAACACTGTTTCAAAGAGACCAGCTGACCTTAAAGATGCGTTATTCATAAACTGAGCTCTTCAATTAAACTGCCTGCATCTACGTGAAATACCTAAGTACAACCTATTTGCCACGTAAATTCCTGGCCACGCAACTGAGGTGGTTCGGGCACACTCCTCCCTCCCAGAGCCGCTGCCTCTCAGCTCATGTGTAAGCAACAGGAGCGCCAAAGGGGCACCTGAGCCCACACCTCTCCCTACCACCCCCCAGGCCGACGTCCCTGCCAGACTGGGACACTTGACCCAACGACACCATAAACTCCAACTTTCCTAAGTCCAGAATCAAACACATTTGGGCATTAAAGAAAAAGAGAAGGGGGAAGTCTAAACACCACTAAAAATGACAAAGATGGTAAAGGACACTCAGGAAAGGTGTGTACGGAAGCAAGAAGGAACTCTGTTCAAGTTTTCGTGTACACTGCCTGCCCGAAAAACTCAGTCCCACTTTGAGACTTACTGCAGTAACTGCTAGGAAAGGTGAATGAGTCACAAAAGAAATAAGCTATTTTGCCTCTTGTCTTATCTTTCAAGATAACAGGACCCAGAGCCTTTCTAAAGGGCAGGGAAAACAAACTGCAGGGAGGGGTGCTTGTGCTCAAACTTAGAAAAGTGCCACTGTAGGAACAGCGGTCTGCGGCTCAGTTTGCTTCTTGCCACTTTGGGGGTCAGGAAATGCCTCTGGTTAACACCCGCATCCTATGTACTGAAAACGAAATCTTAAGAAGCAACTTCACGCCCAATCTCCAAGCCCTTTAAAAGTGAAGCGGCAAAAACTGGCTTTAAATGGCTGCGATGTGTCCAGACACTCTACTGTAAGCCTTTCATCACAAAGAAGTCAAAGCTGGCTTACACATAACCTCTCACCCGTGATATAAAACACAAGCGCTCAGCCTCCGTTGCAACATCCTGGCCGCCTTATCACGAAATGACAACAGCACTGTTGCTCCGCGGTTCAAATGTAAGTCTATCTCATAAACTGCAAGGCTCGGCAGAAATCTTTCCACCAAGGAGGACAAAACAACTTCAGAACCTTCGAAGCAAAGGGCATGCTAAGAAATTTCCTAAGTGTTTGTACTCTTTAAAAAGTTGCAGGTCTGGCCTATCTTCCAGCCACTCCAACAAGACCCCACACCGAGGCCGCCACAGCTAAGACAAGTGTCAACACAGCTGAACAGAGGAGCACCTGTCAAGCGCCCGGCCCTACGTGTGGTGTCCGCGTCAGTCTGACCGACAGGCAACGCAGTGCGGACTGGGGCAGGCCCGCGGCTCCCCGGCTCCCCGGCCCACCCGGCGCCCCCGCCAACCCTGCGGCACCCCGGAAGGGCACAGCCCGCTCGGGGCCGGGCCTGGTCCACCGGCCCGCCTCCCTCCACCCCGACCCCGGCCCTCACCGGCACGCCTCAGGGAGGCCGAGGCCCGAGCCGACTCCCGCCCGGCCCCTCCGCAATCCCAGGTGCCAGCCGCTCAGGAGCCGCGGGCGGAAGCCGGCAGGGCGGTTAAGACGAGCGCAAACAGAGAAGCCACTGCAGCCATCTTGGCATATCCGGCTCCGGTCCCCGCGGCCGCTGCGCCGCCGACGTGTCCGGCCGCGACGTCAGCGCGCGCCACGCCCGCCCGCCACGCCAGCCCGCCCCGCCCCTCGCAGCTGTTCTCCTGAAACTTCGCCCCGCCCCCGCCCCACTCCGTACGTGAGCCCCGCCCCTAGCAGCTGCTCAGGTGACGCTCCACTCCGCCCCTCTCCCGCGCCCTTCACCGCACATCCCTCTGTTCCTCTCCCTGGCCCCGCCCGGTAACCCCGCCCCTTACTAACACCCTCTTCCCTTGGCCCACCCTTTGCCCCGCCCCCGCCTGCGTCCAATCCGGCACTGCCGCATCCCTGGGCCCGGCCGTCCTTCAACGCCCCATCCTTTAGTGCCGCCCCCTTAGCCCCGCCCTCTGCCTCGTCCAGAGCTTCAACACCTATCCCTTGGCCCCGCCCCAGCCCACCTGCCCGGCGGGGCGCGCAGGGACCGCCCCGGGACGTTCCCCGGGTTACGCTAGTCCTTCCTCGCAGCCGTTTCTTGCTCTAGGATGAGAAGAGTAGGCATTCTTCAGTCAGACTCAAGAGAAGTACCAGCCTTGACCGTCCGATGCCGGCAGGTGCACCCGCCGAGAACAGCTACTGCTGAGCCGAGAACCCGAGCGGCGCCCTGGCGCAGGCGCGTCCCTCCCCTTTGGTCGTTGGACTCAGGGCTGGAAGACCGGCGGGAGGCGGCCGCGCATGCGCCGACCTCCGCGGCGGAGTACGCTTGCGCACCTCGCGGAGGCCGGCCGGTTGCCTGGTGACGGCTGGTCGCGTCTCTGGTTTCCAGTTCTGCCCGGGAAGTTGGTTTCCGTGCACACCTCGCTCTCGAGAAGCAATGCCCGTCTGCTCCACAGAGCCCCGGAAGAGGGAGGTGCCGCCGTCCCCCAGTCCACAGGCCACCGTCGAAGCCCCACCGCCCGCTTCTGCGCGCCCGGGGGTCGTCCCATGAGCTCCCAGCCGCGCCGCCCGCCTCGCAATGCCGCTCCTCCCCGGCTCAGGCGGTCACCTCCGCCAGCCCCTCCGCGCCTGTCCCACGCCCACACTCCGTCCGGTCCCCTCCCTCCGCCTGGCGCTGGGCGCGCAGTCCCCAGCCCCTCTCGTCTGCCTTAATACCGCGGAGCCCCGTGGACGGAGGCTCAAACCGTTGTTTAGTGGATATTTATGTTGAATGGGCGCGACCCCCAAGGTACCGAGCGACAGGCTAGGCTACTGGGCCTCAGCCTCCTGCCCCTCCCCGGGGCTGCTGCCTCAGCCTGGCACCCACCCTGCAGGCGCCATCAGAGCCCACCTATGGAGGGCCTTAGGGAAGAAGGGGCGCTGTTGCCATTTGTAGCCTCCTTTCCACAATGAGAAAAGGGAGGCCAGGCCCACTCACCTGCACAGCTGCCCGGTAAGAGGGGGGAAGAGCAGCAGCCCACCCCCTTGACCAGCTCCTTCCAGAAGGCAGGAAGGGTCACATTGCCCAGTGGTCCACCTCTCATGGGTGGCTGCTGCTACCGCCACAGGGGCCCAGAAGTCGGAAGACACCCTGGTCCCCAGTGGGATCTAGAGGCCAGGGGAGAGGGAAGGAGTGTGGTTCGGCTATTTGTTTGCTGTGGCGCTGGCCGGGGAGCAGCCACGCTGTCAGAGCCCCGGGAGGGTGCGGGGAGAGTTTCAGCCCTTCTGACGTGGCTGCTCTGCTAAGCTAACATTTGCCTTGTAGAAAGTGAGTTCCCAGCCCATTTCAACACAGAGTTGGAGAACACCTGGCAGAATTCAGCCCTGGGCCCCATGCCCTTGATCCACTTCTTCCGGGTAGTCCCTGCGCTCTGCGGTCTCTCTGTCCTAACAAACCACTCCGCAGAGACAGGTGCCATCGTCAGCCTTCTTCCTGAAAGGGGGATGCAGAGGCCAAAGCACCGCCCTTCCCAAGCTCAGGACTGGTTCCTCTTCTGAGTGCAAATAGCCCAAGAGCTGGAGCCCCGATTTGCCCTCCCTGGTGTTCTGCGGAGCCCAGTGGCTGGCCTGGGTGGGATCTGACCTGGAGGAATCACAAGCCGCAGGAACCAGCCCACCCTGGGCAAAGGCCAGGCCTCAGAGCCCTGGGGCAGGGTGTCAAAGAGGGGGAATTCTAAGGGGAGCTGTGATCCCAAAGTTGGCATGCAATGGCCTCGGGCGTTCTTCCGCTCCCCCCTCCCCTTCTGCTAACCTCTGAGAGTGGGAGGGGGTCTTCTGAGGTTCTCGGCCTTCTGCGATCTTGTGTGGCCCACGGTTGGGGGCCCGGGGCCCCAGGCTCCCTACAGAGCCTCTGCTTTCAAGCCCAGCCTGCCATCTAGATGCTGTGCGGTCTTTGTGAACGTCCTTAACCTCCCTAAGCATTGGGTCCTGTCACCCTGGGGTTTGGGCAAGGCTGGGGTTCAGGCAGGGAAAGCATGTGGGCAGTGTGGGGACTGGAAGGGGGCGCTGTTGACACATACGCTGGGCCGAGGCATGAACTGGAATTGCCTGGGTGAACGGATGTAGGGTGACTGCAACGGCCCAAGCCTAGGAGGCATGAGGCCATGAGAGCCACCATTGTTCTTGATCAGGCCTCCTCGCCGTTGCCTGCACTGCCTGCTCCCCAGTGGAAATGTCACTGCCTCCCTGAAGTCCCCCTAGGTGGGCTAGAATCAACTCTAAAGTTGTAGCTACAATCAGGGGGCAAAGTTGTATGCAAAGTCCCATGATGAAGTTATTGTCACATTCCCCAGAGCACACAGGGCACAGGGCTGCACACGTCCCAGGACAATGGGCGGGGGTGTGTGGCAGAGAACCTGGCTGTCCTTTCCGTGATTACAACAGCCGGCCTCTCCCATTGGTCTGTCCATCCAAGGAGATGCCACTGAGCATTCGACCCGGGGCGGGGGGGGGGGGGGGGGGGGCAGGAGGGCAGGAGGGCAGTAGCTGGCTTTGGATGCAATCAGCTCCAAGCAGGACATGCAGGAGTGCCATTACCTCATTGATACATTTTGATTACATGTTGATAATATTTTGGATATGTTAAGTTAAAATGTAGCTAGTAGAAAGTTAAAAATTCCATAGTAGCTGGCATTGTATTTGCACTGGAAGGTGAGGGTCTAGCCCAGGAGCACAGCGGGACCCCCTCAGCATCCCAGCCTGGGGCTTGCAACCTCTCAGTTGTGGAGCTGGCTCTCTCCTGACCACCAGCAGGCCTGGTTGTCCTCAAAGGAGCCTTCCAGGGTGGGGCTGCAGCCTCAGAGGCTATACACCTCTGCCCTTCACCGCCCTCCCACCCCCGCGTAAAGTAGCTGCATGAAACGGGGTTTGTCGGTGTTCATAGGCCAGACCTGCCCCTCGCCAGGCCCTGACCTCAGTCCCGGGCCCTGAGGCCGGGGCAGGGGGCGGGTGACAGGAGGGGGCCCTGGCCTGCTTGGCGGCCTGGAGAGAGCAAGGGACAGAGCTGGCTGAATGGTCCAGGCAAAAGCGTGCAGGGCCCCAGCGGTGGGGCGAGCTGGCAGGAAAGGCTTTGGAGGGGCAGTGAGAGCTGAGGAGGACGGAACAGTGGGAGAGGCAGGGGCGGGGTCAGGTGCCCTGGGAGAAAGGAGGTCCAGAGGCGGAGATGGGTCCAGGTTTGTGGGTTCTGGGAATCTGCGCCTTGGGCCCATCAGCGTGCGGGCCCCTGCGGGGTGCATGCAGGCCGAGTGTGAGAAGGCAGCGGAGACCAGGGTGGGAGGCCAGCACTGTGGGCGCCATCCCGGACCCCCCGGGCCGGTGGGAGCACACCGGGCAAGCACCGGCACAGCCCGGCGCAACCAGCAGCAGCGCCACCTTGTTGTCGTCAGCACGAGACAGCACGCTGCCTCTCCAGTGCAGCCTCGGGATGCGTGCCCCACCCCCAGCCACGCACACAGAGGACTTTCCTCCTGAACCACTGCACCAAGCACTGAGCACCTAAGGCGATAAATAAGCGGTAGGGACAAAGTAGGAAGCACAGACTGGACACCGGTTCCGAACTCACTGGGGGCACAGAGGGCCAGGGCCGCAGGAAGGCTGCGTGGCAGCCCCTTGGCTGTGGCTGGGTCCCTGGAGACCTTCATAAAACCGTGCACAGACGTTTGCATGCCAGGCACTGCTAGGAACCGGGCTGTGGCAGGGGGACAGGCAGCCCTGGGCTCTGCCCTTGGGGAGCGGGGACACCGGGCAGCTGCGAATGCCCAGTGCGGGCAGGGGGTCCCTGGCAAGGCCTGGGCCCCACCTGCTGGGGGTGTGGGACAGGGGTCGGTGATGGAAGAGAAGGAGCGTTTGTACCCCGAACAGACAGACGCTCCTGCAGCAGCCAAGGGCAGCAACCCAGAAAGCGGGCCGCAGAGGCCGGCGGGTTTGCACTGCAGAGGCCCCGCAGGCCCTGCCCGGGGATTCGCTTCTGAAAGGAAGAGAAGAGTCCTTGGGCTTTCGGCCAGGACTGCCGCCCCCAGGCCCTCTGCAAGGCACTGGCGCGAGCCAGGCCCCCGGGGGGTGGCCTTGGGGCCCCCAGGCGAGCAGCCAGGTGGCTGGGGCCAGAGCGGTGGGAGAACCGAATCCTGGGTGACCCTCCAGGGCAGGGCCCCGCTCTCTCGCTGCCAGCTGCGTCCCCAGCCCCCAGTCCAGCAGAGCACTGGTGCTCCACACACGTGGGCCCAGGGAAGAGACAGGACAGGAAGGGGGGCGGCCTGAGCATCCCGCGACTTAAGCTGTAGGCATGGACGTGGAGGCTGGGGCGGGGCTGGGGTTTGGGAAGAGGAAAGGCCTGGGCGGAGCTGGGAGGATGCCAACGTCTGCAGGGAGCCAAGTGCCAGGCTGGACGTGGCATCGACTCCCGGCCGTGACCTCGGCAAGTCCCTCTTTCCCTTGTCTGGAAAGTGACAGGCTGAGTGATATAGGCCCTCCAGCCCCCCGCCACCTCCCTCTGAGAGGAGGTGTCTCCTCCAAGGATGATAAAAACACGGAGTCACTGGGCCCCACCTTGAGTGGGGGAACTCGGGGAAGT